CATCTATTAAAAGTAGCATTTAATTTAATTTAATGCCTTTTAGAGAGGTAACTGTAGCACATCAGAATAGGAAATATCTCTAAACAGCATTTCTCATTAGCAGCAGACACTCAGCTACCGTAGTTAGTAGTTAATGAGTTTGTGCGCATTTTGAGTTGGGCTCCAAAAGTTGCCATGGCAACAGAGCAGCCAGGAGCCGGCAACAAAACAAACAGACGGGCTCTGTGCCCCACAGGGCCGTTGACACCCCGGCAGATGGGCCTCTGCGCCCAGAGCCTTCTCCTGGCATCCCATTGTTCCGGGAGCCTCGTGCTGCAGCCCTGGCTGCCGCGGGGTGGCGGGAGAAGTGGCAGTGATGGGAACGGCCCTTGCACGCACTGATTATCTTAGAAAAAGAGAACCGTTCTCTTTGCAATCAGAGTTGAAAGCAATCGTGTGTACTTGAGTAAATTTAAGATTTTAAGACACTGAATTTTTTTTTTTTTTTTTAGAGAAACTCGATCTTTAAAAACATATTCCAAATGACTGGAATTGATGCATAATTTTGTGATGTTTTGGCATTGTGTGGTGCCTGTTTTATCATACAAAAACTTCTATTTCTGAAGTTCTCAGATGTCATCAGTTACAGAACCTATCATTGATTTAATAATGTCTTACTGTTGGAAGGTGAGTGAGGAAACTTCAGTATATGCACAGCTGTAAGATGCATTCAAATTTCAGAAATAAGACTTGTTAAAATGTGTGGGCTAAAATGTCCCTTGTGGGTGATTAGCAATTACCTATAAAGAGTTACTTTTGAAATACGGTGGGTGCCCAAGCCAGTGTGGCCCGTGAGGTTCTGACTTACGGTGTACTTAAGTCAGTCAATTTCATGAAAGAAATAGTTGTTAAATGTCTAGCTCCTACCATACAGTGCACTGCTGTCAAGTGGAAGACCTGGATATGGAACTTGCTAAAAAAAACAACCAACCAACCAAAACCCTGTGCTCTTGGCCAGGATTTGGTTGAAGGGAGCAGGAGTCTCTACTGTTTCAGGCAGAGCGAGTTCAGGCAGGGGAGGGATCGCCTAGAAAGTCATTTCAAAGAATCTTCCCGAAGAGCTGCTCCCTCAGGAAGATTTGGGGACCCCATGTGTGCTGCTGACTTCAAGGGCAGAGTCACCCCCCACCGTCCACTGCCAGGAAGCTGCCACCCACACTTTTCAGATGGCACAGTGAGTGACAAAGGTGAAGAACTCCCCCAGGGTCATCAGCAGTAAGTGGCAGGACTGAGCTTGCAGCCCCAGCAGCAGCCACTGTGTCCGCCACATCTGCCATGTCTCCGTGGGGGTGGTGAGCCCGGGCGAGGGGCCTGGGCTCTGGAGGTGAAGTCTCATGGAGCCATTGCTTATCCTGTGTGGGCATACCTACACTTAGCACACGCGGCCCACTAGCACATGGGTCTTTATGCCTTTCTGTGCATCTTGAAAGTATTTCAGAATGAATTTTTAAGGAAAAGAATGTCTTGGTAGTGCGACTTGGGTAACAAATGCGGTGGAAGCCCTCAGTGCCCTGGGCACTGTGCCCCACTCTGCAGAGGCGGTGAGGGTGGTGAGCGGTCCGCAGAGGGAGCTTCCGCCGGGTGCGCTCCAGCCAGTGGGGCAGGCCCCAGCAGCAATTCTAGCAGTGCCGCCTCCGGGCCCATCCCTGGGACGCCTTCCCAGGACAGACTCCCCAGCATCTCCATCCCCCAGTCTGCTCGCGTGCTCCCCAGCCATCACCAGGACCCCAAAATCCACTGCAGTCTGTGCCCACCTCTTGACCTCACTGGCAGCACTCCCGCAGGTGCTGAGCCCCAGCCACGTTCCTCCTGGAAGACATGCAGCCCTTGCAGGCCAGGGCCTCCCCACCTGGCGCCGGCCTGCAGACCTGCACACACGTGTACACGCGCCCCGGGCTGGCCCGTCCCCGCGCTCAGCTCCGCTGTCGCTGTCCACAGGGACTTTCTCTGAGCCCCTAGCCCAAGTCGGCATCCCCTGTCCCACTCTTGCTGTACCGTCCTGCTGCAGGCGGACGCTTATGCCGCGCAGTAAGATAACGTCTGTCTCACTAGGTCACGTCAGGACAGAGGCTACATCTGCTTCTTTTCCTGTGTTCTCGGCGCCTGGCACGGGAGAGGTGCTCAGGAAGTATTTCCCAAGAAAGTAAATAGGAGAGAATAGGAGGTGTCTGACACGTTTTGTGGGGGTAAAATGAGGAAGCTGGGTCTGCGCCCTCATCTCCTCCGCCACGCACCACTGTGACCTCCCTCCCCCGCTCCAGGGACCTCGGGGCTCTGCCTTCCTCACTCGCGCTCGGCGCTCGGACATGAATGGGTGGCGCTGACGTAGGAAAGTTTCAAGCAGTTGCAATAGGAAACTTTGGCAGATCGCATTCAGGTACAGGGGGCCTCTTGGCAGCCCTGGGGCTGAGTCAGCACATAGTAGGTCTTGACGCTTCCTAGTTTCAGTCTCTGGGAACCAGGCTGGGGGCGCGCGGTCCTGGATGGACACTCTGCTCGGGGCCGGGCCTGCTGCACGCGAAGGTGGCAGCCGCCAGTGGGGCCCCCTCTCAGGGCCCTCAGACCACCAGGTCCACGGCAGGTTGGAAAGGAACCCCAAGAGCCGCCCAAGCCTGGGGGCGGCTGAACCCTGCCCACACCATCGCCTGTTGTTTTGGAAAAGAAACAGGCGGGAGTTGTCGAGGACTTGGCTAAAAATTTTCACTGAGCAGAAATTGGTTTCCAGGAAAGAAAATTGTTGAGATGACTGACTTCCTTACAGGATGATGGTTCTTCCACCTTTTTCGCCAGCAGGTGTCGTCCTCATTTAAAAGAAAAAAATGAGAAGCTTGAGAGCAACCGGAATGTCCAGCCTGCTGTCAGCTGTGGGGCCGGTCAGTGGTTGCTGTCTTAATTGTTCTAAATAAAACACATGATTTGGTGATGCTCCATCAATAAAACCAGCCAAGAGCCCCCTAACCCAGCTGTTCCGCCTGTGACATCCGTGCGGCAGGGCCCTGGCCTTGGCGCTGCTGGAGGAGAGGAAGGGACTGACTTGTCGGCAGACCCGTGGCCTGATGGACGTGCAGCTGGCAGAAGCGCCTCCTGCACGACCCACACGGGAGGCCCCCCACCAGGGTGAGGACGCATGTTGACTGCTGGCCACGAAGATCCGGAAAACGCTGCCGTCCCCTGGAGGCATGCATCCCGCGTCCCTACGGAGAGGCCCAGCGCTTGCCGCCTCTGCTCACAGGGTTTCCCTTCAGGGCCCAGGGAGGACCTGCCACCAGCCACAGCATGAGCCTTCCAGGAGCTGGAGGTACCAGCGCGGGAGTGAGCCGGGGGTGTGCCCGCGGCCACTGTGCTTGCTTTGGGGGCCTCGGGACTCTGGCAGAGGCCGTCAGCCCGAGGGTGGACTCCCCCCACCCCGGCGAAGCGGTCATCACCCATGCTGACGACACCTGCCAGCCTCCGGCTCACTCTCGGCCTTCATGAGCACATGTAGCTCTTGAAACGTAGGGTATTTCTGAGAAGCCGGTTCAAGCTTCACCTCTTTTGAGAAGATAGTGCCATTTCTCCCCCTGGGCTGTTCCGCGGGCTCTACCTCAGGCCCACACACAAGCCACAGAAACAATTTCTAAATATGCTAGTAGGTTTGAAAAACAAGTGAGATGACTTTTAATAACATTTTTAACTCATACCCCGAAGTTATTTCTACGCGCAATCGATGTGAAGCAGCAGCAGAGCGGCCGCCTGTTCCGCACCTGGTCCTCAGCACGTCCCTCTCGCGCGGCCACCGTCCCCCGCGTGACCAACCACGGTCTCCTCCACAGCCTCCCTGTGTGCTGCCTTTTTATTCCCCAATTGATTGTCGCTTCTCTGAGGTGAGAAACCGTCTCCCCAGAGAACTCTTGTTTGACCCTTGGAGCGTGAAGGGTGATGGGCACTGACGTGGGCAGCACTGCCCAGCAGAGACTGGAGACGGGCCCAGGGAGTGCGGGGGCAGCTGGGGGTGATGTTCAAGGTCCTGGGCGAGCTCTCCGGAGCCCAGGGGCGCGTGAAGGAGGGCTCCTCTCCCTCGCCGCCGCCCCGCGGCCCCACTCCAGCCCCGCTCCCTTTCTCTTTTTATATGACTGGGAAGCCTCCATGCGACTGCGCCCTCGGAGAGCATTTTGGCATTTTTAGATTGTCATCAGAATTAAAACATTCATAAGTTCGTGGACATCGGAAGACCCCTGAGTTCTGAAAAACCACTGACCAAGACTGGTGGTTCTCAGTGTGGTCCGGGGACCCAGTGCTGTTTCTCGCCTGGGGCTTCAGGAAGTGAGTTTCTGGGCAATGCGTCTTTTCAGCCTCCCTCCCACAGTACCATGCTACCGCCACCGGGTCGCCTGGGCTGGACCATCTGAGGCGCGAGGACTGCTGCTCTGACCCACCTGAGTGGCCTCCTTTCGCAGATGGGGAGCCTGGTCGGGGTCGTGGTCGGGCTGTGGGAACTGGCTCACCTCGGAGCACCGCCTTCAGCCCAGCCCCGTCTCCGGCCACCTTGCCGTCTCTTCCCAGATTTGTTTTACTTCTTTGGTCTGGGTTGGGTTTTAAAGGACATGTCACTGAAGTTCTGGGCTCTTTTTGTCTTGTTCCCTCTAGTGCCAGAACCTACCAAGGCCTGCTCCAGCCCGCCCCAGCCCACCGGCACCAGCACCAGCACTCCCGCCGGCCCGCTCCCTGGCAGCAACAATGGCAAGCGCACCTCTGCCAGTGGCCAGCAGCCCGCCGCCGCCCGCTACCTGCCGCGCGAGGTGCCTCCCCGCTTCCGCCAGCAAGAACAGAAGCAGCTGTTAAAGAGAGGCCAACCACTGCCCGCAGGGGCTCTGGCCAGCGCCAGCCCCACCAGGGGCGCCGGGCCTGCAGGGGCCAGCCCGCCTCCCCCCACTGCAGCCGCAGCGCAGCAGCGCCCCGGCCAGCTCCAACCAGGTAATGCACACCGGGTGAGGGGGCACTCTCTTCACCTGGGGCTCACGGTTGCTGCTGAGCGGTAAGCAGCCCCATTCCGTCCACGCGCTCACATGCGGGAGCTAGCGCGCCAGCTTGGGCCCTCCGGTCACTGCCGTCGGGGTTGAAGTTGAATTCTGTTTCCTGCTTCTTTGTATTGTTTCTCAGATGGCGCCAGCCAGGTCAGCTGCAGCTCCTCACCAGAATCCTGCCCCGAAGCCTCTCTATAAAGCCCTTTCCTTACAGTTTACTGGGATTGCTCGGGATGGCACCCCCATAGTCATGTAGGAAGGCTGCGGTGCTGCTGGAAGCGTCCCTCACACATGAGCCCTGGGGGCTGCTTGGCCCTGGCATGGCCGTGCCCTGACCCACCTGCTCGGTGCTGGCTGCCGTGCTGTGTCGGCTGCCAGTGTTCCTGACCCCAGTGCCACTTTGCCCTCTAGCCTCCAGAATGCTGACCTCCCTTGTCTCCTGACCCCGGTCCTGTCCTCCTGACCTTTCAGGTTTTACTTACACGCTTTCTTTACTGTCGTTTTAGAGGAATTTTTGGAAGCAAGCAAAGTGTGTGTGTGTGTGTTCAGCTGCCTCACTTATCTGTTATTCTCTTAACTCTTTCTGTTTCAAATAATTTCACCGCTGGCCCTGGCCCGGGCGTGGAAGCCACACTTGCTGATATAGTGAAATTCAGGTCTGTAACCAGAGAAGCGAGCAGGCTTGTTGGATTAGCCTGGAATGTGAAAGAAACATGTCACAGTCATATTACTATTTTTCTTTCAGTGCTGCCGTATGGGGAATAATTCCAACATGACCTACAAGTATTTATAGCAATGTTTCTCAAAACCATGCCTTTGTGGTATTTTCAGAACAAATAATTTTAGACAACTGTGTATCTCTGAGTCCTGACTCATCGGCCACGCTCATGGTAGAGTGGATGCAGGTGATGGTTGTCACCAAAGAACAAGGAAGGAAAAAAGATCCAGCATACTCACTGACCAGAATATAGCCACCCACGTAGCTACAGGCAGCACGTAATGAACTATACAGTCAATTCCTGCCCTGCCGCGCGGGCGCAGCAGTGTGAGCCTTCTAAGGTCGGCCCAGGTGCCAGTGTCCTCACGCCAGAGTGTCTGACCACTGGCTGCCTCTTCCCCAGGGAGGAGTCTGAGCTCTGCCCCGCCGTAGTGGAGAGGGGTGGCAGGATGCCGCATGGCGTCATGCAATTGTGGAAAAACTAAAGCAACTCGAGACTGAATTCGTCATTTTCTTAGCCTTGTACATGCAGGTAACATACTTGTTACATGCAGGTAACATACTTTGGTGCTACAAGACAGCTAGTGGAAAGGGGAGAGGCCTGACCTGACAGTTGTGTAATCACTGTTTTCTGTGTGCCACATGCTTCCTGAGACCTGGGGGGGCAGCACGTTTGACTCTCGCGACGTCTTACTGGGGTTCACCTGGTGATTAGCATTAACCTGTCCATCTTGCTCTTACAGAAAAATGCTACCCTACGTTTTGCCACTTCCTCGACAAGCGGGCATGCTAGCTGAGTACTTTTTCACTCTCTTTTCCTTTTCTCACTCCATTAATGTGTCTGGGCAGCAGTGCCACGCTGACCTTGCACGCCCCTGAGAAGAGGGAGAAGATGCCTCGGTTTCTAGTTTCGTCAAGCATAGTGTCGTTCGCTGGTTGAGCAAAACTTACTGAGCACCTGCCAAGTGTCAGGCATCTGCTGCGGGGACGCACAGTTCACGGCCAGCGTGGGTTGGGGTGACCAGTAACAGACACTTTGCAGGTCTGCAGTGGAGATAGCAGCAGGTGCCGTGTGCACACTGGAAGGCAGCAAACCCAGATCAAGGGTGGGGCCGCCAAGGAGAGTCCTCTAGGCCAGGGAGCGTGACCTGAGTCTTGGATTCGCTTTGCAAAGCAGGTAGTGGGACGTCCTGCACCGCGGCACAGACCCACAGTCGCAGGCCTCTGGGTGTCAGGGGCAGGCGGCGAGGAGAGTAGGGCTGGGGCGGGGCTGCTGCTGGCATCAAGTCATACCAATAAACAATCACAAAACTTACCGTGATGGTCAAGTCCAATGGAATAATATTCAAACTGTTATAGAGCAACCCCGATATTAAAACGGGTTCCTGGCTGTGGGTCCTCACCCGCGCGCTTTAAAGGGACTTATGAATACTCTACTACAGACACACGCAAAAGGGTTCATAAAAGGTTTATTTACAAGAGAAAAAGAAATAAGGAAAATGTACAACTCAGGGAGAAAATAGGGAAATAAAGTCTTTCATGCGTCCTACCCGATCCGACGACCTGGAAACCCAAAGGCACTCTCCGAGCTGGCCGGACGCTGCGAGCTGGTGGAGAGCCAAAATGGGGGACACCCCCCAAAGCCCACGTGTCTGGCTTTATCCCAACCTGGCTGCTTAACCCCACCCTCAGGTCCCAGCCACCTTCCCTTTGGTGGTGATGGGATTTGGAGTTCCCAGTGTCTTTGGCTTTGACCTGGGGTGGGGGTGGAGTCCACAAAGCCTATATGGAATTTGCTTTGGGACATCCTTTTTCCCCCTAACAAAACCTGTTCCAACAAATTGCTTTTGAGACTTGACAGGCTCCTTTTGAAGCTCGTCTGGAAGAGCAAATGCGCATGGAGTAGCCAGGGCAGGTGTGGGAAAGAGTGTGAGCTCGCAAGGGGCAGTGGGCCCTGGCGATCATGCAGCGGTTCCCCAGCAGGAAGGCACAGGCCTCTGGATGAGATGCAGGGGAGGTGGCCCTGGCGGAGGCCAGGTGGGGGTGCTGGCGTGGTGGGAAGAAGTGCTGGGGAGCGCGCAGAGCCGGGCTGCAGGAGGCCATGCAGGAGACGGTTCTCAGCTCTTGGGATGAAAGTTTCTCTTAAACAAGAAGCCATCAAGAGAAAAACTGACAAATGCGAGTGTATAAAAGTCAGAACTTCTGTAGGAGACCATAAGTAAAACCCACGGACAAATGCCACGCCCTCCTACAACTCAACAAGGAGAAAAGACAGTCCAGCAGGAGGACGGGCAAAGCGGGAACGGGCAGATCAGGAGACTCATGTCCGCGGCACACGGCAAGACTTGTGGTCTGGGAAAAAAATCAAACGACTGTGACGTGCGCATCCCACTCACCACGTCCCCAGAGCCTGAGATCTGTCCCAGCCCTGCAGAGCAGGTGGCGGTGCCCGTGCTGCGCAGCCCACCTGAACTCGGCCGTCCTCACGTGAGCGTGTGGGCCAGGCGGTTCGTGCACCTGCTTAGGCAGGTGTGGGCACCGGTTCAACCTTTAAGAAGGGCCTTTGCCAGAACGTCAAACACTCAAGGTGCTCCGATGCCCTGACCCCTGCTCAGCTGTGGGTCGTCTCCTCTAGCCCAAGAGCTCTGCCTGTACTGGCAGCCTTGGCCCCATCCCTCCCCCTGTGCTGGGAGCCGGGGCTGGGCTGAGACTGTTCAGAGGGAGTAGGGGCAGAGGGGCTGACTGTTGCTTCTTGGGAAAGGTCCAAGTGTGGGTGGTGTTCCCACCAGCCTCACCCCTGGCGGGGGCAGCCCTGTGAAGGGCTATTGACTCTGGCTGGGTCTCAGAGGATAGCAATGCAAGCACTTCCTCCCATGGCCCCCACTTCAGATGGCATCACCACCACCCCCCACACACCCCCGACCTCCCCACACGCCCCCCCAGCTGCATTGCTTCCTCTTGGCCCAGCGCATCCCACTCCTGCCCGGGTGTGGCGTCGGTGTCATTCAGTCTTGCTTTGGCATCACTTTGGCCAGATCAGCACCGGGGCCTGAGGAGCTGAGACCTCAACGCTGGCGTGCAGACGAGCGCTAGTCACTGTCGAGGCAGCAGCGCTGGTGTTACAGGGAGACTCTGAGCTACGGCACAGACTTCGGGCTCCCAACTCAAACGGCCTTCTCCCCACAATGCTCCCTTCATCAGCACAGCCGCGGCTCCTTCTGCACGCCCGCGGTGGCTGCAGGGGGCATCTTCAAGCAGCCGGGCCAGAGGCCTGACGCGCCCTCCAAGAACCTGGAAAGAACAAAGGTCGCCCACGAAGAGCACCCCGACTCTGGGCAACCCCAGGGGGCGGACGCAGAATGGGTGGGGCCAGTCCGGCCCTGCAGGCGCCTGCTCCTCGCCATAGCAGCACCCCAGGCGTGGTGAGAGGCGCCAGTGGGGGTGGGGGCGCCTGAGAGACAGACGGGCTGGCTCCTCCAGGCCCGGTCCAGGTTCTCTGTGGAAAGCAGCCATTTGTCCTGAAAGACTCCGGCAAATCAAACATTAGCCTTCTAATAAAATAATACAGAGGAAGGTGGATTTCTAAATTTGTGTATTGCTTTGGAGGGGAGGCCCTGTGGCCAGTTGGCAAAAACGTTTAGCTGGTCAGGTCCAAATGGGGAAGTGGGCAGTTCGTCCTATTAAGGCTTCAGCAAAATGTCATTTTATCATGTTGTTATTGACTCAGACTTTGCCAGGCTATAGCGTAACTCCAGCTGGAAACGCTTGAGAACTTTTATCTCATTTGAAAAACTCTCTTCATTGTGCTGAGAGCAGGACAAAGTATTGTCTTGTTGGCTGCTGTGTATGTGTTTAAACAGCGGCTTTGATTAATAACACGGTGGGGTTTGTTACTTAGATCTTTTTAGATAGAAGCAGGAAAGTAATTAAGAAGTTGGCCACGTGCCAGTTTCCCTATGGCACTCATGGAGGGCAGGACGGCCAGTGTGGGGACTCTGGGTGTTTAGGAAAAGCGGAAAGAACCCACGGAAAGCAAAGGCAGCTCCGGGCAGCACTGGCCGTGCAGCCAGTGGGCAATGTGCCGCCATTCTCTGGCTGACTTTCAAAAAGGCAGAAGAAAAGCAGCTCTGGTACGCTGTGGAACCGGGTCTCCGAGAGAAATGTTTATGACTGTGGAAAGAATTTAAGGACGAGGGGAGATTGGTTTGTAGTGTCAGCTACAATTAGATAATCAAAGCTTTCAAATCCTACCGGCCGCTGCCTCCACCCCTGGTGGAGAGGATGAACCGGACACCTCCTGGCGTGGAGAGGGCCAGCCCCTGCCCCGAGGGCGCCCGAGTCTGCCCAGCCAGGCCTGCACAGGGACTTTCCTGGCAGGGCTACAGGGTGAGGCTGTCGCCTTGCTCGGCCGACACAGCGGAGCCGAGAGCCCAGACCGCCCTAGACGCAGGCGTCCGGGCAGCCGGCTTGCCAGGTAGCGTGTCTCCTGGGGGGTGGGGTGGCACCTTTGTGCAGGTATTGGAGCCCGGGAAGCAGGAGAAGCAGAGCAAACCCGAAGCCAGCAGTGCCTGCCTCCCCCGAGCCGGCCGCCTCCCGCCATCCAGAGCTCCATGGCAGTCCTGCGCCCGGGCTCCTGGCTGCGGTTCAGACATGATAAAATGGCGTCTTGGCAAAGCGTCTGCTAAAGACCTACTCCAAGCCGACTTGATGTGGCCTCCCCGCAATGCTGCTCCTGGGCTCTGTTAGCTGTGGCCGGCCCTCCCAAAGCCTGGAGCAAGCTTGTCTGGCCCCCAGTTTTAGCGTTGCTCTAGTAGGTTCTGAACCTGGAGGAAGCAACCTTGTTTTACTGCCGTTGTGAGGAAAAACACAGGGCAACAAGCTTATTCTTTGGGACACTTTGATTATTGTTTGCCGTAAACCTTCCACTCCATTCTGCTTCTCATAATTCCTTGCATTTGTAGATATTGACAGATGAAATGTTTAAGAGCCTGTCCGGCAAAGGGCTTCTGAATTCAGTGCGCTTTCTCCGCTCAGTTTTCACATGCGGTGAAGGGGGTGGGGGGGGGCTGTGAGGGCGGGAGGTGCCTTAGGGTCTCCAAAGCTGACAAGAGTGAAGAGTGGCGATTTTTCTCCTGCCCCTGGAAAGCCAAGTGGGAGGAACTGGTATTATCCGCAAGCCTTGGTAAGCTACACTCTCAGCTTTGGAAAGCACCTGGATTTTTTTTTATAATGTAAGGTTGTTTATTTCGCAATTTCAGTTATAAAGGACTGTGATGATAAAGAATGAATTATGTATTATTTGTCAAAGTTAGTACTAATTAGGAATTCTGCACACTTCTGAGTAAATCTTGTCCACACTCCCCCAACTGATTAATTTGATACCTAATTAAAATTTTGCTTAGTGTAGCTTTTGGAAGCTCTTTGTTACATAATTTTCCTTGGAAAAATTATCTTCAGTAACATTTTGCAATTTAAGAATAAAAAGAAAGCCTTTCTCTTTAAACCATGCTAGTGTGTAATGCTTTAAAATGCAATCACTTAAGACAGTTATGTTACTTGGATTTTTACAGAGACATCTATTTTTAGAATGTGTAAACCATTTTAACAGCAAAAGAAAAGAGAATTTACAATGACTTGCAAGCTTCATTCCTCGTTTCCCTTTAAGGCTTTTCTTAGGGGAAATTATTTTAATAATAAAGTGACATAGAAAGTGCACGTGAATTTCATTCTGAAAAGCAGGTTTCAGTTCCGTGCAGCCAGCTTCCAGTCGCGGCCCCATTCCCGGGCTCGCCCCTCTGAGCCCATGTCTGCGAGGCACACATCACGGTCGGGTCAGCCCAAGGCAGCGCAGACGGACCCACCCGGAACTTCCGGACGCCGTGACGTTTGTGATGTCATGTGGCCGTCAAGATGCACCTGCAGCTCCCCCCAACTTGCTGGGCGCCAGGCGCTGGGTGCTGACCTCCCGTGGTCCTGGGTGGTGTGGGGTGGCGAGGGGCATCCAGGTGTCTACAGGGGAAGCTCCATTTTGACTCCTTTCAGAGCTTTTGTCCATTTCAAAATGCTGGCTTGTACAGTTCAGTCATTTCACACATTTTTTTTCACATAATTGTATCTTTTAGATGCAGGACTTGTGAATTACTAGCCCAGTCAGGAGACTTTGGCTCTGAAATGCAGGTTATTCAAATATTTTTGAAGCATAAAATACTTCTAAGAGAATAAAAGTGGGTTTTTTATACATTCTCATCTATGGAATTAATGATAGCGCCAGGCCCTGTTGTGGGGACGTGCCAACGAGTCCGTGGTGGAGGCTCCGGGCAGGACGGCTAGGAGGAGGAGGGGGACAAGAAGGACGGCCCGAAGTGCTGTTCAAACTGTGCTGCTGGGGCCAACAGAGCCCTGGAGGCGTCCGGGAGCTGGAGAGGGTAGGAGCTGTTGTCCGGAGGGCTGGTCTCCGCGTCGCGGGGCTCTGCGTGGGCGTCAGCGCTTGTTGTCACGCAGCAGTAAGACGGTGGGAGCGGCGTTTTCAAGTCGACTGGAGTCTAATTTGAAAACTGTTAACAGTGTGTTAAAATTGGAGCGTTTTACTTTCTAGTTTTGATCTTTCCAGCATTTGAATACATTTTTATGTTCGAACCGTGATCTTATTAAAGCACCGGACCATTTTAAAACTTCTTGAGAAGGAAAAAATAAATCAAGGTAAATGAAAGGAGAAACTAAGGCCCAGGGCTGTGGCAGCCCGTACCTGTCATGTGTCCTCCTGGGCCTGCTCGTCCAGGGGAGCGGTCAGCTGAGGGCACTGTGGCTGCCCTGGCGTGGGGACGCGCCCAACGGTGGGCCAAGAGCAGTTTGTAAAGAGGCGCCTCCGGGCACTGAGACGGTGTCAGCACCGGGGGGGCCCCCCACCCCGGCCCTCGCAGCCAGTCAGGGTCCGTCCCCACCCTGACGGCACCCCCACGGTCCATCGGAACCCCAGTCTGATGGCAGTGTTAGAGCTCCTCCAGCAAGGAGGAAACCGCGCCGTCTCCGAATGTATCATGAAAGTGAAGTGACATAAATCCTGCAGGCAGATCGCGCGTGGAGTTCCGTGGAGCTCCGAAACAAGTAACTCTAAGAGGCTAAATATGTGTGGAGAGAACCCGAGACCCAAGAAGACCCCGGGCTGGGCCGAGGACGCTCCTGTGCGCGGGAGGCAGGCAGGTGTCTGCAGCCTCGCCCCTCGGGAGCTGGGGCCCCGCTTTCTCTCCCTCGCCCCGAGCATCTGTGCCCTGCCACAGCCTGTCATGCACCCGCGGGTCTCTGTAGCCTGCAGAGTCCTGTGGCTAACGAGGTCAGGGTCCAGAATCCACATGCTTCCCGTCGGTGCCAGCGCCCCCAGAGTGAGCGTTCTCAGGGTCCCCCACATCCCGGGTGCGGTTCAGGGCTCTCAAAGCCACTCGTGCCGATGCACCTGTGACTCTCCCGAGGGGTAGCGGCAGGCCAGAGTGCTAAGGGCTAGTGTAATTTCAGAAACGCCAACTATTTTTTAAACGGGAGTTATGAAGAAGACAAAGAACTTTTTCCTCTGTCATCTTTCAGCCGTTGTCACCCAGAGCCTCCCCGCGACTCGCTGACTGTTGATGCATTGACAAATGGGAGGCAAATCTCATTTTGAATCTGTTTTCATCTTTTTCAGACCTCAGTCACAGCGGACTGGCAGATCATTATGAAAATCCCCACTGGGGACAGCAGGCCACTTTCCGAGGGGACGCCGGCTGCGGCTGGGATCAAGTGATCGTGGACCGGGCCGACCAGGAGGCGTGGCCTTCCATCACCGGAGCCGAGGCGGAAGCCGCCTCAGAATGCCCGGCGGACACTGACGCTGCCCCCAACTGCGGCTCGGAGGGCAGTAGCATGGCTACGGGCAGCGCCCAGGGCAGCTTCCCGGGACACACCAAGAAGACGAATGGCAATAACGGCCCCAACGGCGCGCTCGGCCAGAGCCCCTCCAGCCAGAGCGCCCTGGGCACGGCGGGAGCCAGCGGGAACGGGAACGCTGCCCGAGTGTGGGGAGTAGCCGCCGGGGCCGGCTCGGGCCTCGCCCACTGCCCCCTCAGTGGGGGGGACGGGAAAATGGACACCATGACGGGGGACGGGCGGGGCCAGAGCTGCTGGGGTGCCCCCAGCTCCAGTGCGGGCGTCAACCTCAACCTCAACCCCAGTGCCAACCCCGCCGCCTGGCCTGTGCTGGGGCATGAAGGGGCTGTGGCCACGGGCAACCCTTCCAGTATTTGCAGTCCGGTCAGTGCCATAGGTCAAAACATGGGAAACCAGAACGGGAGCCCCGCAGGCACCCTGGGGGCCTGGGGGAACCTGCTGCCGCAGGAGAGCACAGAACCCCAGACGCCCGCTTCTCAGAATGTGTCTTTCAGCGTCCAACCTCAGAACCTTTCCACTGACGGACCAAATAACACTAATCCCATGAACTCTTCAGCAAACCCTGTCAATGCAATGCAGACGAACGGGCTGCCCAACTGGGGCATGGCTGTCGGCGTGGGTGCCATCATCCCGCCTCACCTGCAAGGCCTTCCTGGTGCTAACGGATCATCGGTTTCTCAAGTCAGTGCAGGGGGTGGTGAAGGGATTGGCGGTTCTGTGTGGGGGCTGTCCCCAGGGAACCCCGCCACAGGCAACAGCAATCCTGGGTTCAATCAGGGGAATGGAGACACTGTGAACTCAGCATTAAGTGCTAAGCAAAATGGATCGAGCAACGCCGCGCAGAAGGAGGGGAGTGGCGGGAGCGCGTGGGACTCGGGGCCGCCCGCTGGTCCTGGAATACTCGCCTGGGGCAGGGGCAGCGGCAGCGGCGGTGTTGGCAATATCCATTCGGGAGCGTGGGGCCACCCCGGCCGAAGCACCTCAGGCGGGGTGAATGGGGAGTGGGGAAAGCCCCCAAACCAGCATTCCAGCAGTGACGTCAGCGGGAAAGGGTCAACAGGGTGGGGCAGCCCTGGCATGGGCAGCCAGAGCCCTGCCGTGCAGCCTGGCAGCGAACACACGAACTCCTGGGCCAAGGCGGCGTCCTCCAGCACCACGGCCAGCGAGGGCAGTGGCAGCGAGGGCTCTGGGGGGCACTGCGAGGGCGGCGCCGGGAGGGAGGGAGCAGAGGGCCGCAGGCGAGACAAGGCGAGTGGAGACCCAGGGCATGTCCAGTTGCCAAGGAATGACCTCGACCCGCGAGTCCTGTCGAACACCGGCTGGGGACAGACTCCAGTGAAGCAAAACACTGCCTGGGAATTTGAAGAATCCCCGAGGTCGGAGCGGAAAAATGACAATGGGACGGAGGCCTGGGGCTGCGCGGCTGCTCAGCCGCCGGCCTCGGGCGGGAAGGACGGCGGGTCCGTCGTGGACAGTACAAATACCTCTTCAGTATCTGGGTGGGCCAGCTCACCGCCGACTGCTGTGCCAGCACACACGGGCTGGGGAGACGGCAGCAGCAAAGCGCCAAACGGCCCAGGGGTTTGGGGGGACTCGATCAATTCTACTGCTGTTACTAATGCTGCTGCTGCCGCCAAGGGCGGCCAGGCTTGGAGCGGGACCGCACACCAGGAGGACAAGTCGCCCACTTGGGGGGAGCCTCCGAAACCCAAACCTCAAAACTGGGGAGACGGACAGAAGCCCAGTCCAGCCTGGAGTGCAGGAGGGGGAGATTGGGCAGATTCCTCTGCTGTCCTGGGACACTTGGGGGAAGGGAAGAAAAATGGCTCTGGATGGGACACCGACAGTACTAGGTCAGGGTCTGGCTGGAGTGACACGGCCAGGTCTGGGACCAGCGGCTGGGGCAATGGCACGAGCGCCAAGATGACCCCGGGCACAAACTGGGGGGAGTCCCTGAAACCTGGCCCCCAGCAGAACTGGGCGGGCAAGCCCCCAGACAGCACCGTGAGTAACTGGGGCGGAGCTGTTTCTGTCAAGCAGACAGGAACAGGGTGGGTCGGGGGGCCTGTCCCTGTCAAACAGAAGGACAGCAGGGAGGCCACCGGCTGGGAAGAGCCTTCTCCACCGTCCATTCGACGCAAAATGGAGATTGATGATGGTACCTCAGCTTGGGGCGACCCAAGCCACTACAACAATAAAACTGTAAACATGTGGGACAGGAACAACCCGGGCATCCAGAGCAGCACCACAGCCAGCGCCGCCACCACGGCCACCACCACCACCGTGAGCAACAGCGCCAGCACGGGCGAGGTGCCACCGGCGCACCCGGGCTCCCAGCTGCCACGCTCGCCGCTGCTCGGCCCAGGTAGGACGCGCTCCTGCTGCTGGCGGGGGCGCACTGCCCAGGTAGGATGCCTCCGGCTGCTGGCAGGGGCGCACTGCCCAGGTAGGATGCCTCCGGCTGCTGGCGGCAGCACGCGCGGCCTCAAGCGTACGTGCACCCAACCTGTGCAGGTGGCCGATGGCAGGCAGTGGTGCGCGTGACCTGCCGCACGGCAGCGGCCTGTGAGCAGCGTCTAGAGGGGACAGGTAAGGCAGGGTGTCCCGGGGAAAACCACATCCACTTCGGAGAGGTTTGGGGACCATTAAGTGAGTTTGTTTACTTTCAAGCCTTCATGTCTCTGGGAGCTGAGCCAGCAGTTTCCTGGGAGCTCGGGGCTGACGGCCCCATAAGTCAGAGGTCTCCTGTGCCTTTCGCCTGGAGGGAAGCCAGGGTGCTGCCATGGCCACCCGAGACCCCGAGATCCTCATTCCCAGCACCGATCCTCACAGGTCGCCGTTTCAGGGCCCTGATCCCCACTCCAGGTTTCGGGGAGAGCCACATGCCTGGCCCGGTGATCCCACGGGCCTGCCTGAGGGACCAAGGTGGGAGGCCCAGCAGCTCGCGGGCCGCCTGACCCCGGCGTCTCGGAGACCCCCAGGAGCGCAGCCCCCGTTTGCCGGTGATTTCGGACCCTGTGATCCGTTTCCCGTAAAATCTACCCTTACTGACCTTTAGTAGACAAAGAATGTGAACTCACTCTGGAAAAGGCATTCTTATCCAGTCAGAGGGGCCAATCATTCTTTTATTGAAAAATATGTAGCGGTGCTATCTTTTGAACACACTGCACATTTATCACCAAGCACAGGAGCCCTGCCCTCGCCCCGGGAGTGTCCCCGACCCAGAGGGCCTTGGCAGAGACTCACGGTGGGGAAGCAGCTGTGAGTTGTTTTGCCCCAGACAGCAGACCCGTGTGGCCCAGCCGGGAGGCCACGCGCAGAGCTGGGTCTAGTCCGCGTGGTGCACAGGCGAGTTGGGTCATCGTTTAGTTTGTGACAGTCTCCACCATTGACACCAAGGGGCTATGTGGGCTGCCGCCCCCCGTCCCCTCGCAGTCAAGGCTCAAGCCTGACCCAGGCACACTCGCGGTGAGAGCAGAGCCCACCCCTGTCGGGAGCTCCAGGCGATCCTGATGTCCGCCCGCCCTGGCACCCCAGGCCACCCCTCCAGCTGAGGGACACACACACCTTCACTCCTTGAGAGCGACGCCAGTGTGCTGGCTCCGCTGAGGGCTGGGCAGCCCCCACCCCTGCAGAGGGCTGGGCACTGGGAGTGGCAGCAGTGCAGCAGCACCCACCAGGCCAGGATAGCTGGGGGCTGAAGCCGTGCAGACCCAGCCTCACAGATGCACTGGGATTCTCCACGCCAGAGCCAGAGGCCTGGTGACTCCTGAGCAGCCCCCTGGTGTCCTGTTGGCCTGTGATGATTTCACAAGACACCCCCCCCCCAGTGTCAGAAGTTGGGGTTTAAGTGTGAGCTTTCCCACCTGCGGGTGTTGACCTCGGCCTCACAAGACGCAGTGTCTCCGGGAACTGCCCCATGTCCACCTTGTGGTCACTTGCCCACAGACGCTTTAGGCGATCCCAGCTCCTTCTCACCTGCCCCGACGCAGCTCAACCTGAGCCAAAGGGGCTGGAGCCGCCGTGGCCAGACGGTGGCTGGAGCCTGGGGTGCCAGTGACCACTCGCAATGGGCCAGACATGAGGCGGGCGAGCATCACACACTCAGGCTTCTCAGGAAGGGCAAGCCAGTCCTGAAATACTCAGTGGCCTGGTTTTCTAGTACACTTAGAAATAAGCATTCTAGGACTCTTAAAAGGCAATTTGCAGACACAGGAGAACGTGGAATGTTAATTAATACAAACCGTGCTGACAAACACCTCCTGGTGGGCGTCAGAACCTGACTTGGGGGCGAACCAGAGGAGACTCCTTCCATCTCTGCACAGTCAGGTTTCACCAGAACATTCAGATCATTTGAAAGAGGCGGGGGAGGCCAAGGGCAGAGAGATCACTGTGAAGCCCAGTGTGAAGCCACCGCGGACTGGCCGGAGCCTGCCTAGCAACAGAGCAGGCCCCGCAGCAGTGGGGTGGGGGGATTGTCGCACATGTGCAAGTCAGAAAGCCAGAAATACCCCAGAGGCGCTGGGCGCATTCCAGGGTACTTTTCCAACCCGTCTTCTGCCTCTTCTCCCAGCTGCTCGGATGAGTCTCATCAGCCATCATTGGGCATGTCCACGGGGCTGGGGAGAGTCTGTCATCCGGGCAGGCTGCAGAAGGCTACTTGACCTCTCCGCTGGACTTCAAGGGGGACTTCGGTGTGGTGCTTTTACATTCGTGAGCCCGGCCAGGGTGGTGTCAGCTATCCCTACAGAGGCCTGGCCCCCACAGGGACTAAATTTGGAAGAAGCACCTGCCTAGGTCACTCAGACACTTGGGATGTTTCTAGACGTCTGCTCAAGAGCAGAGGCCAGCACTCACCTGCTCCGGTATCATTCCTTGGTATAAAACTGATAGCAAAAATGCCATCCTCTGCAGATGCAGCGGATGAGCAGGCACCATGACAGCCGGGCCTGCCGGGCCTGCCGGCTCTCGCGGTCCTTCTATTTTAAGCATCAGGCTGTCGTTACAAAAACAGAAGTGAGCTGCTAAACTCTCTGTGGCTGTGGGATGTTCTTGGGTTTGGGCTTGAGGGACTTGCCAGGCAGGAGGGGGCTAGCCCTGGAGGAGGAGCAGGAAGCCAGAAGGGCGGGAGCGTGGGGGGGTCATTCCAGGGAGTCCCCAGATGAAGGATCATCCCACACACAACTTTCACCCTAGGTGTTCAATGCAAAATGAATAAATGAGAAGACAGTTAAAAATACCGTTTGGCCCCCCACCCACTAATCAGAGAGAGTTAGCAAATGTAAAATATGTCCTGATACGCTAAGACATGCCTTAATGTGCGACTGCTTGTCTTTCTGATTCCTGCCCTCGAATGCCAGCAGGGCAGCCAGGCACAGCGCTTCTGGGAGGCTGCCAGGCCTCTCTGGTCACACGGACAACTTTTGAAAACCACTCCCCCACCTGTCACCCTCAGATAGAGTCCCCTGACTTAGGGACAGACCTGTCAAGTAAGTGCCCGGCCACAAGGCTGTCTGCAGAGGGGGATACTTTCCCACCAACTGAGCAAACTCTCTGTGAGCGCCTCCCTCAATAAGTACCTGTACTGACTTCAAATATGAAAAATTGTTGCCACAGCTACTACCAATTTCTCCTCTGTCCCCCACATAACCAGGCAACAGACCAAGCAGTATAAAAAATGTCCATTATGTTTAAAGTCCATCAGTAAAAGCCAAATCCCATCTCGTACAGATTTAAGTCAGTTCTGAAAGTACCCAGCTCACAGCAGGTGCCCGTCGCTTAAATTTTCAGTCCTTCTTCTTTCACCTAAAAAAAGTGAAACTTTCTTCCTGAAAAGGGCTCCCTGTCCCCTCAGACTGCGTAACTGTAGGGAGCACCGTGGAGCAGCTAGAGTGGGTTTCTTGTTCCACGAAGTAAGAGTGCCACGGTGCTCTGGTGGGGTTGCTGCGTCGGGGCCGGGGCCTTCCCCATCCTATGTCGGGCCTGTTCCTGCCTCCAGCTTGTTTTTATACTGACCTTGGGTGATGTCTGCCACTGAGGCACTGTTTTCTCCATTCTGCAAGAAAGATGAAAAATGTATACTTGAAATTAGTGGAAGCCAGCAATCTGGTGGCATGTCATTATTATTGTTACTTTATTACCAAGATACTGATTCCTAAAATCTACAGCACAGAAGGCAGTAGGGTGTGAAGGGCCTTTTTTGAAATTTTAATGTCAGTGTTTTAAGTGGAAGAGAGAAATTTATTCTGCCTTTTAAGTGCCACTTTATAAAGTTATTGACGAAAAGCAGACCAGAGTTACTCCAGCAGCAAACAGTGGAGACTAGACTTATTTTAGCAGTATCGTTTTCTGTCTTCTGAAAATGCCTGCTTTGCCTCCTGGGTTGTTGACGTCTCTCCTTGGGGTCTAGAGCCTTCTGCAGCCTGGACTGCTCACGTTCTGACGGGGACGCTAGCTTGGCACTGCGGGTAAACTAGAGACCAATTTAAAATGGAAATGCTGTTTCCTCATTTTGTTTTGTTTTCTAAGACTTATTTACACATGCAAGAACTGGACTATAGGCCAGAGGTGCAGAGGGTGAGAGGATTCACCAGAGACAGAGAGTGGGGAGCAGAACAGGCAGATCCACTGAAACACTGCTGAGGGGAGCAGCGGGGAGACAGGAGAGGTCTGCTGCGCCATGTGGGTAGCTCCCTGGCCAGAGATCAGAATCGTGCTGCAGTGGCTGGAGATAGCTTCATAGTGCTGAGATGTAAGCCCTGAGCCTCCAGGGAGGCCCTATTTTCTTATTTTTGAGTAAGCAATTATTCCTCCATTTATTTCTAAGATTTTGAAACTTACCGCTTACAAATTGTCTTCTATATAAAAACACTCTGTAAGCATCTCTGCTGTTCCAACAGGAATTAAAAACTTAAAAAGAAAATCAGGTAACTACAATTACCAGGCTCTTAATATTTATTCTTAGGGCCTTCCTGGTGGTGCAGGGATTTAAGTCTCAGCGCTATTCAGCTATCCCCAGCCGCTGAGGCATGAGTTTGATCCCCGGCAGGGAGCTACCCACATGGTGCAGCATACCTCTCCTGTCTCGCCCACTGCTCCCCTCAGCAGTGTGTTTCAGTCAGTCTGCCTGTTCTGATCCCCACTCTGTCTCTGGTGAATCCTCTCACCCCCCCCCACACACACACCTCTGGCCTGTACCCCAGTTCTTGTATGCATAAATAAAAATAAATCTTTTTTTAAAAAATTTTATTCTTAGTTTTGTCTTAGTTAAATAATTTGTAGTTTTGCTTTCAAAGAGATGAGAGTATAAAGATGACAAATGTTCTGTGAATTCAATATTACTTGACATAAATTAGTATTTTTACAACTCATCAATCTTCAGCAACCGAAATGATTTTGTCTTCCCAAAACATCCGTTATTTGTATCTGCTGCGTTAATTTTCCTGATTTAATTTTGTCCCTTCAATTTGTAAAACTCCCAATGTAGAACAACGAGCTGATCGGGCTGGAGACCACGTGTCGCTCAGCTCAGAGCTGTGAAGCAGGGCGAGTCCTGGCCTGCACAGCATTTGTCCTTGACCAACATCATTGCATTGTGTTGTGGTGAAGAGCTTCAAGGGAGCAGATTCTGTGCAATTTTTAGTCAGAAAATTCATGTTTTGTGATTGCAATATGACCTTTTTTAAAGTCACATCCATTTGTGACCAACCCATGTAAGCTTTGTTTGTTACCTCTCTGCATGTGCTGCTTTCTGCTCTCTGCTCTTCAGTGAGATTGAGCGCACCCGCGCACCTGTCTCCGGGCAGCTCTGTCTGTAACTCACAGCCAGCACCGGCTGCATCTGCCCGCCTGTGGGCCAGCTCGTGGGCAGGAGCAAAATCATCAGAATTTGAGTTGATTTGGAAAAGTAAAGTTTCCATATGTAACAACCTTTTCTTAGTAAAGTGTAAAGATGGAGAAAACTGTCCCTGTGATGCCTGTCCCTGGAGTTAGTGATGCCTTAGTAACGCGCTGGGTGCCGGTGCCAGTCCCTGGTGGGGCGGGCAGGCCTGGGCCACCTTTGACCTCTACCTCAACCCTCCGTGCCCGCCGGGACCACCGTGGCGGTGACACCTCCATCATATGATCTTTTTTTTTTTTTTTAAGTATCTTTGAAGATTTTAATTATCCATTTGCGTAGAAGAGCTGGGGTGTAGGCCAGAGGTGCAGGGGGTGAAAGGACTCACCAGAGACAGAGTGGGGAACAGAACAGGCAGATCTACTGAAATACCCTGCTGAGGGGAGAGCAGGAAGACAGGAGAGGTCTGCTGCGCCATGTGGGTCCCTCCCAGGGATCGAGCTCAGGCCGCAGCGTTGACAGCCTGAGACCGACCCCCAGGCTTCAAGGGAGGCCCCCTCTCTTCCCGTCTCCAAGACCAGGGCCTCTGCGCTTGCTGCTGCTGGCAGCCGGGATGTCCGCCCACTTCTCGTGCCTTTGCCGGGGTCTGTGTCTGCGATGTTTGGTCAAGAGATAGACGAGAATACTTTTTGAGCTTACATTTTCAACTTGTAAATTTCCTTGTAAGAGAATAATGGCGCCTAAAATTTCGTCCAGGTCATTATCTTCACCAGAAATAAAAACCGAATAAAAGCTATTTCTTAAACATTAGATGTTATTCTTTCAAACCCGAACAAGTTGCAAATACTGTGAATTTAATAGTTTCTAATGTGTAGTAGACTTTCAGTTTTAAGTGGGTGGGGTTGGGAGTGAGAACACTGCAGCCTTTGGAGCTTTAATGTCTCCCTTTCACTTCCGGCTAAAAGCCATCCTAAAGACAGACGACTCAAAATTACTTTGAATTTGAAATTACCATTTGTATTTTTCTTGGTTGCACTGTTTTTAATTTTCTGTCTCCCTCCATGCCCTTTGCAGTTTCGTCAGGCTGGGGAGAAATGCCTAATGTTCACTCCAAGGCTGAAAACTCCTGGGGAGAACCATCCTCCCCGTCGACCCTGGTTGATAACGGCACAGCAGCGTGGGGCAAACCGCCCAGCAGTGGGAGCGGGTGGGGGGACCAGCCTGCCGAGCCGGCGGCCACCTTTGGAAGAGCCAGCGCCCCTGCTGCCGCCCCAGCCCTGTGCAAACCAGGTAAGCGGGGTCCTTGGGGGGCGGGGTCAGCGCAGTACTTGAAGGGCCGCTTCTCATTGACTTCCAAGAGCTAACATTTTAGGAAGCGCACCTCATTTTTTCTTAGAATTTATTTTTTTAATACAAGAGCTGGGGTACAGGTCAGAGGCGCACAGGAGGGTGAGAGAATTCACCAGGGACAGAGCGGGGAGCAGAACAGGCAGACAGACCAAAGACACAGCTGAGGGGAGCAGCAGGTGCCACAGGAGAGGTCTGCTGTGCCCTGTGGGTAGCTCCCTGGCTGGCCAGGAATCGAACCCGTGCTGCAGAGGCTGCGGATGGCTTCACGGTGCGGCGCTCAACCCGCTGTGCCACTGGGGAGGCCCATCATTTTATTAGCACTTTAAGTCTAACATTAAACCGAGACTATAAAGAAATATTTGCCAAGTCTGATACGCGACACAGAGGACCATAAGCAGAAGTCCACACTCTCTGCTTTCGAAAAACAAACACAGAAACCAGGACAGCGCAGCCCCTCGTGGGTGGGCAGCTCTTGAGCAGAGCCCTCGCCGCGCACCCTGGCGGAGTGGACAGGCCCCTGTTTCCCATGTGCCCAGGCTGGGAAGCTGCATTCCTTCACCGCAGCCTGACACTCTGCCTTACTTTTGTCTCATAAACAAAATTCTGCTTTAGAAATTCCAGACTTGTGCTTTGTCTTTTTTTGAGAAAGGAAAGAAAAAGCGCGCTGAGTTCCCATCCGGAGGAGGTGTAATGAGCGTGCACGTAAATCCCGTCCGGCGCGACTTGCAGCTGTCCAGCTCTTGTTAGCCCGGCGGCCTTCTGCCTGGGCGTGCCCGGCAGCGGGGTGGGCATGGGCAAGATGCCGCTGTGCGGCCTGACCGTGGCTCGGTGCCAAGGGCAGCCCTCTGTCCTCCCACAGGTGGCGCTGCCCGGCATGCGTGGGTCGCTGAGGCGGCCGGACGCTGAGCCGGGCTGTCCCGCTGCGGCCTCCACCTGGTTCCCCGGCAATGTGGCACAGCGTAAAGGGCGGGGCCTGGCAGGTGTTGGTGCCTTGTGCCGCTGGAGCCCGTGGGTTTGTTCCTGCCACTTGTCCATGGAGGGCCAGTCCTGCGGCTGTTCCCTCAGAAGCCCGCGGCCCCCTCATCCTCAGGCCCGGCCCACTGCACTCTCCTCTGGCCTTCAGGCTCCCAGCAAGTGAAAATTTGGGGAAAATTTCACACCAGAAATTACTTTATTAAGAAAGAGGAAAAATTAATATTCTGGAAGCAAACGCAGTATTGAATCTGTAGCCCCATCTCCTTGAGGCCCCCCCATTTTCGGGAACTTGTCCGCCCCCTGCAGACCTGCACGTGGACCCAGCAACTGCGTGCCGCACGTGGGGGCAGTGCCACGGGGCGCAGCTGCATCAGGAGCGACTCAGACCACACGGGGGGGGCGGGGCTGCCTTCCTGGGCGCCAGAGTCTGCCCGGACGCCGGGCCGCCCCGGGTACAGCTGCCAGTGCTGGCGTTGGGGAGACTGCACACACGTAAACACATATCACCGCCCAGAGGGAAATTCAGTTAGGGAGCCTGGGGAGTGAGGGGTGACAGGCCACCGCACACCTCTCTGTCCTGCCACGCCCCGAGTGACATTACAGCGCAGCAGCTTCTGCCTCAGGAAAGGCGGCTCGGTCAGTTCCTGTCCCTCTCTTTCCAGCTGCAAAATCTATGCAAGAAGGCTGGGGCAGTGGTGGGGACGACACGAGCCTCAGCTCCGGCCAGTGGGAGGACGAAGAAGGGGGCGTGTGGAACAACGCCGCCTCCCAGGAAAGCACCGCCTCCTGCAGCTCCTGGGGCAGCGCCCCCAAGAAGGGACTCCAAAAGGTGCGTGTGCTCTGGACAAACCAAAAGTCGGGGGCACTTAGAAGCCGGGTACCAGCCCCGTCTGCCGTTAGTGGTGGCCGGGACTGCAGGTCTCCCAGCTCTGAGAGCCGCAGGGGCCTGGGGGCCCTTCCAGGGGTGCTGGGGCCAAAGCCGCCCCGGAAGTGCAGACCCGGCCTGCCCTCGGACCGGCGGTGAGGGGGCCACGGGCACACACTGCCTTTCTCCCCACTGGAAAATTCTGTTTTAGAAAATACAATCATTTTCCCTTCCAAAAAGTTGACATGTTGACATATAATGAGTTTATCGTTGATATTTTAAAACAAAGTAATAAGCATTTTTCAGCTTTTCAGTTTTAATTCCTTACGTGTGAACGTTGATGGCCCAACCCTGTAAAGTCACGTTCTGTAGGGCTGCAGTGTACACGAGAGGGGCCAGTGAGACCCAGCCCCGGGCTCCTGCAGGGCGCAGGCGGCGGCTAAGGGTCTGGCGCAAGCCCACGCTCGCGGGTGCTGGGACGAGCCCTGCAGGCTCCAGGGCTCCGTTCGCAAACAGCCTGGTAGGGGCAGAGCCTTTCTGACTGGCCAGAATCTATGCGGCACACAGTCAGACTGTGAAATGTAGCTGATGAAAATTGTGCGACAGAAAATATTGTGATCAAAGTCAAAAAACAGACACCAAACTGGAAAAGAGCATTTGTGGCTGAAATCCTAGGGAGGGCTGACCTCCCTGTTATAGAAACAGAGGTCCTAGAAAGAGGGTTTGTTGAGAAGAATCAACCAGCAGCCAAAGGAAAAAGGAGCAGAGACTGTGGGTAGATGGTCCGTAGGAGCGGGCCGCGGCTCCAGCACACGGAGAGCCCTCACCCGGCGCGCAAGAGTGTCCAGGCCAGAGCCGCAGGGGGCGCCCTCATCCTTTCCCAGACTGGCCAGGGCTCCAGTGGTCAGCAAGCACCACCTCGGGGGGTGCAGGTGCCGGCCGGTGCTGTCCATCGACGGGGTGACTCGTCGAATCACGCAGGACCCATGCTCTGGGAAGCTGCGCACTGCTAAGCGGACGTGTTGCCTGCACTGGCTGGAAAGAGGCGGCGAGCTAGATGGTTAGGTGAGAAGACAGCACAGAAAACATGTGCCCGCGGGGCAGGTGCCCACGCACACTCTTCGTGTTCTCTGTGAAATTGAGAATCCTCTTGAGGGCTACATAGGAAATTGCCAAGTGGTTTCCTTCCAGAGTGAACCACAACGAAGGGGCTGGGAGAGCGAAGGTGCTCCATGCTCCCTCTTCCCTCCTGGCCACACGAGTGTGCTGTCTGTACAAAAAAAATTAATTTGAAAAAGCTTCAATTAGTGGTAAGCAAAACGCAGAAACCGAGATCAGGGCCCCCTGTTGGCAAGGAGTGGACGTGACTGTAGACCCCAGAAAGTCTCAGGGACGGCTGGCCGGCGGAGGGCCGTGGGTGACCAGCCGGAACCACGAGTGTGTCCAGAGAGCCTGCCCGGCCAGGGCGTGGGCTCGGGTCCCGGGACAGCCCCGCCGGGCTCCCCACTTGCGCCTTCTCCCGTCCCTGCTGGCGTGGTCTTGAAAAGCACTTGACGAATCCTTTTTGGGGCATTTTTTTCAGGGTCCTCTGGCCCTGTGGAAGCCTTCGTGGTTGTAGAGAGGGAGGAAGGTGGTGAAGAGGAGGCGTTGCCTCTGAGCCTTGCCGCCTTCCTGCTCCTCCCCCTCCGCCCTGGCCTGCAGGGCTTTACTAGTGGGCCCAGATCTCTTCTCCCTCTGCCCCGGGGGCTGTGGGCAAGGGCAGGCTTTGCCCCTTGCTGCGTTCCCGCCCTGCGAGCCGAGCCTGCCTGCGTGTCACTCCGGCTCCTCAGAGGGGAGGCCCGGGAGGCTCTCAGCAGCCCCCGCCGTGTCCACGCAGGCCTGTTCCTGGCACTGGCTGCGCTTACTTGATAATGGAAGTGGCACATATTTGTGATGAGCTGGGTTCTCTGGAAAGGAGGAATAGCTTGCTTTTTTTTTTTTTTTTTTAAGATTTATTTATTTATACAAAAACTGGGGTACGGGCCAGAGGCGCAGAAGGGTGAGAAGATTCACCAGAGACAGAGCGGGAAACAGAACAGGCAGACTGGCGAAATACACTCTGAGGGGAGCAGCGGGCGAGACAGGAGAGGTCTGCCACGCCATGTGGGCTGGCCGGGATCGAACCCACGCTGCAGACTGTGGACAGCTTCACAGTGCAGTGCTCAACCGCCTGTGCCACTGGGGAGGCCCGGAATATCTTGCTTTTTAAGTCTGGAAATTGCACAGATGAGCCGCCTGAAGGCCCTGGGCTGCAGGGCGCCCCTCAGGCTGTGCACTGACCCAATCTGTGACCTCCCTTGCCGTGGTGTCGGGCCTGTGAGCCGCCCAGCGCTCACGCACCGTCCCTCCCGCTTCCTTCCAGGGCCTGAAAGCTGCCGGCAAGCAGGACGAGGCCTGGATCATGAACCGGCTGATCAAGCAGCTCACGGACATGGGCTTCCCGGTGACTGCGCCCTCCTTTACTGCCCCCGCCCCGTGTCCTGTCCACACTTGTTGCATGAGATGAGGAGGAAGACTCTTGAGGGACAGCCTTGACGTAACCTGCCCCACACACCCCCTTTCCCCGGCACTTCTGTTTCGGGGTCGTTGCTTTGGCCTTTGACAAAGATGTACGTCGTTTCTCACGAGAAAGGTGTGAGGGCCTTTTCCTAGAATAACCCGTGCTGAGCGGGCCCTACTCTCCCTTACACGGCTCGCTTTCTTCTACGTCATCGCGAAAAGTCAGTCTCCACGAGTCTGGACGCAGTGGCCGCGATGACAAAACTTAGCACAGTGTCACGTCCAGGACCCGCTGGCTCCTGAGCTCAGGTCCCAGGAGTGGCCGAGCCCCGGGCGTCCCTCCCAGCCAGGGCCGGGGTGCCCGGGAGGCCTGGGCCACTCGCGCCCTTCAAGCGTCTTCTTCCCAAAGGCTTGTCAAACGGGTGCATGTCTTCTGTTTCTGGGGTGTCCCTGGGGATCCGGGTGGGCACAGCCGCTGCCGCTGCAGCCGGGCACCGGTGGCCCAGCCTCCCGGTGGGGGCGGGCAGGACGAGGGGCCTGCCCGAGTCCAGTCACTCTGCACCTTGGCCACGACGCCCGGCTGCCTTTAGTCTTGCCCTCAGATTAGGCCTGTCCCTTGGGGGACAGTCCTCAAAACACGCCCCGGTCCTGTTTAGTTTTCACATTTCTTGGTGAAAGTTGTTGCTGGCAGAACCCGGAATCAGGGACGTGGAGACAGACCCTGTGGGTCCCGAGGCCCCTGCCCTGTCCGGGGGGAGGGGGGAGGGGCCCCCACTGAGCTGTCGGCACTTGCTGTGGTACAGAAATGATCGCAGTATTCTCCAGATACCGTGTATTTTGTTTCTAAAGTGTAAAATGTTTTTTAAGCTAAAAATCAATTCAGTACGTTTCCTTACTACAAATGTTATAACTTAGTAGACATTTGTGACTTTCGCCACGATGAAAGTGGTATTTCCAGTTCCCAAACTTGGCACTGTTAGGACAGTAGCCGTCATCCGGGCCGATGCCTGACAGTGCTTGACCTCCCCCCCCCGCCCCCCAAGACCCGACCTAACGACTCTGTTTTCCCGCCCAGAGAGAGCCGGCGGAAGAGGCCTTGAAGAGCAACAACATGAACCTTGACCAGGCCATGAGTAAGTAGCATGGGCGCCGGCGTCTGGCCCGCAGCGGGCTCCTGGGCATCCCTCAAGGCCTGCGTGGGGCGGGGTGCGGGTGGCCTCCGGCTGCAGCCAGGAGCTGTGCCTGTCCAGGGCAAGCGTGGCTCTGGGGCATGTGGACACTGCCACGTGGAAGCATTTTCTTTTTTCACTTGATTCCAGCACAAATAGGTGAAATCTTCCCCGTCTGTTGGGGTAAGGAGGTCCCGATGCCCTGGAGAGGGTGCTGGGACACCAGAGAGGGTCCCTGGGTGCCTGCTGAGCTCGCGCCCTGCCCAGGCCACTGGCCCAGCCCGTGCGCCTGTCAGAACGAGCCTTGCCCCGAGCAATGGCAGCCCCCACCCCAGAGCTGCCGTGAAAGCAGTAGTTGGGTTAAACCTTCGCAAGTGAACTACAGCCAGCCCTCCGCGTCGGCGGCACGAGGACCACCAGGCAATGAGCAAATCCCGAGCCATCGGCCTGGAGGCGAGGCCGGCGCCGACCTGGGCTGCCACTCCTGTGGCTGTCCGTTGTTCCTGCCCCCAGCGCCTGAGCCGCCGCCAGCTGCGTGTGCAACTCTGCCCAGCGGCCCCCAGTGCTCTGCCGTCCCTCCTGTTCTGACTCTTCCGTGACCGCCGGCGGGGGCTCCCGCCGCACAGCGCCTGCCAGATGTGCCCTCCTGTGGTCTCAGACTCCCAGGAGCTGTGAGCGCTGCAGCTCTGGGCTTGGGGGCCATTTTGAGCAACAAAGTCACCAACCAACAAGAAGCACAAAATGCAAACACCAGGGCTCTCAGCAGCCCACCAAAGGACACTTACCGTGGGGGCAGGAGGAGAGGCAGGGCCTGGTCCCATTGGGTCTGGAACACATGTTGGATCACGTGTTTCCATGTGTGTGGCCACAAGTGGCCACAAAAGGGCCACAGTGTTGGCATGGGCGTGCAAGTAGATGTTAGTGAGTGATGGATTCTGGAATATGAGGACGCACAGCATTAGCTGCCAGGATGGAGAAAGCCACGTGACGGGGAGGATTCTGGAAGAGGCGCAGGAGATGGCACCTCGGAGGGAAGGCCGAGGCTGGAGGCTGGCTGACTGCGTTGTTGTGTCCCGACATCCCGCAATCTGGGGGGGTCACAGGGTGGGTGGGGACTGGCCGACAGCAGCGTCAGGGCGGCTGACACCGTGTGCACAGGGGTGGTCCCCAGTGGGGAAGAGGGCCAAGCCCCTGGGGGCCAGAGGGGGTCAGTGTGGCTGAAGCAAGACTGGGGCAGGGCATGCGGAGCCAGGCCAAGACCCTCCGCTCCCGGGGGCTGAGGTCCTGGTCCTCCCGCGCTGGCAGGGCCGCCTCGAGTCGGGAGCGCCCCCAGGCCTGGGATGTTGGCCTCAGTGTCGCTGCTGTTGGTTGTGCCCCAGGCGCTCTGCTGGAAAAGAAGGTGGACATGGACAAGCGTGGACTGGGAGTGACCGACTACAATGGCATGGTCACCAAGCCCCTCGGCTGCCGCCCACCAATCTCCAAAGAGTCTTCCGTGGACCGCCCCACCTTTCTTGACAAGGTAAGGATTAGGTGGGCTTGGGGCTTGTTTTCCGAGGAGAGCTATTTTTTATTTTACCTTTGTCCTTCATGCAAACCAGATTAAAAACTTGCTGGGCTGTGTCACTTAAGTGACCTTTGCCCATTTTTCCTAACACACAGTAGTCCCCTGAAGCTGCAGAGAGCACTGAGCCCTGTGTAGACTGTCTGTCCTTATACATCCGTGCCTGTGATAAGGTTTAATTTATAAATCAGTCACAGAAAAGATAGAACAATTGCGACAATACACAGGTGACTGAGGCCGCGGGCAGTGGCACCGGGGCCTGGGCCCTATGCACGATGCGCGACCCCATGGGGCAGCCCTGGGGCCAAGAGTGCAAACACTGAGGTCGAAACTGACTTTCCTTCACTTGAGAGAACCTGGCTGAGCCATCTGCTCCCCACTTTGCCCAGTAAACAGGGGTCACCAGCTGTCTGGGTCCTGGCCTGACTTGGGTGCAGCTCTTCCAGTCAGAGACAACTGCTCTGTGCCTAACCTCAGAGACAGGCCCCGGAGCTGGCCGGCCCTCGCGGCTTTGGCCAGTTCAGTCCTGGAGCCCCCGGGAGGCTTAACCAGCCTGACGCCACGCGGTCCTGCTAGTGCTGCCGGGCGTGCACTCTGCTCCAGATTGGCCTGGCTGCAGCGGGAGCAGCAGCTCACCAACTCAGCCAGACAGTTGGAACTTGAAAATAAAATTGATGCAAGAAAGGACAAGTTTTAACAAAGTGAAGATGGAAGAAGAGCTGAGCTGCCCTCGGTTCTTTTTTTTATTTTTAAATATTTATTTGTGCATACTGGAGCTGGGGTTTAGGTCAGTGGTGTGGGGGTGAGAGGATTCACCAGAGACAGAGTGGGGAGCAGAACAGGCAGACTGACTGAAACACACTGCTGAGGGGAGCAGTGGGGAGACAGGAGAGGTCTGCTGCGCCGTGTGGGTAGCTCCCTGGCCAGGGATCGAATTCGTGTTGCAGAGGCTGTAGGTAGCTTCTTAGTGCTGAGACTTAGCCCCTTGTGCCACTAGGGAGACCCCTGCCCTCTGTTCTCAGGAGCAGGGCCTGGCCCTCGCCCACCGCACTGGCCGGGCCAGGGCTTTGCTGCCCTGCCCTGCCCCGCACTGCCCTGTGGTGTGCGGCCTCTGACCCAGGGTGCCCAGTGAAACTGGGATTTCAGATCCACGACAGATGACGGCTGGAACATGCACATTGTAAAATGTTATTTCCAATATAACTTGGCGTCCTGAGTTTTATCTGCTGAACTTGGCAGCCCTGTGTAGGGAACCTGATTTCTTTCCTTGTCTTTAAAATGGTGAATAAGGCCACGGGGTTGTGGTACGTGAGATTAACTTCCAAAGAGTCTGGCACACAGTGTGACCTCAACGGATGTAAGAAAGTCTCTAGTGAGGCTCCTATTTTCTCACTGAACCTGCTGTCAGGCCCAGACACAGGAAACAGTGTCTGGGCCTGCAAGGCCTGCAGCAGACCCAGGCCTAGCCATGGCTCCTCACGTGAGCCTGTTTGTGTGCAAGTGGCTGTAGAGTGTTTTCCAAATAAGACTCTGCCCACACCTCTCACTCTCCCGGCACCCCCAGGCAGGGTCTCCGTGTATGAAAAGACAGTAGCTAGGATGTGTGTTGTTAAATCATTTTTTAAATGAAAACAGCATCTTAATCCTATTTCTCTTTTTTCTTTCCTCCTCTTCCTTTGCCCGTGCCCTCCATGGCTCTTCTAATTCTGTATTCATCCATCTCCCCGTCTCTCCCTGGGAACCTGCGCTCTGTCCGCTGACGGGCGCTGCACACAGCTCTCCCTTTCTTTGTCCAATCAGGATGGCGGCCTAGTGGAAGAGCCCGCGACTTCACCGTTTTTGCCTTCACCAAGCCTGAAGCTCCCCCTTTCAAACAGTGCACTCCCTAATCAGGCCCTGGGTGGGGTTGCCTCAGGGCTGGGCATGCAAAACTTGAATTCTTCTCGACAGGTAAGGTCCTTGGGGGAGAGCTGCATGGTCTATCCTACCTGCCGTTAAAAATGGGGTTGAGACGTGAACTCTTTTGTTGAGTTGGGGCCTGTATTTTCAAGGATGACCCAAAAGGTCATTGCAGTACAGTGAGGATCTCCCTTCAAGTGAGTTCCTGGCGCCATGGGTTGAATCCAGGTTTTGCAGTTTGACCCCCGTGTAGGCAGCGTTTCAGAGCCGGGTCAGTGTTCGCCCAGGACTAAAACGGCTTTGAGTTCAGTGCCCTGGGAGCCGACTGGCTCCTTGTTTAAACGCCCGCGGCACAGAGGGTCCCCGGCTGCCGGGGCCACCGTAGGTGCAGGTGGCGCCCTCCTCTTGCCCCTGCAAGGAAAACCGTAGATACGGGATCTCGTGGACGTCGCACTCGCCCTTTTCCCGGAAGTGGCAGTGCCGTCTCGGAAGGTCCTGGTGGCATGGCTCTGGGGGAGGTGAAGGTCACTGCGGCCCTCGCTGAAGGGTGGGCCTGGGGGTGGGGCCGACCTGCCGCCTCCTCTCCCTCTTCCTCCCGCTCCTGGCCCCTTCCTCCTGCTCCCCCTCCTCCCCCGCCCCCCGCCCCCCCCCCCCCCCCCGTCTTCTCCCGACCTCCTTGGTTTTCTCATGGGTGGGGCTGACTCGTGCCTTGGAGGCTCCACTTTCAGCAGGTGCAGTGTTTGAGGTGCTCCAGGAGCCCTGCAGGTGTTTTCCTGCCGTCCCGGGGGTGGTGGGCAACACCTCCTCCCCTCCCACCCCACAGCAGCACCCGCAGCTCGAGCAGCTGGGGGCAGTTGAGGGGACACCGATGGGCCCCTGCGGCCACCACGTCTCTGCTCCTGGAGAGCATGAAGTACCACTGAAGTCAGGTCTTCTGTTCATGTAACACATGGGCCACAACCTGAATTGTCCATTTGCTCAGTTGCCCACCGGGACATGCAGCCATCCCAGCTGGCAGTCCCCACGCCTCACTCCAGTGGCCGCTGCTGCCAGCTCCGTGGCCCATTGAACCAGCATTTGCTCCGAGTTGGCCGGGCCCAGGACGCCCAGGGCGGGGAGGGGTAGAGGAGGGGTGGGGAGGGGGGAAAGGGCAGGGGGCCCGCACCTGCAGCTCAGCTCCCTTCCTGCCCGCAGATGCCGAGTGGCAGCGTGGGCGTGTTCAGCAGCAGCGGAGCAGCACAGGCCCGGACCCTGCAGCCGCCGCCGCAGCCCCCAGCGCCGCCGCTGAACTCCTCCCAGCCCAGCCTCCGTGCTCAAGTGCCTCAGTTTCTAACCCCTCAGGTCAGCCCCGCCCACTGCCCCCCCCCCGTGGCCCCCAACGAGGTGGCACAGGGATGAGGCCTTCCAGGACCACCCCAGGGGCCTCCGCCAGCCAGACTGCAAGCTACACACCCACTGCCTCACGCGGTTCTGCACTGGGCTCGAGAGAGTGCTCAGGCCACCCGGGGAGTTGTCCTGGGGCTGGTGGGAAGGGCCTGGGACGCCACCCGGGCGCTAGCGCCGCTGCAGGGGTGGGACTGCCGGCCCCATGAGGGTCGTTATTTGATGATGATCTTCGCCAGAGGTTCTTTTTAAAACTCAGAGAGAACGAGGGAAAATCCTAAGGTGTTCCCGCGTTACAGAGCTCTGAAGCACGATGCCAGTGCTTCCGGGCCAGCATCCATTACATGCAACACGGCGTGATTTAGGCTGCGGACTGAATTTTTAATTTCGTTACAGTTGTTATCCCTCGTAAAAGTATTCAGTAACCACTGTTACGTCACAGAATTCGCTGCGAGTAATGGCCACCTCACAGTTGTTTGAGCCCAGATGTGTGCGTGGAGTTGATGGCCGAAATTGGGCCAAGTCTGACCAAGTGACCGCAGTGCCTCGGCCCAGTCGGGGCAGCACAGCCTGCACTTGTGGGCGGGCACGGAGGCCCCTCTGGCCTGCGCCCCACGGCAGAAGCAGCAAGAGCCGGGCAGCCCCACCCTGCCTGGGAGCAGCATGGACCACACCCCTCACACTCCCCGAAAACCTGGGGTGAGGGGGAGAAATGGGGACAGGCACAGTGCCCAGTACCTCAGCAGGGCTGGGGATCCGGGCACCACCGTCCGCGCCCCTACCCACAGGGCCTGCGCCTGGCGTCTCTGCTGCGCGTGGGCCATGTTACCTGGCAGGTGTCCAGCTGGGACACCCCGCAGACAGGCTGCCCCAAGGGGCCAATGATGGCCGAGGTGAGGCCTGGCCCCTCTGGGGGTGGCGTGTCCTGGCTGCCCCTTGGGATGGTGGAGTGGTGGAGCCTGCTGCTCCCCGATCTCATGTCCCCAGGCCTCAGATCATCACCACAGGCTTTCCCTGGGACAGAAGGATTCACCTTCTGTCCGGAGCTGACCAGAGTGACCAGGGCTGTCGGCCACTTATTCAGAATGAAAGCGTGGAGGAAAATCCCTTCCTTCCTTTCTCCCTTCCTTGCTCTTCACATAAGCTCACTAATGTTAAAATGTTGCGGTTTTAATGTTTTTGGAAGTTTACTCAGGAGCCAAATGCAATTGTCATTTAAATAGTTTGGCTCCTGAGTCACCGGACTCAGAACCTAATGCCTTACTTTGTGTTAACAGGTTCAAGCACAGCTTTTGCAGTTTGCAGCAAAAAACATTGGTCTCAACCCTGCACTATTAACCTCGCCAATTAATCCTCAGCATATGACGATGTTGAACCAGCTCTATCAGCTGCAGCTGGTGAGTGGGCGGCTCGTGGGGTTAGAGAGCCAAGTGGGGCCCTGCAGGGTGCCAGCCGCGGGTGCCACGCCGTCCTCGTGTCAGGGGCTGCCACTGAGACTTAGGACGTTTTTAAACTGTTGAAATAGATGGGAAAGCTCTCCTTGCGGCGCTTTTGCTAAGTGCTTGTAAATTCTTCGGCTCCTTCACGCTCAGAGCCCCCAGGTCTCCGACCAGGCACATCTCTAGCTGCAGACACGTCCGCCTCTCCCCCAGACTCTCACTGAGCCCAGGGACACAAGCGCCATCTGAGCGGCTGCCCGGGCTCCCCCAGGCTGGTGTGCGGGTGCCGTGCCCGGGCCCAGCTCGCCGCACAGGCTTCGTGCTCTCAGAGCTCCAGTGATAAAGCTGATGTGGCCGAATCATTCTTGAAAGCTTTATAATTTAACGATCCTGCATTTTTTAACTTTCAACAATCTTCTTGTGTTGCCGTAAAATGCCATGTCACTGTATCCCAAGAAGATAAGAGGGGACCTGGCGTGTTCTCCCTTTAATATGGTAACACCCGATTTATTGAGAAGTCTTATTCAGCTACCCCATGTCCAGGAATCATGAGGAAAGAGAAGAACTAGGCCTCTGGTAGACAGAACCAGGCCAGGCCTCTACAGGGCCCCTAGGCCCGACTCTTTTCTGTTCCTGGACGCCTCTAGCCGCCGGAGTAGCCGGGGGTGGGGGGACAGGGGAGTATGCTGGATGAGCCGTGGGTGGCTGTCGCCCAGGCTGGGACTGGTCATCCGCGGTGGAGGGGAGGCGGTGGCGGGGCTCACTGAGACGGGGTAGGGGGCTCGCTGCCAGCAGGAGCACGTCCGCCACCAGCAGCCACAGGAGAACACTGGCCTCAGAGAGGGAGACAACCATAAAAATCACGCACATGTTGGGCCTCCCCGGTGGCGCAGTGGTTGAGCGCTGGGTTGCGAAGCTGCCCGCGGCCTCTGCGGCGCCGGTTCGATCCCCAGCTGCTCCCCGGCCACCGGAGGAGGGTCCCACATGGCACGACAGACCTCTCCTGCCACCCGCTGCTCCCCTCAGCAGTGGACTTCGTTCCTTCTGCCTGCTCTGCTCCCCGCGCTGGTCTGGTGAATTCTCTCACCCTCCCGTGCTTCTGACTGTACCCGGTGCTTGTATAAACAAAACAAGCAAATAAATAAATAAAACATGCCTCTATTAAAAAAAAAAAAATCACGCACATGTTTAAAAGCATTTAATTTAGAATCTTGTTATAGAGGAAAGTAGCTTTCCATGCCCAAGAACACTGTGGGCACTGCCATGACCCCCCTGGCCCATCATCATGCTTCCCTGTCTACACCCACTTTTCATGACCCCCTATAGTATGAAAACAGTGAGAAAGGGTTGAGTGGTGCTTAGAATATTCTATTCTATTCAGTAATGTATGCTGGTTCCCCATTTTGTTCCAGAAAATATGACAAAATAAAGCTTCAGTGAATCCTAAAGTGTTAGTTCTGTAAGGGTTTACTGAGTATTTTTCTCCTCCGTGATTTACAGATTACTGATTTCTGTTACCATAATCACCACCTTTATTGGGGTTCTGTTTTAATAAATCCCGTCAAGAATGTCTCTAAATATCCATGTTGTAGGAAAAAAAACCATGACATTTTAAAACAATGAGCGGGTCAGGCCTACCAGACGTAGCACAGCAGGCGGCACCCTGGGCCGGTGTGTGACCCGTTGGGGGGGTGGGCGAGGGGCACCTCCACTCCCACCCCACGTGGCCTCCACCGCCCTCAGCTCCGGGCCGGCTGCTCTGGACAGCATCCCTCCACGCCATCTGAGAATGGTGCTTCATTTTCCCCCTCATTTCATTTTATTTTTAGTTTGTGTAGGTCCAGAGAACAATGTTGATCCCTCATTAACTGAAAAAGAGTTGCTATTAACATGATAACCAGGGGATTGGCCGAGTTCCTTTTCAAGGTTAACACCCAGGGTTTAGGACACCTTCCTGCTCCCGGGGCCTTCCTGCCGCAGCAGCGCGTGGCCGCCGGTGCTCGGGCCAGCCTGGCCCTCTTCCTCCCGTCCGTCTGGTGCAGAAGAGGAAGCGTCGGTCGATGGCCTCCTGAAATGCGTTCACCGCTGTCCTCTGCCCACAGGCATACCAGCGTTTACAGATCCAGCAGCAGATGCTGCAGGCCCAGCGTAACGTGTCCGGACCCATGAGACAGCAGGAGCAGCAAGTAGGTGCCGCCAGCCCCGCCTGGGCAGCGCCCCCGCCGGGAGAGGTTCAGGCGCTGCTGTGACGTCTCCTTGGTTTTCCCCCTGAAGCCCCCCTTGAAACATTCCGGGGCCCCCTAGGTTGGGGTGGAGGCTTGGCCCTGCCAGTGGTGACCCAGGCTTGAAGGCGGTGCGGGCTACATGCGCCCCGTGTACAGACAGACCAGAGGCGCCCTCCAGCCGCTCACCCACACGTCTCCCCCAGGTTGCGCGCACAATCACTAACCTGCAGCAGCAGATCCAGCAGCACCAGCGCCAGCTGGCCCAGGCCCTGCTCGTGAAGCCGCCGCCGCCCGCGCCGCACCTGTCTCTGCACCCCTCTGCAGGCAAATCGGCCATGGACAGCTTCCCCCCTCACCCCCAGGCCCCCGGCCTGCCCGACCTGCAGACCAAAGAGCAGCAATCTTCACCCAGCACCTTCGCTCCTTACCCTCTCGGTGAGTCCCGCCGTGGGAGTGGCCGCCCAGCTAAAGGGGGCGCCGGAGGCCTAGGGGGTGTAACCAGGGCTGCCCCAGCTGCAGCTTGTCAGAGCAGAGCACAGGCCCCCTGGTTAGGAGGCAGCAGCAGCTGTCCCTGCAGAGCCTGACCAGTCGTGCCAGGGAGAGCACACGCTGCCCAAGCCCAGCGGGGCCCCGCCTGCGGTTTGTTCCGATCCTCACCGACTCCCGCTTGTCGGTAACAGCCACCGTCCTCCAAGCCAGGGTGCAGGGCAGAGTGGAATGGTTTTGCCGTAAGGGGGTTTGGATTGAAGCAAAGCAGGCGCTTCTTCAAAAGCAGTGATGGGCCTACAGCTCACGTTGTAGAGAGTGTGAATTCTAGACTCAGACAGCAGCGCATGGGATCCTGAACCCACAGAACCCTAACCTGTAACCCAGGGGCTGCAGGCTAGCCAGAGCGCCAGGCCGCAGGCTGAACCGCCACGGGAGGGCTGGGCCAGGAAACCCATCCTGTGAGGCGTCGCTGTGAGCACCCCGAGACAGGCAGGGCATCAGGTTGTCTGTGGGTTGAGCATCAGAGTCTGAGAACGTGTGGCAGGGCCCTGGACCCGGCTCTGGGGCTGAGGAAGAAGCAAGTCCCGCACCTGCCCCTCCGGCTCCAGACAGGCCCCACCCACACTCCAGCCAGCTGGGGCCCAAGTGTAGTCAGCTGTCGGATTCATGAGCTCCCAGGGGCGGGCTTCTGGGCAGCAGGCCCACTACCTCACGCTGGGGGGCACTTTCCAACACTGCCCCGCAATGCCCAGCCAGGGGTGCATCCTGAGAAATGCCCTTCGAGATGCCACTGCTGGGCAGACGTCTGAGAGAGTAGTCGCGGGTCTGGGCACGCCACCCGGCACAGGGCCTTGGGGGGCTGTGGGGCCCAACTTGGCCACGGCATCCAGGAGCTGGGGCTCCAGCATCCTGAAAGCGTGTTTTGCTCTGATGCATTCCCGTGAACCTCCCTAATGTCAGGAAAGATTTTCCTGGTCGTTTGGACTCATTCTCCAGCCTCCGACTGAGACGCCTCGGGACCAGGGTCAGCCCCGAAACACGTGAAATGAAGCGTCCTTGGTCTCCTTTAGTCCATGGCTACTCACTGCCGCTTCCCCTCTGCTCAGGCACAGTATTCCTAGCAGGGTTGCAGGAAGACCCAGCGCCAAGGACTGTGCTCGGCAGGCGGGTCTGACCCACCAGACTCCACCCCGGGGCAGGGTCTGAGCCCAGGCACAGCCTGACAGTGTCTTTGTTTCCAGCTGGGCTGAACCCGAATATGAATGTCAGCGGCATGGACATGACTGGTGGTCTGTCGGTCAAGGACCCGTCTCAGTCCCAGTCTCGCCTCCCCCAGTGGACACACCCCAACCCCATGGATAACTTACCCGGTGCTGCTTCTCCTCTCGATCAGAACCCCAGCAAGCATGGTACGTGCAGGCAGGGGCGCCTTCCCCCCCGCCCCCATCACGCCGCCCGTGTTGTCAGAGGATTCACCCACGTGGAGAAAAAAATGCTGCCGTCATGGCGGGAAATCCCACTGGGCAGTGACCAGACTTGTTGAAACCTTAAGCCCCAGATCTTAGTCCAAGCCCAAAAGTACTTGAAAATGCAAAGAATATAAATCGGTCTGCAGACGTCTTTATGTACGCCTATATATTTCAACAAAAAGTTGGACTATGCTGAAAATTGTCTTCAATAAAATGATCAGCACAGTAGAAAGTGATGTTAGGAAGAGGAGAAATCACGGGCTGGTGACTGCAGGAGGCGCCCACTGGTGTGGGCTGTTTCTCAAACCAAGCCTTTTCCTCGGCCGGCAGGGGAAACGCAGTGTCTCATCTAGACAGTTCTCTTGCTGTGAGGCATTCTAAATAGGAAAGGGAAATGCCTGACCGGGAATTCTGTGAGGAAATCTCAGCTCATCTGGCCCTTTCCTGGCAGGAGGGCCGGGGCCGGCTGAGTTGTCTGTGTAACCAGACCTCGGGCCCTGCCCCTTCCCTGGGGAGGCGCAGGGCAGGGCAGGCTCAGAGGGCCGCTTCAGGGGCTGGCCACAGTGGCCCCCGAAAGCCATGCCGTGGGCAGCTCCCAGCGCTGTGGCCCACACCCTGCAGGATCTCCCACTTGATAAAGTAATGTGGTTCTGAAAGCGCCTCGGTGCTTCAGGGACAAAGTCCCAGCCGGCTCTCAGAAAGTGCCAGCGGCCAAGGCTGGTGGCAGGGCTCCGCTGCAGAGGGCGCGGCCGGCAGTGGGGGGCAGGGGCCCTGCTCACGGGCTCCGTCTCCTGCCCTCAGGTGCTATCCCTGGAGGGCTGAGTATCGGGCCTCCAGCCAAGTCCTCCATCGACGAGTCCTACGGTCGGTACGATTTAATCCAGAACAGTGAGTCACCAGCCAGCCCTCCCGTAGCTGTTCCCCATAGCTGGTCACGTGCCAAATCCGACAGTGACAAAATCTCAAATGGCTCCAGCATCAACTGGCCCCCAGGTGAGCATGCGTGGCCGCAGAGCTGTCCGCCGCACCTGGGCGGGGGCGAGGCCGGGGAGCCCGGGCACGAGCTGGGCCCCGCAGTCAGCTGCCCTGGCTTTCTACGGAAGACCATCTGTCAGATAGATTTGGGGTGTGGTGGGTGTCAGGGACTCTTCTGTGGCCCTTGGGTTCCATCAGAAGAGGGGGGCGCGGGGGAGCCGAAACCCAGTGCGAGTTTGTTCCTGAGCGTTGGCCGTTTGCTGAAAGTCTAACATACGCCTTAGCTTAATTCTCAGGTTGTAAAAAAAAGGATTTAGATGACTGTGCTTGATCTGTTTCGGTTTTCCTCTTGTTTGGCATTTTCCAGAATTCCACCCTGGAGTTCCGTGGAAAGGACTTCAGAACATAGACCCCGAGAACGACCCTGACGTCACCCCCGGGAGCGTCCCCACCGGGCCCACCATCAACACCACCATACAGGATGTCAACCGCTACCTCCTCAAGAGTGGAGGTGAGGCCACCCCGGGGCCTGCAGCAGCTCGAGGGCCTCTCAAGGCCCTGCTCACGGGGCACTTGCGGCGGGGGCTGTGTGCGGATTTATCTATCACCCCTCGTTTCTTTACCAGCAGCCTGTTGTAAAATCGCTTATTAACCGTTAAGCTCTTATATGAGAAGTTTTGACTTGAAATTTCTTTTCTTTTTTTTTTTTTTTTTTTTTGTGGGACCCTCGCCGGTGGCCGGGGATCAAACTGGCGCTGCAGAGGCTGCGGGCAGCCTTGCAACCCAGCGCTCAACAGCTGCGCCACCAGGGGAGGCCCTTGAAATTTCTTTGTCCTAAACTAAAAATGAACTGACTCTTTACTCATCCACCTCAGTTTCCCTCCCATAAGAAGTTTGGCAAAACGAGCGGCATCTGCCCTGGCACGCCTGACGCCAGGCACCCTCGGGCCCCTCCAGGTCCTTCTCAGGCCCAGCAGCAGGGCCAGGGTCACCCTCACAGAGAGAGTCCAGACCTGACACTGAAAAGAGCCATGGAGCCCGGCCCTGGTGGCTAGCGGGTGACCTGCGGGTGGCCAGCGGGTGGCCTGCGGTCATCCGGAGCCCTGCATGGGAGGGGGCAGGGCTGGGGGCTCATCCTGGGGAGAGCCCGGGAATTGTTTTCCAAAGTGGGCCTTGAGGCTCCTGCCTAAAGTCTCACCTGCAGGGAGAGGTTTGTTTCAGAGTGGCGGGTCTCAGTGGTTCTGTGCATGGGAGGCCCGGCACTACAGACCTCCCTGCCCATGATGCCATCCTGCCTGTCTCGGGGCAGCTGCTCCTCAGCCAGGGACCTTCAGGCCTCTCCCTTCGCCCCGAGCCCGGGGGAGGCGGCCACCTTCTCAGTGCCGTGCTTGGCTCTGCAGGGTCCTCCCCACCATCATCTCAGAATGCCACGCTGCCTTCCTCGAGTGCCTGGCCGCTCAGTGCCTCCGGCTACAGTCGCTCCTTCAGCAGCCTCGCGCCCGCACCTAGCATCACAGGTACGCGCCCCCCTCCTCCAGGCAGCCTTCTCTTCCTGCCACTGATGGGACCGCATGGGCAGGCCTGCTCCGCATGGGGTGTGCTCAACTCCGGGGCCTCAGCCTCGGCCCACGTTCCTCTGTCCCCCCACCCCCATGGCTATAGAACCGGAAAGTGGAGATGGAAGACACGGAGGCCACCACGGCTCTGGGGCTTGCTGTCAGGGGCGCAGGTCCACGGTTCAGCGCACCCCATTGTCCAGATCAAGGCAGGGCCTGTGTTGTTTCTGTGCGATAGCGTGAAGGGTCATTTCAGGCATGAGTTTCTCTTAGACTTAGGGGAGAATTGGGAATTGTTTATCATAAAAACTTCAGAGGCATTTGAAGCTGGAAGCCTGAAGAATGTAAAAGGTGTAGACGCGCAGATGAGTAGCAGTCGGAAAATACCTCATTAAACCTGGAGGCTCAGCGACACTCGGGCCTTTTGTAAAGTAGAAGGTTGCTGATGCCGGCGGCCAGAGGGGAAGTCAGTTGTGATATCATTCAGCATCTCAGTAAAAAAGAGGGCGAGAGAGAGAAGTGCTTCACCCTTCCTCCTGCCCCTACCCTCGCGCTGGCCATGCAGGGACGCGCCTCACTGAGAAGGGCCAGACACGATTGCCTCCCGGCACCTTGGGGGGCTGCCAGGGTGGGAGCAGGCTCCCCCCACCGGGTCAGCTGGGTCCCAGCGCGGTCCCAGGGACACAGCTGGAGACTCCACCCTCGCCGCGGGGCTAGGGTTGCGCTGGCCTGCATCTTCCCAAACCAGCCAAACCCCAGAGCCTTCAAACACGTGTCTGTAGCCAGAGCAGACCTGGGGGTTGGGCGGGGGTTCTCTGAAAGGGGCTGCCTCGGGGAAAGTGATAGCAATGTAGCTGCTCGGCTCTCAACCCCATTAGCCTGTGATGTTGCAAAACATGTCCCGGTAGAACTGCAAAAATGCTGTTTTCTTGGTGGCAAATTTGTGTCTAGCAAGTCAAGCAAATTGATTGCATAGGAGAGCCGTGGCCAGGTCTCTAGTGGACGGGCCGCCGTGGCTCTGCCCAGCCCAGCCCATGGGGCCGCTGTGCGCATCGCGGAAGCCGAGCCCAAGTACGTCCCCAAACACGGCAGGGATTCTCCTCCGTGTCTCAGGGAGGCCTGTGCTCCATTTCTCTGCCTTTGCAGGTAAACTGTCAGACATCAAATCAACGTGGTCCTCCGGCCCTGCCTCCCACGCGCAAGCCTCTCTGTCTCACGAACTGTGGAAGGTGCCCAGAAACACTCCTGCCCCCACCAGGCCGCCTCCGGGGCTGACCAACCCCAAGCCTTCCTCCAGCTGGGGAGCCAGCCCCCTGGGCTGGACCAGCTCCTACTCCTCGGGTACGCATCCGCCCCACCTGCCCCTCCGCTGGCACGGCCCGGGCCCCACCTCCACCTCGCCACTCGCTCTCGCCATCCTGCACTGGGCCAGGCTCCCCGGGCCAGACTTGCATGCACACCCAGGGCCAGCCCAGCCCGCTGCCCCGCCAGGCACGCTGCTCTGAGTTGGGCGGGGGGGGGGGGGGGGGGGGCGGGGGGACAGATCCTGGGAATTTAGGAAACAGCAAGAGAGAGTTTGAAAATAGCCCTTTCAGCCTTTTGAGAGCAGCCCTATGGGTCCACTTTGTTTTATTGACAAGCACACCCAGGTCAGAGCGTTGATTCTGGGGGGCAGAGAGGGAGCCTGGAACTTCCCCTCCCTCTCATCACACCAGCCCTGGGGTTTGCAGGGACTGAGACTCTGGGTTCAAACCAAAAGATAACATGGGCTCCCTGAGGCTGAAAAAGCGCATGGCGTCCGCTTCTAACAAGCCCCTCCGCCCCCAGGTTCGGCGTGGAGCACAGACGCCTCGGGAAGGACCAGCAGCTGGCTCGTTCTCCGCAACCTCACGCCCCAGGTACAGGCACCGCGCAGCCCCGTGTCCCCAGCGTGAGGGCCCGCCCGGCGCCGTGCACAGGGGCCGGTCGCCACGGGCAGCCGAGGGCAGGCTCGCCCAGCCCATGAGCTGTGTCCCTCATCAAGTGTTTGCCCTTGACTCTGGGGAGGCTTGAGAGGCACAGGCGAATGGAGTTGCTCGCCTCACCCCACGCCCGCCCCCATTCCTTCCTCTCTGGATCCAGAACCTCAGGGGCTTCTGAGCCAGAACCTCCTTTTCGTTAGCTGGGCTCCTCGGGTGGCCTGGCGCGGCCACGGCTAGAGCAGAGGCGCGCGCCCGCAGCCGCGTGGGGGCTGTGTGGATGGCCGCGCCCGGGTGCCAGAGGTGGTCACCGCCCTCCGCCTCCCCCCAGATCGACGGCTCCACCCTCCGGACGCTGTGCCTGCAGCACGGGCCCCTCATCACATTCCACCTGAACCTGACACAGGGCAACGCCGTGGTCCGCTACAGTTCCAAGGAGGAGGCTGCCAAGGCCCAGAAGTCCCTGCACATGTACGTCTCTGTCGTGGTTGGGTGGCCCTGGCAGCTCCAGGGCGGGCTGTGGGGTCACTGAGCTCTGGGCCCCCAGACATGGCATCAGTTGTCTCGAGGTCCGGGGGCGGGTGCTGGTGGGCTGAGCTCCCCAAGGCCGTCTCCTTGGCTGCGTCGCCCCATTCTCATGCACCCCGCCTGTGCCCCACCTTCCTCCCCTCAGAAGGGCACCGTCACAGTGGGTTAGGGTCACCCTCGTGACCTTATTTCTCCCATCGCCTCCTCAGAGACCCTCTCCAGACAGGCACTTCCTGAGGTACTGGGGGTCAAGACTTCAACATGAGAATTTAGGGAGGGACACAGTTCACCCCAGCAGCTGTGTGTGACTTGGCAGTTTCTTCTGCGGCTCAGTGGCCATGGCCCCCACGGGGAGGCTCCCCAGTGACAGGAGGAGGAGGAGGAGGAGGCTGCTACCAGCGCGGCCACACCAAGCCAACACCTGCAGGCCCCGGGAGCACCCCACAGCCTGCCCCTCCTGCCTTGGGATGCGTTTGCTGCGCCCTGGGCGTTGCCTGCACAGCCACATCACTTGAGATGTGATTTCTGATTTTCAGGGTTAGTCACCCCGTTTTTAGCCCAGGATGTAGATTTAATTACAGGGACCCTAACGCCACCTGGTTCAATGGTGCGTTCACACGCCTGCTTGGCCCGCGCTCTGGGAGCCCCAGCCAAGGGAGCAGAGTCACACGCGGGCTTAGGAGTGGCAGTGCTAGACGTGGCCGGGACTGCCCTGGGTGGCCTGTGACATGAAGTCCTTGCGCTTTCCCTGCTTTTGGGGGTGGCAGGTTCATAACAAGCTGGTGTTTGTTTGCTTGTTGATGTAACTGGCACGTGGCACTGTGTGAGTCAAGCCGACGCCCTGTTCGACGTGCTGCGGTGGGCTTGCCGCCCCCACGTGCCTGCGTGTCTGTTCTGTGGCGAGAACATCCCAGATCCACTCTGAGGACGCTGAGGTCTCTGCGGCATCGCGACTGCGGTGGCCGTGCTGCACGCCACACCCCCGGGCTCTCCCGCTCCCTGTGCTGTGTATCCCTGGTTGTTGCTTTGTTCCCCGCCCCAGCCCCCATAACCACGGCCGCACCCTGCCTCTGCAGTGGGGTCGTCTAGTATGTGCCTCTCCCAGCACAGGGCCCTGGGGCCCATCCGTGATGCCACACGTAGCAGGACTTCCTACTCTCTCCTGCTGAGTAACATTTACATGTCATGATTTATGACACGCACATACATGCATGCACATACATGCACTCCACGTCATCTTTGTCCCCTCATCCATTGGTTGACTCATCAGTGGCGTCCACGTCTCACCTGTGTGACTACTGCTGCAATGAACATGGGGGTGCAAGCACCCGCAGACCCCGTTTTCATTTCTGTTAGATGCACATCCGGGAGCCAGGGGGCTGGTCACATGGTTCATGTAATGCACCATTTACCTGCCCATCAGCAGGCCTCAGGTGCCCTCATTGGTAGCTGGAGTTTCTCATATTTGTGGTAATAACCATCTTCACAGGCATGAGGTTTGCGCACTTCGGTTTTCATTTGAAAAGTTTGCTATATGGGCCTCCCCGGTGGCGCAGCAGGTTGAGCGCAGCGCTGTGAAGCTGTCCTTAGCCTCTGCAGCGTGGGTTCGATCCCCGGCCGGCCAGGGAGATTCTCCACATGGTGCGGCAGACCTCTCCTTCTCGCCCACTGCTCCCCTCAGCAGTGTATTTCGTCAGTCTGCCTGTTCTGTTCCCCGCTCTGTCTCTAGTGAATCCTCTCACCTGCCGCACACTGGCCTGTACCTCAGTTCTTGCATGCATAAATAAATAAATCGTTAAAAAAAAAAAAACTAAAAAAAAAAAAAAGAAAGAAAGAAGAGTTTGCTATGTCCCACCTGTTGATTTGTGCTTTTGTCGCTTGTGGTTTTTTTGGCGTTGAGGAGTTTTATGGTTTCACATCTTGTGTTTTTAAGTCTTTGAGCCATTTCAAGTAAATTTTTGCAAGGGGTGCAAGAAGCACCCTTGTGGTTGCCCGTTTCCTAGCTCCCTAGTCAGAGATCAGCTGACAGCATGGGTATGAGTTTAATTCAGGGCTCTCAATTCGGTTTCATTGGCCTGCAAGTTGGTTTTTTATGCCATTACCATAGTGTTTTGATAACTATAGCTTTGTAATGTCGTTATACAATGTAGTTTGAAATTGGAAAGTGTAATATCTCTGGCCTTATTCTTCTTTCCCAGGATTGTTTTGTTGTTCAGGGTCTCTGTGGCTCTATGGAAATTTTAGGGTTGTTTTTACTAAATCTGTGAATAACGCCATTGGCATTTTGACAGAGACAGCAGTGACTCTGCAGATGGCCTGGTGGTATGCATATCTTTTTTTTTAAGTTTTATTTTTTATTTATTTATGCATACAAAAACTGGGGTGTAGGCCAGAGGTGCGGGGAGCAGAACAGGCAGACTGACTGAAATCCACTGCCAAGGGGAGCAGCAGGGAAACAGGAGAGGTCTGCTGCACCCTGTAGGTCAGCTCCCTGGCCGGGTTGAACCCGCAGTGGCTGGCGATACTTGATAGCGCTGAGACTTTAACCCCTGCGCCCCCAGGCAGGCCCTAGTATGCATATCTTTAACAAAACTCATCAGATTTGTGAACACAAGACAAGTTGTCAATTATATTTTCATTTTTTTCCATCACTATCTTAGTTTTCATTGTACAAACCATTTTTAAGATTAAATTTTTAATATTTTTAATTTTTTAATGTTTTAAATATGTTTTTGATGCTATTGTGAATGGATTTTTTTATTTCTTTTTCAGATATCTCTGAGTTGTGTATAGAAACGCAGCTGTTTTCTGTGCGTTGGTTTTCTGTCCTGCAGCATGACTGAGCTTGTGGGTGAGCTCAGCAGTGTTTTCGGCGGAGTCTCTCGGGTCTTCTGTCTCTAGGGCCGTGCCATCGCACAGAAAGACAGTTTTACTTCTTTCTTCCCAGTTTGGACACTTTTCCCTGGTGCTCTCACCAGGGCTTCCGGACTGTGTCTCGTGGAAGTGGCAGGCGTGGCTCCCAGGTCTGGCTCCCAGCCTGAGAGGGAGCACGAAACTTCCACCGCGAGCTCGGTGGTGGGAGCTGCGGTGGGTCCGTCACGGGGCCTCGGTTACGTCGAGGTGTGTTCCTTTCGCCCTGTCATCGAGGGCTGTCGTGAAAGGACAAGTGTGTGTTTTCCGTGTCTGTCGAGATGATCGTGTGATCTCTTTCATCATGAATGTGGTGTGTGGAACCATTCACGCCCCCGGGGGGATCCCACGAAGTCGTGGCGTGAGATTCTTTCCGGTGCTGTCGACCTGTTGCTTGTGCTTTGTTGAGACGGCTGCGTCTGCGCTCATCAGGGCTCCTGGCCCGCCGTTTCCTAGAGTTGCCCTCCTCTGGGTTTGAGTTCAGGGTCACTCTGGGCTCACAGGGCGAGTTTGGAGGTTCCCACCTTGGCCCTTTTTTCAGAATTTGAGAAGCACCAGTTCCTGAAATGACAAGGGCCCCCCACCCCACCCCCACCCCCCCAGTGGCGTGGCCCAGTCCTGGCTGTTTCTGTGTTGGGAGGTTTTCATTACTGGCTCCCTCGCTAGTTTGTCATTGGTCTGTCCACATTTTCTGCTGCTTCATGACTCCGCCCTGGAAGTGCAGGTGTTTCTGGAGCTTGCCCGTTCTTCCCGGTGGCCCAGCCTGTCGCCGCCCAGCCGTTCCCCGCGGCCTCCAGACCTTGTTTGCAGGGTCCTCGTGGGGCTCCTCTTTCCTTTCTGGCTTGTCTGCTCTTTCTTCCCTTCGTCTAGCCAGAGGGGCGTCAGTTTGCCTTATCTTTAAGAAAAAGCAGCTTAGTTGTGTTGCTGTCCTGCTCTTCCAGGTGTGTTCTGGGAAACACTACCATCTTGGCTGAGTTCGCTGGCGAAGAAGAAGTGAATCGTTTCTTAGCCCAAGGCCAGGCGCTGCCGCCCAGCTCCAGCTGGCAGTCCAGCTCCGGGACCGGCCAGACGCGGCTGGGAGCCTCGGGCAGCTCCCACGGCCTGGTGCGGAGCGATGCCGGCCACTGGAACGCCCCGTGCCTGGCCGGCAAAGGGAGCAGCGACCTGCTGTGGGGCGGGGTTCCCCAGTACTCAAGCAGCCTGTGGGGCCCGCCCAGCACCGACGATGGCCGGGTGATCGGGAGCCCCACCCCGCTGAATACACTGCTTCCGGGCGACCTTCTCAGCGGGGAGTCCATCTAGGCCCCTGGGGACGCCCAGGCGCCACGGTCATCAGCACTAGGAAGAAGAAGCTGACCCTTTCCAGTCCGGGCACCGCAGAGGACCCCGCTGGACCCAAGCAGCCCGGCAGCCCCTCGAGTACCTCGGTCCAGTACTGAAGACGAACCTTCGCGCAGCCCTTGCGAACTGTCCGGGACAGTGCGGGCTGCGCGGTCAGTGTCACGAATGACAGGATGTTCTCATAGCTTTTCCTCTGTGTCGTCGTCGTGTCTTGTATGGTGTGCTGTCATTTTGATTTTTTAAGTATAAAAGCTGCTTAGAATAGTTTTATCATGAAGGGCACTTTTCAGATTGTGGGCTGGAAAGGGTTATTTTATCGAGGGGGGCGGGCGGGAGGGAGACGAGAAGCCTATTTAAACGAGCCTGTGACGATTATGCACATTACGGAGGCGGCTGGAGCGGCCCCACTCGCCAGCGGCGGGGCGGGCCCCGCGCCACGGGCCGCCTATGCACATTTCCCTTGTTTCATGCTCCTTCATGTCATTTTTTTTATCCCAAAAGATATTTTTTAAAAGTTAAAAAAAAAAAGAGAGACATATCAAACATGCAAATACTTGAATCCAGCAGGCCAATAATGAAATGTGAACACTTTCTAAGTCTAATCTACACTTCCAGGTCGACATCAGTACGCAGAAGCAGGCTCTAGGAGACATTTCTAAGTTCATAGCCTTGTGTGCGTGTGTGTGTGTGCACGGCTGTGTGCGTGCTTGCGTGTGCACGCGTGCGCGCACTCTGCGTCGTGTGCCGTGTGTGTGGGATTCAACTGTGGGTTTCCCTTGTATTCAGTATATGCTTTTTTTGGCGCATTGGTCAGACGTTTGTTACTATTATTAGCTTCTAACTTTGCACTGAGTGTCCCTGCCCTTCCTTGAGCTAATCCCACCGTTACAGAGAAGTCACAGGACAGGGCCGGCGACAATTCACGTGTAATGTTTACTCAAGGACTCTGTTATTGCGTTTAAAGATGACAGTGTATATCTCTGGAGAAATAATATGTATACCTACCTTTAGCAGCTTTTTATTATGGACTAATGCAAGAGAATTATTACCAGAGTATTGCACCATTTTTCCATTTGGAATATAAAGTTAAAGAGAAAAACTGTTGCTGAACTGTGGCCATAGATACTTGCGGAGGAGGGGGGTTCCCGGGGAGGAAGAAGCACTTGGACGCGGTGGGTGGCGACGGCTCTGGCCCGCGCGTGGGCTCCCGCCTGTTTACAGACCTTTTTTCTCCTTCAGACTTTAAAATTAAAAAAAAAAAAAAAATTAAAACGGAATTTAAAAAAAGAGACTTCCGCCCTAAAGAGACCTATTTTCAGGCGCGTCCTGCAGGGCCGGGGCCGGCGGCGCCCGAGCCCGGCGCCGAGGCGCGTTTTTAAACCCGACTCCTAGCACTGAAGATGTTATTAAAAAAAAAAAACAAACAAAAAAAGAAAGAAAAAAGGAAAAAAGAGGAAAAAACACAAAGAAGAAACATACCTAATCTCTAATGTGTAGCAGTTACATATTTACCAAATAATGGACTCAAAAGAAATAGATGTTTGAAGAGTGCTTTATATATTAAAAATTGCTTTATGTTTTAAAAATGATCAATGTTTTGATTGTTTTGCAAGAAAGAAAGACAATGGAGTGACGTACCCTCGCGTATGCTCACGTATATGGACCTTGTGCCCCTGCCTGCTTGATCAGGAACCTTGTGCATTACGTTTTCTTTTTTAATTAGCTTTTTAACGGTTTTCTCAAAAGGAAAAAAGCAAAAAAAGAACAAAAGACATAAAAATCCACGAAAAGGGCCTGCCGGATCGCAGAGCAGCACGAGCCGGTTCCGAGGATCAGGAGCGCCCCGCCCCCCCCGCGCCAGGCGCGGCCCCGAGCGCCCGCGCCGCACGTGCGCGCGCCCGCAGACGCGGCCGGGCCGGCGTGCGCGCGCCCGGCGCCAGCTGCCCCCGCCGCCCCGCGTCGCGCCCCGGACCCCGCGCGGCTGGAGCCGGAGGAGCGTCTGTTCGTTCCGTTCCCGTTTTTCTGTTGTCTTTGTTTTTTTTTTTTGACCTTTTCTTTTGAATCAAAAATGTCTGTGACTCAGATTAAAAAGCGAGTTTGTGGCTTTTAATGTTTTCCTCACAGAATGTGACGGCGGAGGAGCGCCCGAGCGCGGCTCCCGAGGGCCGGCGCGCGGCGGGCCCCGAACGGGCAACGGGCCCCGAACGGGCAACGGGCCCCGAACGGGCGACGGGCCCCGAACGGGCAACGCCGGGGAACGCGCTCCCGGCCGGACCCGCCCGGCGGGGCTGCCGCGCCAGGGCCGAGGCCCGCTCGGGGCGGGGCGGGGCGAGGAAGGAGACGGGCGTGGACACAGCGCCCCGGCGGGCACGCGGGGCCGTCGCGGGGCTCCCCGCGCCCGCACGACGGAGAGACGCGCCCGGGGCCGGGGGCTTCGGGGGGCGGCGAGGCGGGCGGGGGCCGGAGGAGCCGGGCCTGGGCCGCGAAGAGCCCGATGGAGCCTGGCGGCCCCGCCCGGGCAGCCGCCCGAAAGCCGCACCCCCAGCCGGGCCGCAGGGCCTGGGGCGCAGGGGGCCCCGTGCTGCGGGGGCGGGGGCGGGGCTCCCCGGACTGGAGCGCCTGGAAAAGAGGTTCCACGCCGGGGCCGGGGCCGGGGCGGGCCCCGAACCAGCCCCAGGACCCGCAGGGGACAGGCCGGCCGCCACCCCCGGCCGCCGACGGGGACCCCAGCTTGGTCGGGCCCGGGGCCGCGCGCGCCCCGGCGTCTTCCCAGCAGAAGCCCGCGCCCCCCAAGCCGGCGCCCCCCGGCGCCCCCCGACGCCCGCGCGCAGCAGGCCCCGCCCAGACGCCCCGACGTCCACGGAGGGCGGAGGCCGCGGGGGTCCGGGCGGGTGACGCGGGGTGTCCGTCTCGCCCCCCGCCGGCCGGGGAGGCCGTCCCCGCGCCTGACCCGCTGTCCCCGCGCCTGCAGGGCCCGGCCGGGCCGGCCCCGCCTTCCCGTCGCCGTCACGGGCTCCTCCCCAGCCGCGGCTTCTCTGGGCCCGGCCCCCCGCCGGGGAGGGTCCCCCCCACTCTGAAGGTCGCCCCCCGCCCGCCCCGCACCCCCAGCCCGCAGGCTTGCCCGAGTGGCCGCCGGGGGCCCGCAGTCACCCCCCGCCGGCCACGCAACAGGGGCCGCGCGCTGACACCACCGGCCAGGCTACCCTGGGGGAGCCCCGCGGGGGATCTCCCGGCCCTTGGGGGGCCTGGGGTGGGGCTCCGCGCGGAGGAACAGAAGGGAGGCAAGTGCAGGAGCTCGGGGTCCCCAGGAGGGCTGGGGCACAGGCTCCCCGGAGACGAGCCCATTCTGCAAAACACATTTAATCTGAATAAATAAGTTCCGCACAGGGTGGCACCCCCGGGCACCCGCCTGGTCCATTCTCTGGCGGCCGCTTGAATGGGCTGCGGAGTCCTGTCACCGCCTCCGTGTCCCAGGCAGGTCACTGGGGGGTCCCCCGGGCAGGCCAGCGTGCCTCAGGCCAGTGTCTGCCGACAGGGGCGGGGCGCAGGGCCGCGGGCATGCTGAGCGGACGCCGGGCCGCCGTCCTACCTGGCGCCACTGTCATCTGTGAGCTGGTCCTGGGGGGCCTCCGTGGCCTGGGTCCTACCAGCCCTGCCAGAAAGGGGAGTCAGCCAGGGCGGCGGTGGTCACCGCCCCGGGCGTCTCTCCGGCCCCAGGGAGCTGCAGGCCGGCCTTCCCCGGTCAGGTGGCTCCGTCTGTGGGGTCTTGCCGCCCAGGGAGGGCTCCTGGCCTCAGAACCGCTGGCCCCAGCCTGCGCCGGCCGAGCAGCAGGGAGACGGGCATCGGGCCTCTCCCTTGCTGGGGCCCGACCGTGGGTGCCTGAGCGGAGTGGGTGGGGGGAGCGGGTGAGGCCCGGGCAGCCGTCGGGAAGCGACAGGCGGGTGAGGGGCCTGAGGACAAGGGCCTCCCCCTGATGTGGGCGAGCCCCCCAGGTCCACCCTGCCCCCTGCACACACTTCTGTTTCCTTCTTTGTTGACAACCTTGAAAACTTCCCTCCTCCCCAAGTGCCCCCAGCCCCTGGGAGGAGGCGTGCGGGCAGAGGGCAGGCAGGGGCGCTCAAGAGGCTGAGAGGCACCCAGGGAGCCCCCAGCTGGAGACCCGGGGCGAGGCCGGCTTCTCCCTCCGCTCACGCAGGCGTGGCCCAGCCGCTCCACGAGCCTCACCTGGCCCTCTCCTTCCGCTGGCAGACGGCGTGGAGCTGGTTGATCAAGAAGATCTTGTCCTCCCCCTCCTGGAAAGGCCAGAACACAAGGGCTAAAGAAGCAGCTGCCCGTCCGTCCGCCGTCCAGAATGGCGCTGGAGGGGCTCCCAGGGGGCCCCGACTGACCGTCTCAAGAGCAAAAGTTTAAAGACCAGGGGAGAGGCACCAAAACCCGGGCAAGGAAAAAGCAAGCGCAGAGAGACAGATCTCCGCTTCCCAGCAGCCAAGGCGAAAAGGGAAATGCGGCCACACGGTGAGGGCCAAAGAGCCAGCCCCGCCGCTCCCCACCCTGCCCTGGGCGGCCACCTCCCCTCTGGCCTCCAAGTCAGAAACGTGCCCGTCGCAAGGGCATCGGCCGAGCCACTTCCATTCTCTGCTTCCTCAACCCCCCTTCGCCACTAATAAGGCAGAACCGCGGGCGGAAGATGCGGACGGGCCCCCCCGAGCCGCTGGGGGCAGCCCCCGCGCTCCGCGACGAGGGACTGTGATGAGCAGGTGAAGTTGGAGCCCAGGCCTGAGCGCACAGGCGCCCAACGGGCTTCGGCGGCCGTCGCGGGGCTGGGGGCACTCACGTTGCTGATCTGCTCCTTGAGAATGGAGATGACCGTCCGCTGGCCCTTCACCACCTGGATGTTGAGGTAGATCACGGCCCTGCGGGGACGGCAGTCGGGCTGGGGCCCTTGCGGAGCCGGGGGAGGGGCGGAGGGGGTGGGGCGGGCCCCCCCGGGCTGGCCCCCCGAGACGCGCCTGCCCTCGCTTACATGAGCAGGGCCGACACCAGGTAGGTGGGGAAGGTGCTTTCCACCAGGTGCCGGTGGATCCAGGGCAGCCAGGACACGCCGGGGCCCGCCTGCTCCAGCTGGCGCACCCACGCCCTGCCCGCCTCGTACATGGTGTCCAGGCTCCGGAAGGGGCCGCACGTGTCAGACGGCTTCACCCTGGGCACGACGGCGGCTTGAGCCCTCCGGCCAGGCCCGGGCAATTTCCACGGCACCCAAATACCCCGGGCCCCCAGCACCCCAGGCCCCTGCTCCCTGCACCCCTGCCCCCTACCTCCCAGCCCCCCAGCCTCAGCCCCCAGCCAAGGCCCACTCACTGCCAGACGGCGTAGCACAGGAAGATGGCGGCCCCCAGGAAGGAGGGGAAGCAGAGCAGGGAGATGAAGACGGTGCTCATGTGCGACGCCAGCCAGGGCCTTCGGGGCGCCCGGCAGTTGGCCATGAGGCTGGTCTGCAGACAAAGGTCCACTCTGTCACCTCCTCCCCGGGGCGGGGCCTCCCAGAGGGATGGGGCGGGGCTGCCTGATAGAGAGCTGTGCTCCCAGGACACCCCCAGGCCCCGGGCCCGACGCTGCCCCCTCCCAGGAGAGAGGCCCAGAGAGAGGGAACCTGGCTCTCACCCACCGGCACACCTGCCTGAGGACGGGGCCAGGGCGGTGCCCGCAGGCCGGAGGGCCTAAGGCTCAGAGTCCTCCCAACTCCCCCGCCCGCCGCCCACAGATGCCCCGTGAGCCCCAGCAGGGAGCTGCCAGCAGTGGTGCTGAACTGGGGGTCACCCATGGACTGACCCCTGGGGAAGCCCTGGACTGCCAGCCCCACACGGCTCGGGTGGAAAGGGCGCCCGAGCCCCAGGGCCCCGCTGTGGCCCCTCGGCACCCCCAGGCCAGCGGCACCCTTACCCTCTTGATGTAGAAGAGGAGCAGCAGCTTGATGATCTGCAAGGCAGGCAGGAGGGGCGAAAAGAGGACCCCCAGCCTGGGGGGAGGGGGCGGCTGCAGTCCAGGAGCCAGGCATGACCCCTGCGCTGCGCCCACCCCACGCCAGGCTTCAGGACCATGGGGTGGGGGCGAGAGCGGCCAGACTGGGACCCTAGGAGGTGGGGCGTCGGGGCCCTGTCACTGCAGAACCCTAGGGCCTGGCTTCATGGTGGCCCCAGAAGGAAAAGGGGCTGAGCCCCGCTGGGGCCGGCAGTGGGAGGCAAGTGGAAGACGCTCACCAGGCCAGGGTCTGCCCGTAAATCAGCTCCAGCACATTCCGGGCAATGTCAAACTCCGGCTTCCCCTCTGTCTTATGCTTCTTCTCGGCGATGAGCCTGTGCGGAGGGCCTGAGGTCACAGCGGCGGCCGAGCCCAGACCGGCCTCGCGTCCAGCCCGCAGGCGGGGCGAGGTCTGGTCCCGGCCAGGGGGCCCCCCCGGCCACGGCTGCGCCCTCCTGCCCTCCCCAGGCTCCCGAGACGCCAGCACCCTTCTCAGCATCCGGCGCTCTGCTGCCTTCGAAAACTCTTATTTCATCATCAGTATTAAATTCATCCATCGTCAAGGAAAACCAAAATGGGGGAAAGCAAAGCCCCTGCAGGGCGGCGAGCGCGCTGGGCCGTGGCCTGCGCAGGAGGCACCGGGGCCCAGCGCCCGTCCCGTCCCGCCCTGTCCGCCTCTGACAAGCAGACGGGCCGCACTCGCTGCAGCTGGCTCCTCCCGAGCCTCCCGGCCGCTGAGTGTCTTTACAGTTTACCGACCTGTCCCGGTCAAGGGGGACTTACGGCCCCGGTCAGAGAGGCCTGCGGCCCTCCTGGGTAGCCCCTCCCCGCCTCACAGGTGAGCAGGGAGGAGGCTCACCTGTGGGTGGGGAAGCCCAGGTGCCCTGGATGCCACCGGCATCCAGCTCTGCCCCCAGGGCCTCACCTCCACACGAGTTCCCCAAACAGCGTGTCCAGCAGCGTGAAGATGAAGTCCATCACCATGAGCCGGTACAGCTCCTGGCCCACAAAGTCCTCCCAGCACTGAAAAGACCGGGTCTCAGCACCCCCCACCCTGGAGGCGCCATCTGCCTGCACCCAGCCTGACAGCCACATGGCCTGCACCCCCTACACCCCACCCCTGGCCAAGGGTCCCCTCTTGAGCGCTCAGGCCTCCCCGACACCGTCCAGGCCCGCCCTCACCTGGTCCTTCAGGGTGGCCACCCTGCGGCCCAGCCAGTGGTAGCAAAGGATCCCCAGGATGACCATCTTGAGGATGAGGTTCCTGTGGAGGGCGGGGGTGTGAGGCTGGGGAGAAGCGCCCGGAGAAGAAGCTGTGCCCAGGGAGCCCTCCTGCCCCTCCGATGCGCACCTGCAGATGGCCACGTACACCTCCAGCCCCGGGGAGTCGTGCCGCTCCAGGACAGCCAGGACACGGTACAGGTAGGGGGCCCCCAGGTTGAAGAGGCAGACCACCAGGGGCAGAGCCAGCAGGTCCTGCTCAGCAGACACCGGGCTCTGATGGGGGGTGGCAGGGGTCAGCGCAGGGACCCATCCACGCAGCTGGGTCCACGGATGGGTCCCAGGACGGGAGGGGTAGGAGGACTGAGGGGCCCCGGGGCGGGAGGAGCAGACAGGGCTGGAGGCAGCACCTCTGTCCCCTGAGACAGGGCCCACGAGGCCTGTCGTGCTCAAACCACACAGGAAGCGGGGGGTGGGCAGGGAACAGTAGGTAGAAAAAACAAAGACAAAATAAACAGAAATAAACATCACAAAAAAGGGAAACTTCAGGCCAATATCTCTGGTGAACACAGAGGTAAAAAAAACACCAGCAAACTGAATTCAACAGCAGTACAAGGGTCACAGGCCACGACCACCTGGGATTATTCCAAGGCCCGTCTGGCACAGGCAAAGCCGCTGGGCGACTGCTCAGCACCCGAGAGGAAAGATCACGGGGTCACATCAGCAGGTGCGGGAAAGCACCTGACCGGAGACAGCACCACTTACGATAAGACTCAACAAAAAGAGAACAGAAGGAGCCCACGTCAGCACAACGCCGGCCATATACACAAACCCACAGCCAACGTCACACTCAGTGGAGAAGAGCAGAAGACCCTTCCTTAAGGGCAAGACAAGGCAAGGCTGTCCACTCTCACCACGTTAATTGATGTTAGAGATTTTAGCTGGAATGATTAGACAAGAAATAAAAGGAATCCAGATTGGAGGGGGAAAAAAAGGAAATCGTCACTATTTGCAGACATTACGATAACATATATAGAAACCCTGAAGACACCTCCCCCAAAAAAAGAATATTAGAAACAAAAAAGCTATAAAGTGGTAGCTACAAAATCAATATACAAAAATCTGTTGTATTCTGACATGCAAATAATGAGCAAGAAGGAAAAGAAACTAAGAAAACAGTCTCATTTATAAAAACATGGAAAAGAATTATATACCTGGAAATAAATTTAACAGAGGAGGTGAAAATTCTATACATGAAAACATTAAGACACTGTTAAAAAATAAAAAACAACTGTTCCCTGCTCTGTCTCTGGTGAACCCGCTCACCCCCCACGCCTCTGGCCTGTACTCCTACTCTTATATGCATAAGTAAATAAATCTTTAAAAAAAAAAAAAGATAAAGAACAAGACACAAAAAGTTGGAAAGCTATCCCATGTTCATGGACGGGGAGAATTAACAGAGTCAAAATGACTGTTGTAGCCAAATCAATACACAAATCCAATGCAATCTCTGTCAAAATTCCTATATATTTTCAAGACACTAGAACAAAAAATACTAACATTGATATGGAAACAAAAAAGACCCCAAGTAATCAAAACAATTTTGAGAAAAAAGAAAAATGGGGGCATCGCATAATCAGATTTCAAACTACGTTCTAAAGCCACAGTAATTCAAATAGCGTGGTGTGGAAATGAAAACAGACACATGGATCGATGGAATTAGGATTGAGAATCCAGAAAAAAGTCCACACGTATCGCAACACCTACTTTATGACGGAGACATGACCGTCAATGAGGAAAGGAAAACCTCTCCAACAAATGGTGGTGGGAAAACTGGATAGGCACACGCAAAACAAGGAAACCAGATCGCTAACTCCACACAGAAAGAAAGTCCCAAAAGATTAAAGACCTGCATGTGAGACCTGGAACCCTCAGCAGACACTGAGGGAGGAAATGAGGTCAGCAGAGCCGGGCGGGGTTTGGTGGGGGCCAGGGAGAGGGAGGGAGGCCAGGCTGGAGGGGTGCAATGCATGGAGGTGGGTGTTTTGTTGTGTTTTGAAAGAAAAAGGAATATAGGGGATAGCTTGAGACAGAGGGGTGCCAGCGAGGAGACGGGACCTTAGGGTTCACTAGGCCCAGTGGGACTGTTGCAAGGAAGTGGGCGTCTGCCCCCGCCCCGCACCTCAATCATGGACTCGGAGAAGGTGTAGACAGCCATGGTGCAGCCCAGCGTGGTCCCCAGGCACAGCAGCCACACGAGCCCCAGCACAGCCACCTGCCGCAGCCTCCCCCACCGGCTCCGGTGGCCCTGGCGCAGCTGCCACGTGGCCAGCAGCTCCTGCGGGCGACAGCAGGCCCGTCACCCACTCCCGCACGGACTTAGAGACCCACAGGCACACACAAGGACTCTTCCTCCCCCGAAGCCTGGAGGAACTGGGGGTCACCCCCCATGGGGTCACCTGTCCCTGCCCCCTATGGTCTCGGGCTAAGGACACTGCCTCGGGGCCTCACTTGCAGCAGGGAGCTGATGGTCCCCACCCTGGACTCGCCCCACCCCTGACCACAGCCCTGCTCAAGGCCCGGTCGTCCATCCTCGGGGGACGCGGGCGGGGTGGGCGGTGGGCCCCGGCCCCGGGTGGCTCACCTTCAGGTGGGTTCGAATGTTGTCCTGCTGGAGGCGGGAGGCCCACTTCTGAGTCACCTTGTAGTCCCAGGAGCAGAACACGGTGATGGCGTGGACCCCGAGGGTGCTGCCGACCCGGTAGCTCTCCCCGAAGGAGTGGGACATGCTGGGGGGCAGAGCAGGCAGGGTGACCGGCGCCAGGGGCCGCGGCCCGGGACACTGCGACCCACCCCACTGGGAGGCGGCCTCCCGGCTCCGCTTGGGCTGCCCCTTCCCGCCCCACCGCCCGCCCAGCACCGGCCCCTGGTTGGGCTGCTGCCCCGTCTCCGCCGCCCCGCCCGGTGCAGGGGCGCGTGGCTAGGAGAGCGGCCGGGGCCATTCCCCACCCGGACACGGGCGCAGAAACGCTGGCTCACTGGGGCCTTGGCACTGCCCGACCCGGTAACCAAACGCCCTCCGTGTTTCTCAAACGCCTGCTCTTACTCAGCCTCCCCGTCGGGGGCAAGTCCTGGGGACCCAGCCTGGCTCCTCCAAAGCTGTGGGAGCCCTGGACAGGGCCCCCCGGGACGCCTGGATTCCCGGCCTCCCCCGGTCCGTCTTCTCCCCTAAGGAGCAATCTCCCCACGGACGGGCATCTCGCCCGCCTGCCTGTCCCGAGCCAGGCCCGCAGGCCCGCGGGTGACTGTGGAGGGCGGGGGCGGGGGTGAATGGGGGCGGGAGGGTGGGAGAGCGGAGGCAGGGAAGGACGGCTGGCAGGAAGGCAGCCGGGCTGGCTCATGGAGGACAGACGCGCCAGGGCGGTGGACGGAAGGAGAAGGCGGCCGGACGGTGGGCAGGTGGGCGGAGGGGCGGGTCCGGGGCGCCGGGAGCCAGGCTGTCCGAGGAGGGCGGCCGCCTACCTGTACACCAGGGTGATGCAGGTGACGAAGAAGGCTGTGCCCACGGTGAAGAGGTAGGCCAGGGGCATGTTGTAGGGCAGACCCCCAGCCGCGGGGGCGCACTGGCCGCCGGGCGGGGGCGCGGCGCAGGGCTGGTTGAGCGTGGCGTTGCTGTAGTAGCCGTAGTACATGAGGGTGTGGGTGAAGCGGCCCTGCGCAGAGGGGCCCAGCGAGTCAGGGGTCCCCTCCCTCCCCCGGCCCACCCGAGGGTGCCAGGGCAGGGCCGGGGCGGGGCCAGAGCAGGACCGAGGCTGACCCCGACCTCCTGACCCCAGTTCAGTCAAGAGGAACGTCTCAAGTGCCCGCACAGGGCACAGGCAGCCCTGACGCAGGCGCCTGCTCCCCGCCCCGCGCCCCACCCAGGCCTCAGCCCAGGCCTCACCCCGCCCGTGAGGAGCTCCAGGCCCGTGAAGGCGGGGTGGGGGCCCCGGGGCGCCGGCGGGAAGGCGGCCTGCACGCCCACGATGAAGGCCAGCAGCGGCAGCAGCAGGAGGGCGTTGAAGGCCAGCAGCGTCTTGAGGAAGATGAAGTAGGAGAGCACGCTGGAGCCGAACTGGGCCCCGATCCGCTTCAGGGCGTAGCGCCACGGGGCCAGGGCGTGCAGCCCCGACAGCAGCGCCAGCCCCAGGCTGTGCAGGCCCTGCGGGGACCACAGGGAGCCCTGGAGACGCGGCCCGGCGGGGGCAGTGACCGCAGGCCGCCTCCCAACATGCCGGTTAGGGGGTGCCGGGGCGGCGCTGCTCAGGGAGGGGCTCACCCACCCGCTGGAGGGGCCGCTGCCTCAGCGGGAGAGGGTGGCCCCGGAGTGGAGCCAGGAGCCCTTACCAGGATGCAGGCAAATCGGAGCCGGCTCCAGCAGGCGGGACGCCCACGGCGGTCCGGCCGGGCCCCCTGCTTCCCGCTCTGGGTCCCGCTGTCCTCCCTGCGGGCAGAGGCTGAGTCGGTGCCCGGCTGGGCGCAGTCTCGGGGGCCTTCCGGCCGCCACCCCGCCCGGCCAGGCAAGCGGGCCGTTGGCTGTGGGCACTGACCTCAGGCGGCGCTTCTCGGCCAGGCTCAGGGGCATGCCCCGGAGCATGTGCTCGCGCTGGCCCTCCGTCAGGCCCCGGAGCTCCTTCACCAGGAGCCGCCGCTTCTCTGCGGGAGGACGGGCGTGCGGTCATCTCCCCGGCCCGCCCTGCCCCCCTGCCGCCCACCCCCCGCCTCCTCACCCACCCTTGCCCGGAGCTGGGGTGCCGGCTCCGTTAAGCACCCTCATCCTCTGAGACCCGCCCCAGTCCCCCTCTGTCTGCCCCAGGGCTTCTGGGACCCACAGCATCGTGGTCTGACCCCCAGTGTCCCCTCAGAAGTGGAGGTCCCTGCCCCACCCCCACCACGCCAGCCTAGCTGTGGGGCCACGGGGGAGGCAGGGCCTGAGGTCCACCCTGGCACCTCCTTTCTTTTCACAACCGCACTGGAAGGGGCACTGTCTTAACCCCATTTTACTGATAAAAATGGCCCTCAGAAAGCTGGCACCTGGCCCGGTTGACAGAGCAACAGGGACCATCCCCAGACCCCGAGGCCGCCCTGCCGTGCTCCCTCGCCCACCGGGCGACTTTGGGTAGACACAGGCAAGGCCCCAGGAAAGGCCCAGCTTGGGGGCTCAGCTTGGGGAGGGCTGAGCCCAAAGGGAACGACAAGGAAGTTGTCCAGGGATGCGCCAGGCTCCGGGGCACCTGAACACCAGAGACCACCTGGCAGAAGACCAGCCCGTGATGCTAGGCCCTGCCACAACCACTCTCCCTGGCTCCCAGAACCTTCCACACTGGCCCCCTACAGCCCAGAAAACTAGGCATGCTCCCACCACAGGGCCTTTGCAAATGCCCACGCTAGTGACACTTCCTCCAGGAAGCCTCTCTGGATTCCTCTAGGCGCTCCCAGGGCACCTTTCTTCAGATGCCCTGATCCGAGCTTTGGTGGTGTGTTTATCCATTTACTTGGTTCCCGTGCTTCTCACCAAGCCGGCCAGAAGCCGCACGAGAGCCAGAGCGGCCTGCTTGCCACCAGCCACCATCACATCCCAAAGCTGGCACAGAGCTGTCTCCGGAGCCCGCAGCTGCGGCAGGGGCTGCGGACGCCTGGCCAAGCCCTCTGCAGACTGAGCGCCCCCGCGTCTCTGCCCCGCAACGGGCGGCCAACGACCCACCCCCACAAAGGGGCCTCACAGCTGGGGGCCCGGGGTCACTTACCCTCCTCCTCGTGGGTCATGGGGTCCAGCTCCAGGTCGTACATGCGGAGGCTGGGCCGGGCCGAGCGCCCCACGTCTCTGAGCTGGGGCCGGCTGGCCCTGCGCATCTTCACGGTGCGGCTGTAGTACTGGGAGATGATGGCGCCCCGGCTGCGGCCTGCGCGGGACGGGGACAGGCAGCGCGGGGCCCGCGCCTGGGCGCCCGCCCTTCCCTGGACCCTGGAAAGTTGCTTCACGGGCGGCCTCGCCGAGAGCCTATTTTTATCCCCGTGGCGTTTTTGGAACCCAGCGAGGCGGTCAGGGGTTGGCCGGGCCTCCAGGCAGCGGCCAGGCTGGGTGCGGGCCAAGGACCGGGACAGACCCCCGGCAGCCGGGCCGACACCGCGTGCAGAGGGGCCACTCACCGATGGTGCGGCTGGGCATGCACGCCAGGATGCGGAGTGTGGCCGTGCTGTGGTGAGGGGCATCCTCGGGCCGCAGGAGGGGCTCCTGGTCACTGCCTACAGGACACGGGGGCTTGTCCTGAGGTCCCCAAGAGGCCACCGGCCACGGTGCCCCCTCCCCCCAGGCCTACACCTGCCGGGAGGGGCGACCTCCCATCTGGCCAGGCCCCGGCTCTAGCCCCGGACGGCCGCTCACCTGAGTCCCGCAGGGTACCGGCCCCTGGCTCCCTCGGCCGCAGCTCCAGCCACTCCCCGGCCGCGTGCTGGCTCTGCTCCTGGATGAGCTGGTGGAAGGAGTCGTGCACCTCGTTCTCGTCGTAGGGGCTGGGCTCCTGCAGGCTGGGGGGCAGGGGGTTGGGAAGGCCATGCCCCAGAGGCCCCTCGAAACTGAAACATCCCAGACCCCCCCCACCCCGAGCACTTACCCCTGATCCTCTGGAGTCTCGGGGACACTGAGGACAAAGGCCGGCGGCTGGGCCATGTCTGGCCCAGCGCAGCTGGTCTAGACCTCGGGCAGCTCAGAGCCGGGCCGCAGCCTCCGCAGCCTCCCTCTGCCCATCTGACGGGGCAGGGAACCTGGAACCACAGGCGGCCTTCAGCACCGTGCTGCCCCGCCACCCTGTCCCCAGGGACTGTGGGAGGCGCCACTCACAGCCCGGGCCTTCTGAGCCCCACCCCAGTCCCCAGTCCCCAGGCCTCTGCAGAAACCTCACCCCCAAGCGGAACGGGGAGGGAGCGGGGGAGGAAGGAAGGGCGTGGGGAAGGGCGTGGGGCCTGGGCCGGCCCCATGGGCTTCCTCCCTGTCCCCTGCCCGGGGACACACAGGACAGCCGGCCTGCGGACGGCCCTCCACTCCAGGCCGGGTGAGAAGGTCAGGGCAGCTGAGGCCTTCCCTGCGCCCGCGGGTGACCCACAGCACTTCCGCTCAGGAAAGCCACCCTGGCAGCCCAGCCTGGGCCCTCACCCTCCCTTGGCCACAGCAGACACGGTGCCTCCTCCAGCTGCACCCTCACCCTGCACCCATCACAGCGGCTGGAGGTCGCCAGAGCTCCCAGACCAACTCCCCTGCATTCCAGCGCCCAGAGGTGGGCGGGGCAGCTGGTGGGGGCTGGGGCTGCTTAACAGGCCGCCTTTGTCCAGGCTCTGCCGTCAGCAGGGCAGCTGGGGCCAGGCCGGCCTGGTCAGGGGCTCTGTCCCCGGTGCCAGTGGGGGCGGGGTGGGGGCGTGGCGGGCAAATTCCCAGCAGCTGCCTCCGGAGAGCTGCGCCCTGCCAGCCGCGGGGAGCTCAGCACTGGGGCGGGGAGGGCTGGGGGTGACGCGGGCACTCAGACTGAGCAGGTCCCAGCCAGTGCCCCCCCATCGGGGCACCCAAGGAGGGCCCTCTCTGAGCCCAGGACCCCCGCCCCAGGAGGGGCCCAGCCTGGGGAAACCGTGGGGTCAGAAGTGGACCCCACTTAGCCCAGCAGGCCGGGAGCAGAGGCCAAGGGTTCACCCGCAGTCCAGGCCCCACCTAGGACTGGACTCCCCTCCTCCAGACAGACCCTCCCAAGCTCAGATCCACCCCTGGGTGGGGGGGAGCAGGAGAGGGAGGTGCCCCCAGAGCCCGAGGCCTGGGAGGCCCTGCTGCCCACCGTGCCAGCACACCTGGGCTCACCTGGGCACTGCCGAGGACTTCCGCCCGGCTGGTGCGGCCTTCAGACACCCGACTCCAGACGGGGCGGGACCGGGGACGTTCCAGGGCGCACCATTCCTGGGAGGGGCAGGGTGGGCCGCGTTCCAGGAACCTCACCCAGCTGCCTCTGCCTGCAGGCTGGGCGTCCTGGGAGCTGCTGCCACCCGGAGAGCCGCAGCCCAGGCTCCGGGCGGGGGCTGCAGCAAGGCCAGGAGCTCCCGGACCCCCGCTGGCCAGGTCCCCATCCCCCCCTGCGGCCAGTGGTACCAGCCTCCCCGCCCTTGTATCCCGCTGGGACACTTCACCACCCTGTCCTGGGGGTGGGAGGGCCGGAGGACAGCGGTGGGTGGCAGTTCCCTGCCCGCCCCTCCAGGCAGAACGTGGAGATCCAGAACCCAAGGAAGGAACGCACTGCCCAGCGCCCAAGGCCGAAAGGAGTTTGGAGGGGGCGGAGCCGCCTGGTCAGGGGTTCGAGCCCGGGGTGGACAGGAGGAGATGGAGGACCCGAGAAGCTGCAGTCCTGCCCAGATGGCCCGGACCCTGCCCACTCACCCGGGAGGCACTTGGGAGCCCGCCAGTGGCTCACCTGTCCCCCAAAGGGGCTGCTGGGAACGGGCCGGGAACGGGCCTGGGCACCACCACCTCTGGGAGGGTCGGGGGCGACCTGCGACTGTCTCGCCTGGCGGCCAGAGCTGCCCGCCCAGCCTACGCCTCTGCCCCTGCCTGCTCCCAACCCCACCTGCACCCCGGTCCCGCCTGCACCCCGCCCCCAGGCCTGGGCTGGGCAGCCCTGGCGAGTGTCCCAGCTGCTGGTGAACAGCCTGGTTTCCGTGGGACTCAGTTTCCTCAAGTTTCAAATGGGGCCTTTCCTTGCTGACCGGCCCCTCCCCAGCCACCCGCAGGGTGACAGATGCTGTGAAATCCCATGATGCCTCGGCAGCACCCTGGGTGCCCCTCGCCTCCGCCCGGTGAAGGAAGGGCTCCCCACCCGGGGTGGTGGAACCGGGGTGCAACGTCTGCTGTTTATCAAGCACGCGTGCTGGGCCCACTTTGCGCCCGGAGCGGGGGGCTGAGGGAGGGCGGCCTGTGCCTGCTCCGTCGTGCCCCAAGCCAGCGGTGGGGCCCCTGCTGGGGTCACAGGCCCCTCAGCCTCCTGGGCCCACCAGCCCCCTGCGAGTTTGGCCACCTGGGCAGGAAGGGGCGGGCCCGCCTGGAGGGGAGGGCATGTGGGCTAAGCCAGGAAACCAAATGAAGAAACAAATGCAAATGCAACCCAATGGAAAAGGGCCCCCCACAAGCTTGGGGACCAGGGGGGACAGGGCTGGGCCTTCCAGCAGCCACATGGTCCTCAGGCTGGACCCAGGTCGGTCCCGCCCCGCCGGGTGGCTCCCAGCCCCATTACACATCCAGGGACTCAGACCCGACTTGAGGCTCACCTCCTCGGGGCCTCCCCAGATGGAACCCTGTGAACCCCCCCTTCCTACTGCTGCCCTCGCCTCTCGGGTCAAATAGATTTGCCAGACTGTCTCCACTTTCCAAGTCTGGGGGGACGCCGGCACCAGCTTGGGGCAGGCGTGGAGCAGAGGCTTGGAAGGCGGGGGCGGGGGGAGCAACCCGGGGCTCAGATCGAGATGAGGGACCCTGAGATATGGGGGGAGGAAGTGGGGGAGAGGGGGGAGCAAGGCGACTCCACGGGCGGCTTGGGACGAGCCCCGGGCCTTGCTGTGGGCCAGGAGCTGGGCCCGGCCTTGGCGTCAGCGCTAAAGACAGAGGCGGGAAGTTGAGAAACAGCCCCCCCAGCTCTGGAAACTCAGCAGCACCCCGGGGTGATGGGGCCCAGCCCAGGCCACTATCGGCCCTCGGGGCCCAGCCAAGGCTCCTGCAACCGGCAGATAAGGACCCTGGCCCCACATATCCGGTGCTGCCCAGGTCAGCGCCCCCACTGGGGCCGGTCAGACCCGGGTCCCCAGGCGGGAGGGGGGCAGGGTGGCGCCCCGGCCACCGGCCAGGCCTGGGAGAGCGCGGGGCAGCCCCTGGGTCCAGCTCGGGAAGCCAGAGTGCGCCCCTGCCCGGGAAGGCAGCCTTTGCAGGGGCTGCACCCCAACTCCCACACAGCTGCCCGCCCCGCGTGGAGGGGGCCGCGACCCCAGCCCAGCGCCCCTGGGCTGCAGGCCAGGAGGCCGACCCTCCGGCCACTCACCTGCCCATCTGCGCCCCGCAAGCCGCAGGAAACGCAGGCCCGGCTGCGAGCAGAGGAAACTGGGGGAGGTGGGGGACGGAGCACAGCGGGAGGCAGCGGGGAGTTGGGGTTCCTGTCACGTGACCTCTCCCCTGGGCTCCCTCACTGCCCTGCCCGAGTGGCGGGAGCCCGAGGAGGGGGCTCCGCCGGGACTCAGCCCCCAGGTGAGCGGGTCGGGGGGTGGGGGTGGCGCCCAGGCTGCCGGCCCCGCAGAGCCACCGAGGAAGGGCAGAGGCCCCTGCCCGCCGGGCCGCGCCTCCCCCCCGGGGTCCTGGGGCGCAGACCCGGTCCTGAAGGCCGGACATAGGGGCCAGAGGAGGGTCCCCGCCCTGCACGCCCGGGTGCCTCGGGACACAGGGTCCTGGGGTGCAGGGCGGGGGCCAGCGAGCAGGTGGCCTCTCCGGGGGGCCAGGCCTGGCCGCAGGTGCGGAAAGGGCCGGCCTCGCGCCCCCGTGTCCAGGGCCGGGCCTTGGCTGCGACCCGGCCGCTGTCCCGGGGCGGGGGGCGGAGGGTGGGGGGGCTGCAGCCGGCGCCCCCACGACTCTCATTTCTGGGCACCACAGGCCAAGACCTTGAGGCTCGCCCGACGGACCCCACTTCCTTCCCCGGGTGCGGCTGCCGCCGGCCCCAGCGCACCCCGCGGCGGAGATGCTGCGGCGGCGGGCGGCGGAGCCGGGCCCGGGGGAGCCGGACCCCGCGGCCGAGCCGGACCCCGCGGCCGAGCCGGAGCCGCCGGGGGAGGCGGAGCTGCGGCGACTGTGCGCCTCGCGGGCCCCGGCGCGCGCGCTGCCCTACGCCCTGGCGGACCGGCGCCTGCTGCGGTGGGTGCGGCCGCGGGGCGCGAGGACAGCCGGGGGCGCGGGCGGGCGGGGGCGCGGGGTGACGGTGCCCTCTCCACCCCAGGCAGCTGCGGGCGCCCGCGGGCGCGGGGCGTCGGGGGGCCGCGGGCCGGCGGCTGCGGGAGGCGGCGCGCGCGCTGGCGCGGGGCTGCGGGCTCTGGGAGGCGGCGCTGGCCGAGATCGGGGGTAGGTCCGCGCCCCCCGCCCCCCCCCCCCCCGCCCCGCCCCGCCGCCCCCTCTCCAGGCTGGGTCCGGGTCAGAACCTGGACGGGGAGGGGGGCATCCGGTTTGCCACGGCCCGAGAGCCCCCCGAGAGCCCCCATCCTCACGCCCGCCCCGCCCCCCCAGGGCAGCGCCCGACGGGCGACAGCACCCCCTGCTGGCCGCCCCGGGTGGCGCCCCGAGGCCGGGAGGGGGCCCTGGCCCCGCCCCCCGCCCCGAGGGGGCGGCCGCCCCCTCCCCCGGCAGACCCCGCGCCTCCGCCCGCAGGCCTCTTCGGCACCGGGATCCAGTCCTACTTCACCTTCCTGCGCTTCCTGCTGCTGCTCAACCTGCTGACCCTGCTGCTGACCACCGGCGTCGTCCTGCTGCCCCTGCTCTGGCTCGGCCCCCCGGACCCCCGCCCCGCCTTCAACCTGAGTGAGTGCTGGGCCCGGCAGGGAAGAGTGGCTGCGGCTCACCCGCACCCTGGGGTGCTGGTCCAGGCCCAGCGCCCCCGGGGCTCCTGCTCCGGCCCAGCCCTGGACTCACCCAGCCCAGACGTGCCGGCCGACGCAGGCCCGCCCTGTGCCTCGGGAGCCCCCCGCATCGGCCCCTCTTCCCCGACAGCCGCCCAGTGCCCCAGCGGCCACCAGCCCCAGGCTGGAGCCCCGAAGTTCCACAACCCGCTCTGGAGCGTCTTAACTGGCAGGGTGAGTGGCTCCGTCCTGCACGGCGAGGGGCACTGGGGGACCCCAGCAGCTGGCCTCGGGGGACTCCAGTCTCCCAGGACACAGGGGGACAGTCTCACGCAGATGGGCCCGCCGGGCCAGGGAGGGGTCAGAGAGCTGAGGCCGCAGCGCACAGCCTGGGGCCCTGGACAAGCGCCCACGGCCCGAGACAGGTGCTGAGGGGCCGGGGGACACGCGTGCAGACTCTGGGACAGACACCGCTGCCCCCGGCCTGGGCGAGCTGCCTGCCCCCCGAGCTGCTGTGAAACCAGGGCGCTCTGACTCCCTCCGCGAGGGCCGTGGGGAGAGCCGGGCCCTGAGAACGGGGCCCGCATGGACTCCTGCCGGCCGTGTCCCCAGGCCTTCAACGACACCTACCTCTTCTACGGCACCTACCGGGCAGGGCCCGAGGGCAGCTCGGCCTACAGCATCCGCCTGGCCTACCTGCTGAGCCCGCTGGCCTGCCTGCTCCTCTGCTTCTGCGGGACGCTCCAGCGGTGAGGTGCCCCCCGCCGGCCCGCATCACCCCTCCCTTGGGGTGCTGTGCCCCAATCTGTAGGGGAGGCCCTGAGCCCTGCTCCCCAGCTGCAGGGTTCCCGCCCCAGGGAGGCTGAGGCGGTGGGGAGGGGGCGGGGGTACCCCTCCTCCACAGCCCCCCTGCGACCCTCCAGGATGGTGAAGGGGCTGCCGCAGAAGCTGTTCCTGGGCCAGGACTACAGGTCGCCCCTCAGCGCCAAGGTCTTCTCCTCCTGGGACTTCTGCATCCACGGCCGGGAAGCGGCCGCCATCAAGAAGTACGAGATCAGCCACGAGCTAAGGGTGTGTGGGGCCCGGTGCTGGGGCTGGTGCGGGGGCCCGAGGGTGCAGGGGCCAGTGGGTATGAGGGCCAGTGGGTGCAGATGCCAGTGTGGGGGCCAGTGGGTGCGGGGGCCAGTGGGTGCAGATGCCGGTGTGGGGGCCAGTGGGTGCGGGGGCCAGTGCGGGGGCCAGGGGGTGCGGGCCCGGTGCGGGGCGTGCGCACGCGTGGGCGAGCAGGGCGGTGGAGTGTGTGCCCGCTGCGGGCTGGTGCGTTGGTGCGGACACGCCCGCCGTCCCCGCCCCGCAGGTGGCCCTGCAGGAGCGGCGGCACTTGGCGCTGGTGCGGCAGCAGTCCCGGGCCCGGCGGGCCTGCCTCCTGCTCAGCTACCTGCGGGTCAACGTCCTCATCGCGGCCCTGGTGGCCGGGGCCATCAGCGCCATCTTCTGGGCCACCAAGTACTCGCAGGACAATAAGGAGGTGACAGGCCCTGGGTTCTGTCCGTCCGGGACAGCGTGGGCGGACACGGGCGGCCCCGCCAGGGAGGAAACCCGGCTCCGGACGCTAGAGCGGTTTGCCCGCGACCTGCGGTGCCCCGTCCCCGCGCCCGCCGCCACCGGGAGAGCCGCGGCCGGCGGGGTCTGAGCCGCCCCAGTTTCCCCAGGTCCCCCAGGGCGCGTGGGCGTGGGGGGCGGCTCGAGGCCCTCCATGACCCCCACCCGCGTCCCGCAGGAGCCGCTGCTCCAGTACCTGCCCCCGGGGGTCATCGCCCTGGTTAACTTCCTGGGCCCCCGGCTGTTCGTGTTCCTGGTCCAGCTGGAGAAATATCCCCCCAACACCGAGGTCAACCTGGCCCTGGTCTGGTGAGGCTCACGGGGGCGGGCGGGCCGGGGCCAGGGGCCCCGAGCAAGGAAAGGCAGGGCCCCTCCGAGCAGCCCCGGCCCCTCCGAGGGGCCAGCGTTGCGGGGTGCGGGGCACCAGCTTCCCAAGTGGGGACACCGGTCCTCTTCAGCGCCCACCCCACGCTCCCGCCCGGCCTTCCTCCCCACCCCGGGGTGCAGACCGCCGGGTCTACGTGCCTCCCCAGGCTGCGGGCGGGCAGCGCGCTCAAGAGGGCGACAGATAGAAACTAAGCCCCACCGAGCTCCGCCGCCCCCCAACAGCAGCCCTGCCCCCAGCCCACCCCCGCCCCGGCCTCAGCTCTTAGGCGCGAGCGCTGCTCCGGTGGGCCGTGTGCCCGCGCCCTCCAGGTGTGCGCGTCGGGGAGCACGCGCGCGGGTGGTCGCGATGAGGGACCTGGATAAAGGGGTGAAGAAAGGAGGGTGTCACCGCGTCCTGGGAGCGGGGAGCCCGGGGCTTCCCCGCGGGGGTTTTGCACGCCTGGGGAGGGGTCAGACCTCCCCCGGTCTTGCTCCCCCACTGTCTACAAGCAGAACCCCTCCCCACGGGACCCCAGGGACCTAGGGGCCCGGGGAACACCCTTTGGGAAACCACGGAGCGGGGAGGAGGCTGGGCCCCACTCGGCGGGGCTGGGTCCGGGAGCGGCCCTGCCTCCCGCGCCCGCCCGACGCCGCCCCGCCCGCAGGTGCGTGGTGCTGAAGCTGGCCAGCCTGGGCATGTTCTCCTTCTCGCTGGGCCAGACCGTGCTGTGCGTCGGCAGGAACGGGACCGGCTGCGAGCCCTTCGGCTACGACGCCTGCGAGTACCAGGTGGCCGCGTCGGGCCTCCCGCCCCCCTCCGAGAGCTGCCCCCCGGCCCCGCGGAGCCGCGTCCACCCCGGCCTCCGTCCCTCCGCCGGCCCCTCACGCCCCACCCCCGACCGCGGGGTCCCGGCTCCACCCTGGCTGCAGCCTCACCGGGCAGTCGCGCCAGGCTCGGGCGGGGGCGGGCGGGGCGGGCGCGGGAGCCGCATGGTGATGCCCCCTCTGCCCCAGTGCTGGGAGAACGCGGTGGGGGAGGAGCTGTACAAGCTGAGCACCTTCAACTTCCTGCTCACCGTGGCCTTCACCTTCCTCGTCAGCCTGCCCAGGAGGTGAGCGCGCGGGCACCCCCGGGGGCCAGGGCTGGCTTCGGGCCGGTCGGCGGCCACGGCCAGGGCGAGCGGTCCCGCGCCATCCGTGCACGTGGTGGGGGGCCCGAGGCCTGGCTCTCCCTGGACACCCCGCTGCTGGACACCCCGCTCCCAGGCTGCTGGTGGAGCGGTTCTCGGGCCGGTTCTGGGTCTGGCTAGACCGGGAGGAGTTCTTGGTGCCCAAGAACGTGCTGGACATCGTGGCGGGACAGACGGTCACCTGGATGGGCCTCTTCTACTGCCCCCTGCTGCCGCTGCTCAACAGCGTCTTCATCTTCCTCACTTTCTACCTCAAGAAGGTGAGGGGAGCGGGCTGGAGGGAGCACGGCGGCGCCCTGCGCCCCAACTGCAGAGCTGGCATCCGCGCCCCAGTCCCTCCTTGCGTCCCGATGGGGCTGAGCACCCGTGTGTTCACTGTCCCCAGTACACGCTCCTCAGGAACTCCAGGGCGTCCTCCAGGCGATTCCGAGCCTCCAGCTCCACCTTCTTCTTCCAGCTGGTGCTCCTCCTCGGCCTGCTTCTGGCCGCCTTGCCCCTGGGCTACGTGGTCAGCAGGTGAGGGCGCGGCGGGCTGGGCGGCCGGCAGGCGGTGGTGCCTCGCCCAGGGCCCGGGCCCAGCCCCTCTCTGGCCGTCTCTCCCCAGCATCCACTCCTCCTGGGACTGCGGCCTCTTCACCAACTACTCGGCCCCTGGCAGGTGGTCCCCGAGCTGGTGGCCCTCCGGCTGCCCCCCGCGGGCCAGCTCGTCCTCCACTACCTCAGCTCCCACGCCTTCAGCTTCCCCCTGCTCATCATGCTCAGGTGTCTCAGGGAGGGAGCCGGGTGGGTCCCTCCTCCCGTGGGCACCCCTGGGCAGTGCCGCGGGGGACGGGAGCCAGGCAAGAAGGGCCCCGGAGGCCGCCCCGGGGACGGAGCGTGGCCCACAGAGGCCTGGGCCAGCCCCGGGGGCCTGCCCTGGGACACGAGACCACGGGGAGCTCAGTGCCTGGCGGCGGGAGAGCAGCCGGTCACCCCTACCGCCTCGCAGACGGGCGAGCCTGGGGCGGGGAGGAAGCGGCGTCTACGCACCCCAGGAGAGATTGGGGTGCGGAGGGACGACGTAGCGGGCGGCGCCCGCCATGCGCGGCGGGACTAACCGTGCCCCCGCCCCGCCCGCAGCCTCGTGCTGACCGCGAGCGTGTCCCAGGCCCGGGCCGGCGCGAGGGCCGTGCAGCAGCTCCGCAGGCAGCTGGCGTGGGTGAGCGTCCCCGACGGGCCTCGGGGTGCGGCCCGGGTTGGGGGTTACAGAGGGCGGTGGAGCGGGGGGCGGGGAGCCAGACTGGTAGGAATATGACTCTGGGTTTGGGGCTCAGCAGGTGCGTGACCGGGCTGGGGGGGCCAGCGCCCCGCGGTTACTCCTGGGCTGGGGCGGGGCTGAGACGGGGCGTGGCCACTGGTGGGCGGGACGACGAGCGTGGCAGCCTGGGACGCGGAGGGGGCGTGGCCCCCAGCAGCTGGGGCGGGGCCTCGGGCTGGCGGGGGGGGGGGGGGGGCAGCGGCTGGGAGGGGCGGGGCCTCATTTAGGGGGCGGAACTCTGGAGGGGCGGGGTCTAGTGCTGGCAGGGACAGTGGCAGGAAGAGGGCGGGGCTCGTGTAGGGGCGGGGCCTCGGGCTGCTGGGGTGGGTCCAGGATGGGCGGGGCCTCCGGAGGGCGGGGCCTTGGGCTGGCGGGGCGGGGCCTCGGGGCGGGGTCTCGGGAGGGCGGGCGGGGCGGGGCAGAAGGGGCGGGGCCTCGGGCTGCGGCGGCCGCGTGCTTCCCACCCGGACAGCCGAGCCGCAGCTGCCCAGCCGCGCCGTCTCCATCCCGGCGGGCGGGAGGAAGCCCCGCCTGTAACGTGTCTCGCTCCCCCCGCAGCAGGTCCAGGAGAAGTGGCACCTGGTGGACGACCTGTCGCGGCTGCTGCCCGAGCAGTGTCCCGGCGACTCCCTGGGGCCCGGGTCCCCTCGCCGCCGAGCTTCGCGCCCCCTGTCCCTCTGCCCCGGGTTCCCGTGCCCCGGCTCCCCAGGGCCCAGGCCCCCCAGCCCCGGACCTTCCCTGCGCTCCCCGGGCCCCGGGCCGCAGGATGCCCCTGAGCCCAGCTGGAGATTCCGCTTCCCCAGCGGCTCGGAGCAGTAGCTGTGGCCGGGCCTCGGCTCTCAGCGTCCGCGGGTCGGGCAGGCAGCCCCGCAGGTGCCCGTGGCCTCCCGCGCCTGCCCCCGGCGACCGCGCCCTCTCGGTGGGCCCGACCCGCTTCCCCCCGGCGGGCGCGCACACCCAAGGGCTGCAGGAAGAGAGCGTGCGAACTTGTATTTTTGTTGTGTTCCTTTAAGTTTTCTATTTCTGTTGAATGTTTTTTAAGATACATAAAATGCTGATATAATAAGCCACGACCGCGTGTCCGCCTCTGCAGCCAGCGGGGGAGCTCTGACACTGCGTGCTGCGGGAGGAGGCCGCATAAAGTCCAGGCTCCCGCCCCAGAAGGGGCAGGCCTGGCGGTCCGCAGACACCCTCCACGCCGCGGGCTCGGCTTCTGTGCCCAGGGCACCAGGCGGTCCTCGCGCGACTCCCGGGTGTTCCTGCGAGCAGACAACAGACACTCTCAGAGGGTGTGAGCAAGACGCAGAGCCGGACTGAGCCCAGGCACCCGCTCCACAGCCGCTGCACCAGCAGGCTCCGGGGCCCCTCCCAGCCCACCTGAGCTGGGAACGGGCTGTGATTGGTCTCTCCCGGTGGGACTCATTCCCAGTCAGCTGCCCCGCACCTGCCGGCCGGAGGGAACGGGAAACCGGGACAGAGGACCCCTGGCCAGACCCGTCACAGAACCTGTTCTTCACTCTCCCCACGTGTCTCCCCTTCCTTGAACCGACCTTGAGGAAACCCTAGGAACCCTGGGGTGAGGTGCCCCGCAGAGCCACGAGGGCTGGGATGCCCCTGGGGCTGAGGTGATGAAGGACCACCTCCAAGCCTCCCACCTCTAACCCCATGGCTCTCAAGCTCAGGACACCCGAGGCTGCCAGAGCAGGTCGTGTGCCAGCGGCTCCCACGCGCTCAGCCAGGCTCAGCCAGCACCCGGCTGGGCCTTCTGCAGCCTCCTGGTGACAGCTGAGAGACTGTCGGGGGGGTGTTCAGAAGCCTGGGGACGTGCTTTAAAAACTCTCCTGCCACGGGGGTGGAGGGGCAGGAGGGCACGGGCAGTGCGGCTGGAGACAGGGCAGGAGGCTTCATGGAGTCATCAGAGGATTGACTGGTTCCTCCTGTCCCTTCCGGACGCAGAGAAGTGGGCAGGGCCACAGGTGAGTCCGGGAGAGCGGGTGGAGGCTGATTCGCTGGCGGGGAGAAAGGCCACTGGGCCGGCAGGCGGCAAAGCTGGTCACCAGGAGCTCTGGGATGTGGCACTTGGTTCTGCCCATGGAGCTTCCTGCTGCTCCCGGGCAGGGTCACTCCAGCTTCCCCGCACACCCAGACAACAGGTGCCCGTGAGGGGGCAGAGGCAGGGAGGGAGGAAGGCACAGGATGGGAACCGGCCTTGTGTGCTGTCCCGGACTGCGGGTCCCTTGGCTAGCCGGGGGCAGACAGCCCCCCGGGGAAGGCAGCCATAAAAGGATGTCTCCTCACAGGCTAACTGAGCCTGGCCAGAAAGGGGCCAGGGGTCCGGCAGCCCCAGGCCTGGGCTGGAGTGAGGGGCCCAACTGGCAGGGCAGGAAGGTGCCGGCGGCCAGCCGTGGGCTGCTGGGTCCTGGCGCCACCTCACCTGCTTCGCATTCTGCGTGCAGAGGCGCCTGCTGCCGAGCCCCCGCTGGCCTGGCCTAACTGCGGTTTCCGGTTCCGGAAGGCCAAGCTCATCTCCAGCTTCCCTCCAGATCTGGGGTGCTCTGCTGCAGCTGCTGGCCAGGCCAGGCCACCGTCCGTGTTGTGGCCGCACCTCCTTTTAGACCGACTGGCATCGGATCCAGGCCCCTGGGGAGTCAGTCACCCATTGTCTGTGGGCCCAGAGGAGGGCCCCTCCTGCTCCTGAGCGCAAGGCCGCAGCACTCCAGGACGGCCAGTGTCCAGCACCAGCCCCTAGTGGGTGCCCGACAGGTGGCACTAATCCTCGCGTGAGAGGGGTGCGTTGTCTCCTCCCTGCTTCTTTATTAGGGGTCTGGAGGCCAGCTCACTGGGGGGGGGCCAGACTCCCCACAGAGCTTTGAAAAGACCCCCGTGCTTCCATGAGGCCCACCCGAATAAAGAGCATACTCGACCGTCACAGAGCCGGCAGGACCTCCTCACCAGGCAGCACCCTGGGTGAGGACCGGCGGCTCCCCCGCAGCTCCACGGGGGGCCGGAGGTAAGCACTGGTCGCTCCAGGGCCCAGGGGCCTCCTAATGCCCTGAGAGTTGCGCAGAGAGAGATGTTGTTCTGGGCCTGCTGGGCCCCAGGGTGCTGTGGCCTCCAGGTTATCTCCTGGCTGCAGGCACCCACCCAGGAGCTCCCCAGGGGCCCCAGGGTGGGGGTGGCCAGAAGACGCTCTCCCAGCCTGGCAGGACCCGCGCTGCAGACATGAGCCCGCTGCTGCTGCTTCTCTTGGCTGTGCTGGGTGAGCCCACGCTGGGGTCCTGGGTGGGGCCGCTGCCGGGCCCGGGGGTGCCAGGGGACGCAGGGGTGGGGGCAGAGGCCTGGACGCCTCCAGTGGCACAGGACAGAGAGGGAAAGACTAGGCCTGAGTCCCAGACCAGCCGCACTGCCACGTAGCCTGGTCACCGCTACTTCACTCCTCTGCAGAGGGGGCTGGTGACGCTAAGCGTGGTCGCCGAAAGCGCCTCCGTGCGTGACCGTCTGGCTAAGCCCCGGCCTCCCGGCAGCCCCTACTCCTCCTGCCACCACCCTCTCCTGTCTTACAGCTCCCAGCAGCCTCTCCGCGGAGCCGGAGATAGGTGAGTGCCCAGCAAGCTGGAGGGAGACCATGGGTCAGAGCCCCCCACCCCATGGTGGGCGCCTGGGCTGGAGGGAGGTGGTGGTTGGGGGTGTCTGCTGGGGGAATTGGACGATTCTGGGACTGGCCTCAACCCCTGCAGGGCCCTGGGGTGAGAGGAAAGGGGGGGACTCCACACTCTGCTTCCCCTTGGCCTGGGGGACAGTGGAGATGATGGGCGTCCTGGAGGGTGTATCCGGCCACTTGCCCCATCCCAGGCCCCTGACCTGCCGCAGTCGCCCCGTAGCTCCCCTGGGTGGGCGTCACCCCAGAGAGGGCTGGAGACAAGCCAGTGGGTGGAGCGAAAATGGGGAAGTTTCGGCTCCCTCCGAGGCCAGTGGAGGGGGGGCATCAAGGTCCCTGAGACCAGCAGCCCCGGGGGGTGGGGAGACAGAGCCAGGGAGGGAAGCTCTTGGTTCCCCCAATTTTGTCCCCTCCCCTTTGCTGCATCGACCCCCTCCCTCGCCCTGCCCTCTCCCACCCTCCCAGCCCGTGTCCCCAAGGTGAAGGTGACCATCGCCTCCTCCTGGGCCGGCTTCCGTGGGGGCTGCTCCCCTCCTGCGTGGTCCTCACCCTGCTCACGGTCCCCAGGTCTGTCCCAGGGGGCACCCGCCTGGATTCCTCCGCAGGGCGGGCCTCTCTTGAATGCGCACAGGCTGAACTGCCATTTCCTCATTTGCTTTAAAAACAAACACCTCCGGTGTTTCTGCTGAAGAGGAGCGGAGCCGGCAGGGCCGGCCCTCCCCTCAGGCCCCGACTTCTGCTCCGACTGCGGGCCAAGGCCTGCTGGGCCAACTCCCAAGGGCTGACGATCAGTCCTTCATTCACTCGCGCATTCATTCAACAAACACGGCTGAACACTGGTCAGTGCCAGCAGTGTCCTAGGCCCGGAGGGCGGACACGCGAGATGCAGACACAGAACTGAGGTCCCTGCCCTCCTGTGGGCGCTTCCTAAGGTGGGGCGCATGATCAAGGCAAGCCCCCCCACCCCCCCACCCTCCCACCCCCCCACCCTCCCACCCCCGGGTGCTACAGGTCCTGGAGGGGAGCAAGCAGGGAAGGGGGTGGGGACAGGGCGGCCGTGGGGACAGAGGGCGGCCTGCTCAGGTTTACCCCGTGTTGAGACGAGGCGGGAGGAGGTCAGGGGTGGAACCCAGTGAGCCATTAGCGGGTCCCGGGATCCTCGGAGGGAAGAGCCCAAGGACAGCCGCAGGGCAGCCCCACAGCCGCCAAGGGAGGGAGCGCGGGCGCCATGGCAGAAGCCGGGTCTTCGGCCTGAGCCGCTGTGGGGGGCTCCCGTCTACCACGGACCATGACACAAGAGGAGAGCACAGGCGAGGGCACTGCGGGATGAGGACGGTGGGCTGGTCTTGGGGTGTCTTGAGATCCCCAAGACTCTGGCCAGCGTGGGCGTGATGGGAGTGAAGGGCGCCAGGGGCCAGGGTCTTGGGGGGCGGCCGCTCCTCACTGCCTGTGGCTGGGGGGGCAGGTGACCTCTGCTGGAGTCTAGGGGTGGGAGGGAGGCCCAGAACATCAGGAGCTGTCTACCCTGTCGCCTTGGGTCGGGGGAGCTGTGGGGACCCGCCGGAGCCCCGAAGGCGTTCCGTGCAAGGGTGGCTGGTTTCTGTTCACTGGCTTGAAGGGGTGTGAGTGCCATGACCCTCCTCTCCTCGGGGCGCACGGGGAAGGGTCAGGATTGGGAAGGGGGGGTCTAGGGGGCCGGGAGCTGCAGCGCCCTAGGGGCTGGGGCAGGAGGATGGGGTGGCCCAGGAGCTGGGGGGCCCAGCTCAGAGGGGTGGAAGGACAGATTCAGACTCATGTCCCCCTGAGAGAGCAAAGGAACGCGAGGGATTGCCCTGTTTTCTCCTAAACTCCATCCGGGATTTCCGAGGGAGGCCTTCAGCCACCTGGAGGGGCCCCAGATGAGTGTCCCGGGGCGGCCCTAGCAGAGCACCCCAAACCGGGCAGTCAAACAGCAGAAAGGGAATCTCTCCGAGTGTGGAGGCCGGAAGTCAGAAGTCAGGTGTCGATGGCTTGTCCCAGCAGGAGGCCCCGGGGTGTCGCCCGGGCTAGCCCCCCGGGACCGCTCGGTGTGCCGGGGTAAAGGCGCACCCCCCCACCCCCTGCCCTCAGCCCCGACGTCAGCAGCCTTCTGTGCGGACGCCTGTCTGTGTGTCTCCCCCCACGGGCACGCCTCGTCCAGTGGGAACGGCCGGGGAACTTCCGTAAGGGCCGCTTCCACGCGGCCCCAGGCGCAGGCCAACCCGGGGCTTGAGTCCCTCTCTGGAGAGCACAGTCCCTCCAACAGGAGGCTGCTCCCGGGTATCAGAGACAGGTCTGGAGAGTGGGGGGGCCCCACAGGGCCTGGACACCCGCCGCTCTCAGAGAGGCCCAGCCTGCGTGGTCTCGGCGGCCAGCCTCCATTCTAAGCGTGTCCTTGTCGCACCTCCAAATCTGGAGGGTGCCACCCCATCATTCAAATAATCTGAGACAGTTGATGCCTTTTAAATGCAGTGGCAGCCCCTCCTTCCTGGAGGGCCGGATGCACAGGCAACCAAAAGGGGAAGCCACAGGCCTCTAGGCAGACCAACCGGAGCCGCCCACTGCCCAGCACAAACCCAGCCGCTGCCCCCTGCATACATCAGGCGCCCGTGCACGGCCGTTGGCAGGAGCTGAAGGCAGATCAGCCTCTGGTTCCACTTTTATTTTTTTTAAATATTTATTTATTTATGCATACAGGGACTGGGGTGCAGCCAGAGGTGTGGAGGTGAGAGGATTCACCAGAGACAGGGTGGGGAGCAGAACAGGCGGATCTACTGAAACACACTGCTGAGGGGAGCAGCGGGGAGGCAGGAGGGGTCTGCTGCGCCCTGTGGGTGGCTCCCTGGCGGGGTCTATAAGTCAAGATCATTTCCCTTCATGAAGGTCGCAAAAAGAAAACCTCTTGGACCCCAGTCTTTCCCAGGGAGGCAGGATTTTGGCCTCCAGGCGTCTGTGGGCAGCGAGGAGGAGGCCCCTGGGTCCAGGAACGCGCTGTGGTGTTGGGGGGTCTGCGGTGGCTCCTGCAGCCTGCGCTGGACTCTGGGCAGAGCTCGCTTCAGAGACGGCGCCGCGGTGTGTTTGAAAAGAGCATTTCACGAAGGTGGGGCTGCGCGTGACGTTTGCAAAGAGCCCAGATGAGGGAATATTTGAGGTGTCTGGGCAGCACTGGCAGGGAGGATGGCCCGTTCTAGAAGGCTCTGCCTGGTGTTGGGGCACAGTTCTCACTACTATTGGTTACAGGGCAGAGAGGGGCACCCGGGGCCCCCAAACCTGCCTGCTCTAAGTGGGTTCTGCCAGCCGCTGCATCAAGACAAAACATTCTAGGGCGTAAGACCTTTCATGGAAAAGAACTTTAATATAATCCGTGTTCAGTAATTAGTGTGCAACAGAGAGAGAGAGAGAGAGAGAGAGAGACTGAAGTCCCAGAGCCAGCACCGGGCGCCCGCCCCTCGTGGGCAAACACCCAGCCGAGCAGGGTGGGCGCAAAGCGGGGCCACTGGGGCCTGAAAACTTGCCACCAGGCTAAGGCTCCTTCTGGGGGAACCCCCGGGAAAGGCGCAGGGGGGCAGGCAAGTCTGGGAGGAAAAGAGCAAAGTCAAAGCCGCCATTGTCAGCCTCCCCCGGCCACCCACGTGTTTCCAGGGTCTCCGTGTCCCCAGCTCCCTGCGAGTCCCAGGCCGGGCGGCCAGCGTGGCTTCCTCACGGGCCTCCGCGCCCTGCGCCCCCTCCAGGCTCCTCCCCGCTCTCCTGCCTCCCCCCCGCACCCCGTCTGTCCTCCCCGCCCTGGCCGCTCCAACTTCCTCGGGTGGGGCCGGGAACCTGGGGGTCACCCTGCTACCGACTGACATCTGGGGTGGAAGAACAGAGTCTCTTGGGGGCCTGTCTTGTGCGTTACGGGGCACGCACTGGTCTGGAAAGCGCAGCTCTCGGCGCCCTGGTCACACCCGGCGCCCAGAGGCCAGCACGTCTGGCCGCGGCGGGCTCGGAGGACCCCGTGTGGCCGCGCCAGGCCCGGCTGGGAGACTTGAGAGCTTCTCGGGCTCAAAATCCACCCCCGGGCCTCCTACAAGGCACAGAGGTCCTTCCGAGCAGAGGTGGCCGGAGACGTGAGCCCTGCTGGGGCAGTGAGGGGGCTTGCTGCAGGCTCTAGGGGTCTCCCGTTCCTGTTCTTGGGACGTCCCGCTTTGCTTTGTGAGGGCCCCTACCTCGGTGAGCCCGCCCTCCACGCCTGGGCCCCCAGCGGCGCGTCCCGGGGGTTAGGTCCTCTCTCTGCTGCGGCCTGCTCGCTGTCCCTTCAGCCCAGGCCTTGGCCTCTCTGGGCACCGGGCACCGGCACCCCCTGCCCCCTGGCTCCTTAGCAGGGCCTGGCCCGAGGCGGCCCCAGTGGTGAGGGTGGACAGGCATGCACACGCGGCCAGCTCCCCAGGGCCCGGCTGGCTCACTCTGCCTTTCGTGTCCCCACTGCTGTGAGGCGCCAGCGGCTCTGCCGTCCCCCTGTAATGGTGGGCCGGACTCAAGGCCATACCCCCATCAGGCATCAGAGCCCCAGGGGAAGCGAGCGGCCCCTTGGCCTTGCAACTTGCCAGCCTCCCACCCAGGGCCTCAGGTCATGTTGTGGTAACAGTAACATATTCTGCACAGAAAGAGCCTAACCCCAGGTGGGAGACCCTTCTCCAGCAGTTTCTTTTTCTTTTCTTTTTTTTTTTTTAATATTTATTTTAATTTATGTATGCATCCAAGAGCTGGGGTGCAGGCCAGAGGTACAGGGGGTGAGAGGATTCACCACTGAGTGGGGAGCAGAAAAGGCGGATCCACTGAAATCCACTGCTGAGGGGAGCAGTGGGGGGACAGGAGAGGTCTGCTGTGCCGTGTGGGTCACTCCCTGGCCGGGGATCAAACTCAGGCTGCAGTGGTGAGAGCCTGAAATTGACCCCCAGGCCACAGGGAGGCCCCTCAGTGTTCTGACAACTTTATGGCTGGGTGTCAGTCCACGGTATGGGAGGCCACAGTCTCCCTTTGTGGCGACGGATGTGTGGGTGGTTCCACCTTCTGGTGGCTGTGCCGGGCGCTGCTATAAACACTTGCAGACGCATCTGAAGAGCCCCCGTTTTCCATCCTCCGGGGCGCTGCCTTGGAGTGGAATGGAATTACTGGGTCACATGGTAACTGATTTTTGAGGAACCGCCAAACCAGCCTTTACTTAAGCTGCTTGATAAATGTTGGTTTCCTTCTTCCTCCTCCACCTGGCCACCCCCCAGAAACCACTCCTGATGTCTTCATTGCCTACAAAGTCCTGGAGGTTTTCCCCAAAAGCCGCCGAGTCCAAATAATGTGCCACTCACCCCAGGCGCCCCCACCCATCACCTACTCGCTCTGGGGGAGCCAGGACATTGAGGTGGCCAAGAAGGTGGTGAAGACGCAAGTCCCGGCCTCCTTCAGTATCAACGTCACGCTCACGTCCAGAGCCGACCTGCTCACCTACTCCTGCCAGGCCTCCGCCGGGGACAGGCGCGTGGCCAGCACCAAGCTGCAGATGTACTGGGAGCTGTGGACCAGTGAGTGCCCAGGGGCGGGGTGCAGGGCCTAGAGGACAAGTGGGTGCCTCTGGGGAGGGCATCATGGGGTCAGGGGTTAGAGGGCAGGGACAGGACTGCTGTCTCCAAGGCCACTCTGAGTCCCTGGGGACCTGGTCACAGGGCAGGGTGGCTCTGACTGGGCCCTGTGGCACAGTCTCCTGGCAAGGCCCTGCAGAGGCTGAAGGGAGAGGCCACAGAGCTGGAGGGCAGACGTGAGGCCTGGGCCTCATCTGCGGAGTTCTGGCCTCAGTCCAGTACAGCAGCTCCTTGCGCAACTTGCTTCACCGGCAGCTGCAGGGGGATGTCTGGGGAACCACAGCTCTTGGCTGTTGCCCCTGGGCCACCAGGCTAGCAACTGGCGAAGGCTGGTCTCAACCCCCACTCCCACCCTACCACCCTGCCTTCTCCCCATTTCTATCCTGATCTAAGCTCAGCAGTCCTTCCTGGGGACAGCATAGGAGTGTGGCCCCGGCAGTGGTGGGCCTGAGGGCCCCTGCACCGCCAGGGGAGACGGCCTAGGGGCAGGGTCTGGAGCACCCTCTCCCAGTGTGGCATAACAGGCCCTGTGGTCTTGGGCTAGTCACACCACCTCTCCGGACCTCAGCTGTTTCATCTGCGAAGCAAGGGTAAGAGTACCTACCCCAGAGGTGGAGAAAGGACGGCATGGAAGCCTCCAGTAGGTCACACGTATGCTTCAAAGGTAACTCAGCACAGCTGTTTAAAATCTAAGATTGAAGACCCTGGGGCTTCTAGAATCTAGATCTCTGACAGTTCTCGTCCCGAAGGCACAGGTATTCCAGTAAAAGAATACAAATTGGGGTGCCAGATAAATTCTGCACGGGACATACTTACACTGAACAATTTTTCATCATTTACCCGAAGTTCAAATTTAACTGTGTTTTCTATACTTCTGCTTGCTAAGCCGGACAACCCAAGTACACGTCACAAGAATAAAAACAAAGGTAAAATTGTGTGTTATACGCTGCAAAGAGGGCAGAAGCCCAGACAGGAGGCAGAGTGGGTCATCCAGAAGGCTGCCTGGAGGAGGCAGCAATCACAGTTAAGCCTCCAGGTGCAAGAAGGGAATGGCGCGGGAGAGGGTGTTATAGACTCCCAGTCATGCCTGTGCCACCCTTTCACCCTGCCAGAGCCCGTGTCCCAAGTGCAGGCTGACTTCACCCTGCTGGGCAGCGTGTCAGAGCCCATGGTGGAGATCTCCTGCCAGGCGTCCTCGGGCAGCCCACCCATCACCTACAGCCTGGTTGGAAAAGATGGGCACGTCCACATGCAGCAGAACCCCGACTACGGGCAGCCGGCCAACTTCTCCTTCCCCCTGACCCAGACATCAAACTGGCTCCAGTGCCAGGCTGCCAATGACATCAGTGTCCAGCGCAGCCCCCCCACACTGGTGCCCCCAGGTGAGAGGCCTTCTTGGGTGTTTGGGAAGCTGGGGCTTCTGGGTAGGCCGGTGGGAGGGCCCACCCTGGCCGAGGACAGAAGCCCAGCGCAGCCGCCACGCCTCCCCGCAGGACAGCTGCCCCAGGGGGCCGCCGTGGTGCTGGCCGGCAGCCTCTCGTCCATCGCAGCAGTCACCTCCGGGATGCTGGGCTGGAGCGCGTGGGCCAGGTAGGGAGGGTGCCGGGCGTGGAGGGATGACGACAGCTGACTGTGCGTGACTGCCAGGGACCCTGGCTGGGGAGCGGGCAGGGCTTGGGCTTGGAGGGCAGGGCTGCCAGCGGGGCAAAGCGCTGTGGGCTGACACGGGTCATGGACGCGGACTCAGGACGTTTACTCGGCTGCTGCTGTGGCGATGCCGGGAGGACCTGCACGTGGGCGGCCAAGGCCGCGTAGCCAGCCAGGCCCTGGGGGAGGAGGCACGCTCCCAGGCCTCCCAGGTCTAGGAAGGGACACTGGGTGGGGGACGATGCCCTCGGGGGCCCGCGTGGGCCAGGGGCTTCTGTCCTCTGTAGGAACCCAGGGGTCCGTCCGTCCCCACTGGCGACAGGAGGCAGATCTCCTGGGGCCTCTGCCCAATGCCGTCACTTTATTGACTTGGAAAGTGACCAGGGTCTTGGTGTGGCCTGCCCTGCCCGTCTGGCCTCCGTGGTGCCACCCCAATTGGCTCCTGTCCCCAGGTCCTCCACTGGAAAGTGTCCAGGAGTCTGTCCTTAGCAGCTCCTTGTCTTACCGCTAGTCCCTTCCTCCCGTCCTGCCCTTTCCAGGCGCAGGGGTGAGCCCTGGGCCCCTGAGCCTCGGTTTCCTTCCTGTGACCTGGGTGGACAGACCAGGCCCCCCTCGCCGCCGGGTGGCCAGGGGCAGCACGTGCCCTCCGGTGACTCAGTGCCTCCTTCATTTAGTGGGGTGATTCAGCCTAACCCCCTCCTCCTGCCTGGGGCTCCGATGCGCTGGGCACCATAAAATCCTCGGAGGCCTCGGGAGGGGCGGCTGGGAGCGCTGACCTCACCTGGAGCCTCGCCCCTCTGCCCGCAGGCTGTGACGAGACCCCTCAGTCCCGAGAGTCCCGGCCCGGCCCTGCAGAATTCGAATAAAGAACAACCTGCCGCCCACCCTGGAGGCGCGGGGTCCGCCCGGCAACACTGGCCGAGTCTGGGGTCTCAGGTCGGGTGGGCGGTGGAAGGGGGTGTCTGTGCCCGGCGCCCAGCGGAGCCCGGGGAGCAGGGGGGAGCCTGACACGGCCCAGCTGCGCCCACCCCAGGGCCGCTGCCCAGCGACGCCCCCTTCCCGGAGAGAAGCCCCGGGACGGGGCCGGGGGGGGGGGGCGGCACCGCTCGCCCCAACCGCCCAGCTGGGAGGACTCCGCGCCCCGGGGCGCGCCCCGCCCCCCTGCCCAGCCCGGGCGTCGGCGCGCGGCCTCCTGGGGGAAGAGCCGGGGGCGCCGCCGCCCCTGCCGGTGCCCGGGGAGCCCCGTTTCTGCCTGCGGCCACTGGAGCGGGGCACGCCGCCCCCGGCCCGGCTGGGGTGGGGTGGGGTGGGCGGAGGGGCCGGGCCGGGCCGGGCCGGGGTGGGGTGGGGTGGGCGGAGGGGCCCGGGCCGGGCCGGGGTGGGGTGGGGTGGGGTGGGCGGGGGGGCGGGCCGGGCCGGGCCGGGCCGGGCCGGGGTGGGGTGGGCGGAGGGGCCCGGGCCGGGCCGGGCCGGGCCGGGCCGGGGTGGGGTGGGCGGGGGGGCCGGGCCGGGCCGGGCCGCGCCGGGGTGGGGTGGGCGGAGGGGCCGGGCCGGGCCGGGCCGGGGTGGGGTGGGGTGGGGTGGGGTGGGCGGAGGGGCCGGGCCGGGCCGGGCCGGGGTGGGGTGGGCGGAGGGGCCCGGGCCGGGCCGGGGTGGGGTGGGCGGCGGGGGCGCCGGGCCGGCTTCCCGGGGGCGCGGCGGGTCCTGCCTCCGCTCCGGGCGCGCGCTCCCGTCGCCGGCTCCGCGCGCGGGCCGCGGCCGCACTTTGCCCTCGGTCCCTGGGCGGCCCCGCCCGGGGGCGGGGCGGGGCTCGGGGGCGGGGCCGGGTCTCGGGGGCGGGGCCGGGTCTCGGGGGCGGGGCCGGGTCTCGGGGCGGGGCCGGGTCTCGGGGGCGGGGCCGGGTCTCGGGGGCGGGGCCGGCTCCCGGCGGTGCGCGGCGCGGCGCGGCGGCGACATGGAGAGCGGGGCCTACGGCGCGGCCAAGGCGGGCGGCTCCTTCGACCTGCGGCGCTTCCTGACGCAGCCGCAGGTGCTGGCGCGCGCCGTGAGCCTGGTGAGCGCGGCCGGCGGGCGCGGGGCTGGGGCGCGACAGGTGCGCGCGGGCGGGCGGGCGGCGGGCCCCGGGGGCCCCGGGTGCGGGCGGGCGCCGGGCGCGGGGGGCCGGGGCGGGCGGGGGCCGGGCGCGGGGGGCCGGGCGCGGGCGAGGGCGCCCCGCGGGCCACGGAGGCGCCCGGGCCGCTCCGGGCAGGTGGCGGCCGCGCGGCGACTCCGCGGGGCAGGCACCCGAGGGGCTTTCCGCAGCCTCTTGGGGGGGCGGGGGGAGGGGCGGGGGGCCGACCTGGCGCCCGAGGCGGGGCCCCCCGTCGCCCGGGCGAGGGCGCGCCGGGCCCGCTCTCCCGCCCCCATCTGGCGGCCCGGGCGGGGGGCGCTCCCCGCGGGCGGGCGGCCCTCGGCGGGGGGCGCGGGGGGGCGGGGGCCGGGCCTCGCTCCTGGACACCCGGCGCTGGAGGCCGGAGGGGGGCCAGAGGCTGCGCCCGCGGAGCCCACACCCCGCCCCCCGGGGCTCAGGCCTTCCGGGTGCCCGAGTGGCGCCCGCGCCCCCTCCCTCTGACCCCGGGGTCCGGCCGGGGCCGGCGATGCGGGGAGCGCGGGGCTGGCAGTGCCAGGACGCCGCCGGGCGTTGCTCCGCATCCTGGAGTTCCGGCTCCGGCTCCCTGGGGGTGGGGCTTGGGCTGCCAACCCCAGGCCTGGTGGGGCCATGTGCCACCTGGGCAGGGCAGGGAGCGGCCAGGGCTGTCCTAGAAGGAGCCAGGTGTCCCGACTGCCTGGCATCTGCTGGCATCGCCGGGTGGCGGCCGGGAAGTCTGGGGAGGAGACAGGTGACCTGAGCTGTTCCCAGAGGCCGAGCCCCCCCAAGTTGTGGCTGGCGGACCCCACACCCACCCTGGGACCTCACACCTCCTGGCTGTGCCCACTGTCTGCCCGCCAGACCCGCCTGGAGAGCCCCGCCGGCCGGCCGGGCGCCAGGCAGGAGGCAGACGGGGCTCCCCGGAGGGGAGGGGCCAGGCTCCGGAGGCCGGAAGTCCCTGCTCAAACTGGGGGTGCCGGCCTGGAGCAGGCACGAGTGGGAGCAGACTCGAGGGGGTGGGGGCCCCGCGGCAAGGTTTCAGCCCAGTGCACAGTGGCGTGGCTTTCCCGGGGCGGGGAGTCCAACACCGGGGGCTCGGGGCGCAACAGGCCAGGCCTGGGTGTCTGTCGGTCTCATTGGTGTTGAAAGTGGGGGTGAGTGGATTGCCCTTGACCCTCATCCTGTGCCTAGACTCCACGACCCCCCCGCCCAGGCTGCTGGGGCGGGGCAGTCCCCTCCCAGGAGATCCCCGTCCACTCCCCACACCCTCCCCCACATCCCCATAGTCCAGAAACCACCCCCCACCCCCCCATCCCCCCCCATCCTGGCCCGGCCATGCGTAGCACACCAGGAAGCCGCTTGCGCATCAGCTCGCCCCCCCAGTTCACAAGGGGCGGCAGTTCCCCCTCCCAAAGGGCACCAGCAGCCATGGAGGGGCCAGGGCCTGCCCCCTGCCGCCCGTGGGCCCCGGGGGCTTTTCTGGCCACTCACCCCCCGCCCCCCCAGGTCTTCGCCATGATCGTCTTCTGCTGCATCTTCGGCGAGGGCTACAGCAACACCCACGACTCCAGGCAGAAGTACTGCGTGTTCAACCGCAACGAGGACGCCTGCCGCTACGGCAGCGCCATCGGGGTGCTGGCCTTCCTGGCCTGCACCTTCTTCCTGGTGGTGGACGTCTACTTCCCGCAGATCAGCAACGCCACCGACCGCAAGTACCTGGTCGTTGGCGACCTGCTCTTCTCAGGTAGCCCTGCCGCCCGCCTCTGAGCCCAGGAGGGGCAGGGAGCCCGCGGCCTTCCCAAAAGCTCTAGGGGTCGGCAGTCGCGGGCCCGTGGGGCGCTCTGGAGGGGCGGGGGCGGCCTGGGGTCCCACCCCCACGCGGCCAGACTGACCTCCCCTTCAGAGCCGGCTTTCCGGCGGTCTGACCGGGCGTCCCCAGATGCCATCCCCTCCCCACCCCGCTTCCGCCCGGGGCCTCTCTGCTCCTGGAGGCTTCTGGGACACCCAGCCCCAGGCCTCCCTCCCCTCCCAGAGAAGGGTCCGGTTCTGGAAAAGCCCCAGCCTCCTCCGCGGAGCTGACCCTGCCTTTCCCGCCGCCTCCCCAGCTCTCTGGACCTTCCTGTGGTTCGTTGGCTTCTGCTTCCTCACCAACCAGTGGGTCGCCACCAACCCGGCAGACGTGCTGGTGGGAGGCGACTCGCCCCGGGCCGCCATCACCTTCAGCTTCTTCTCCATCTTCTCCTGGGTAGGTGCGCCGGGCTGGGGGCCCGGGCGTCGCTGGTGAAGAGGGCGGAGGGCTGAGGAAAGCCCATCTCTGGCTCCCCGCAGGGTGTGCTGGCCTCCCTGGCCTACCAGCGCTACAAGGCCGGTGTGGACGACTTCATCCAGAACTACGTGGACCCCACTCCGGACCCCAGCACGGTCTACGCCTCCTACCCGGGCGCGTCTGTGGACAACTACCAGCAGCCCCCCTTCACCCAGAACGCGGAGACCGCGGAGGGCTACCAGCCGCCCCCCGTGTACTGAGCTGGTCGGCTCGGGGAGCAGGGAGGGCGCGGGGGGAGGGACCCCCCCTCCTAGACTCCTCTCATGACACCTGCCTCCTGGAGCTGCCAGCCCCCTCCTGCAGCCCGGGGACCCCGGCCTTCCCCACCTTGGCTGCTGCCCAGAGCCTCACCCCAAGTGCCTATGTCCGAGACGCTTCCCCCACCCCCGCGAGATGGTTTTTAGGAAAGGGTTTTAGCCAGATGCGCTGCTCACCACTTTATGATCCCCCACCCGCCCCCGCCCCCGGGGTCGCCAGAGCCAACATGCTGTTAACAAGCGCCTTCGCTTCTCCTAGCCCCCGGGGGCCAGCCAGCCCGCCCGGGCCGGGGTGGCTGCTGTTCTTGGGGGTTCTCTGCCAAAGATGAGGCCCAGGGGGCCTTCCTCCTCCCTGTAGCTGGTGCTGGGGGCCCGCTCCTCCTCACTCAGGGTTGCGCCGGCTGCTGTGCCCCTGCGCTCACTGCTGCACTGGCTGCTCGCTCTCAGGCCCGGGGTCACCACCCTGCCCATGGCCCTGCGCTGCCTCAGAACAGCCTGGGGTGGGGCTGGACTGGTTGCCCACCCAGGGGCTGGCAGCACTGTCTTTCTGCTCCTGCCTGTGGCGGCAGGAGGGGCTCTGCCTGAATACAGCACCCGGCTTTATGATGTGCATATTCTGCCAGGGTCAGCTGGAGAGCGGGGCTGCCCAGCCCCACGCTGTCTGGAGTGTATTGAAAAGCTCGGGGGTTGGGGGAGACACGGGCACCCTCGATTCTGTTGAACTGGTTTGCAGATGAATAAACATTTTTTTCTCATTCTTAACTGCCCCTTGTCATAGGTCAGGCCCCGGCCGAGGGTAGGAGAAATTCCAGTCTGGGGACAGCCCTGGCAGCTTGCCCTCCAACGTGCGTAGCCACCAAGCCCCCCCCTTTGGGGTCTCATGCCTTGCACTGCCCTGTCTCCATCAGCATCCCAAAATAGCAGCCGTGCTCAGCTTGTAAACAAGAAGTCTTTCTGGACTGCCTCACCACTGCGCCCGGTGCTGGAGTTGGCGCAGGGCACCTGGGAGCTGCCCATCGAATGCCCCTTCCTGGTAACCTGCTCCTTCCTGCCCCTCAAAGCAGAGCGAGGGGCACCCTCACTCCGTCCTGCAGACAGGGCTCCGCATGGCCAGGGATGTGACGGGCACGGGGGAGTGAGCGCCATCTCTAGGGGGAGGCCACCCCTGGCACCACATTCTGAGGGAGCTGTCAAAGTGGCCTTGAGTAAAAGCCGAAGGGGCATTGCGAATTAATGTCCCGTGGCTAGGCTGGAGGGGGGGCATGCCCAACCGGAGCACGGGGGACAGGGAAGCCGAGGGGGTGGCAGGGCGACCTGGAGCCACGACCCCATCAACCGGGCTCGATGCAGTCCGGCCACCCCGTCCCCGCAGGCTCCAGGCTGCCACGAGCTGCCCATGGCCACTCCAGGCGGCAGTGCCGAGCAGGGCTCTGTGGCTCCCAAGTCACCAAGTGTCTGTTCCACAAGCAAAACCTGACCTCACAGCCCCAGCCGAGGCCCCGCCTTTCCAGCCTGAGCCTGGCTCAGCCGCCGTGCTTCCCGGACCCTCCCCGGGCGGGAGGGCCTGTGATGCGCCTCCGAGGACGGGCTTCATGGGCTCGGTGAAAAAGAGATGTGGCTACGAGGTCAGCAGCTCAGAAAAAGATCTGGAAAGAAATCCCCACCCAAATCACATCAGAGCGGTGAGACCCGGGGAATCCCAGGCAGTTGAAGAGAACTGGATTTTAACATTAGATACAAATTTCACACATTGCAGCAATCATCCTGCCCCCCCGTCCCCTTTAATGACTTTTTTTAAATATTTATGCACACAAGAACTGGGGTGCAGCCAGAGGTACGGGGGGTGCAGGGATTCACCAGAGGCAGAGCGGGGAACAGAACAGGCAGACGGACTGAAATCCACTGCTGAGGGGAGCAGCGGGGACACAGGAGGTCTGCTGTGCCGTGTGGGCAGCTCCCTGGTCAGGGATCGAACTCTGCCGCAGTGGCTGCGGACAGCTTCACAGGGCTGCGTCTTAACCCCTGCTCCCCAGGAGAGGCCCCCGGGATCTGAGCCCCACCAGGTGGACCGTCCTGGAGGGGACGGCAGAGCAGGAAGGCGTCAGTGTGCAGGGAAGTGGCGGGCACAGGTGCAGCCGTCCGCTGGCGGGGAGTCGCTGGGGCAGAAGGACGGGAGCCCTCGCCGGATGAGGCTGGGCGCTGAGCAGAAGTGCTGGTGCGTGGACTTCCCAGTGAGAACAGAAACTTGCAGCGAAAGCCACAAGGGGGAAGCAGCCGGGCGCCCGCATCACTGCAGCCCCCGGCTCTGCCCCTCACCCCGGGGGAGGAGGGGGCTGTCGGCGGCCAGACCCCAGCCACAGGCTGGCAGCTCTGCGCAGGGTGCAGGGTGAGGGGAGCAGCAGCTGGGAAGTGAGCAAGGCCGGGGAGGCGGAAGCCGTAAGTCCCGTGCGGACCTCATCCCCGGACTTCCTCTTTGGCGGGGGGTGGGGTGGGGGGGGGCACAGCCAGGGGCGGCCACAGGAAGGGAAGCCGGTGCGCTGGGGTCCGCTGCCGCCTCAGTGGGCAGGGCCACACTGCAGGATCTGGTGGGCGGCGAACAGCTTCCTGGCCCCAGTGGCCTCCCCTGGCCTCCCCAGCACGGGGCAGTTCTCTTTGTTGTCGCCACTGTCCAGCGCGGCGGGCGGGGCCGAGGGCTTCTTGAAGTAGCAGAGGCGGCACACGGAGTGGTACTTGTCTGCCCCGCCGATCACCTCAACCTGGCCACGGGACAGGGCGGCATTGGCCACAGGGCAGAGCAGCAGGGGACAGAGCCGGGTCGAGCACAGCCCCCCAAACCCCCAGCAGGCAGGGGGCGCTACCTCCTTCTCGGTGCCCAGCCGCTTGGTGTAGGCGGCCTCCCGGAAGCACTCCATGCACACGGCCGTCAGCTTCACCACGCTCTCGGCCAGCGGCACCAGGCTCAGGATGCTCCCGAAGGCCTGCGCGCCGGCGGAGACGGCAGGTGTGTGGTGACCCCGCAGGCGAGACCCCGGCTCTCGGGCACTGAAGCCAGGACACTGCCTGACCTGGCCTGTCCCGAGCGTCAGCGAGGCTGGGACAGACGCTCCCGAGGTGACGCGGTACCGATGCGTCTCTGCCGAGCCCCGGGGCCTCGCCCCCCTCCTGGACCCAGGGCCAGACGCCTTACCTTCCGCTGGAAGGTGCCATCCAGCGCGGCCACGATCACCGTCTTCCCGGCGTTGGCCATGGCCTCGCTGAACTCCACGATGTCAGGGAACTGGGGGGCGGTGAGAGCAGCTCAGACAACCCCAGACCAGTGCAGGGTGACCCTACCCAACCCAGCCCGACCGCAGAGTCTGTCTCACTCCCTGCCGTCCATGGGCGCATCCACAGCTGCCCTGGGGCCCGTCCCTGTGCCACGTGGGTTGCACCGTGTCCACAGCAGGACGGGGTCCACTCGGGCAAGCACCGAGGCTCCAAGGCAGGCCGGCCGGCTCCCAGGCGTGGCCTCTGCTCTGGGTGGGCCTGTTGGCTGTCACTGCACACTCGGAAGCCGTGTCTCCCCCACCCCCACCTGAGAGTGGCAGGGAGGCCCTCGGGTTGTTGGAGACTGCAGGCACCCAAATGCCCGGGAATGTGCCACAAGGGGCCTAAGGGTCGGCTTCCACGGCCACGTCCTGGGTGGCCGGGCTAAGGACAGGGCCCGCGTGTCTTTGGGTTGGTGAGGGGCGGGGCCCTTTGCTTTGGATGCAGGGTCTCCCCGTGCCCTGCTTGGCTCATTGGCTGAGGGCTGAGTGCTTGGCAAGACCAGGATCAAGAAAGGACCAAAAAACCCAGGGTGAATCCCCTGGGACTTGGCAGAAGCTGGGTGGACCCCGCCGTGACCCACACAAGACAAGGAAGAGCCGCCAGCAGCGCTCCAAGGCAGAGAAGCCGGGAGAAACAGTCACAGCCCGAGACAAAGGCCCCCATCAGTTCATGTCCCCCAGAAAAATATGCTCCCCCCAAAATAGGTAGAAGCCCTTTCAATGCAACTTACAAAAGGGGAAATTAAGAACAGTCACCAAAGAACGTAGAAGAGGCAGCTGCGGCAGAAACGAGGGAGACAGCGGGGTGTGGCTGTGTGTGCCCAGCATCCTGGTTCTCCTGGGGATCTAAGGTTGGGGCTCCACACACCTCTGCCCCCTGCTGGCCACTCTCCAGTCCCCTTGCAGTCTCTGCAGTCTTCACACACATACCCCCCCACCTTCAAGCTGGCGCCCCCTCGCTCCCCACTCTCCTGCACCCCTTTCCCCCATCCCCACAAGCAGCCCCACATCCTCTCCCCCCACTAGGATGTGAGCCCAAGCGTGGAGAACCTGGGTGTATTCCCAGCACCTTGAACTTACTGCATGAGTGACACTGGCCCCTGACCAGAAATTCCACTGAGCAGAGGAACCCCAACACCCCGTCAGCAGGTGCCATGCAGCCGTAAGTGCCACACCCACCCCGTCTGTCCACAAGGACACGTGCTGGCGTGGATTGGCACCGCCCAGACAGACGCCCGCTGGGAGAGGCGCACACACGCTGCAGGTGGCCAACATGTAGCAGCGCCCCTGGTTTGGCTGCTTCTCTGGGGTGGCCGGAGAAGAGCAGCCCAGGGTGGGAGCCGGCCTGGCCTCACAAGCCCTGGTGGGCAGTCAGCACCCAGAACATGGGCCTCAGACCCGCCACCCCGTGTCTGTGGGGGTCAAGATAGAAACAAGTCCCCTTCCCAAAGAGTCCGAGCAGACAGACGGAGCGCTGGCGCACCGGCGCCCCTCAGCGGCTACCGCAGGGCCCACAGCACCTGCCCCCAGGTGAGTTTGAGATTGGCGATGGCGCCGCCCCTTCCTGAGGGCGCCAAATCAAGAGCCAAGCTGGCCTCCGAAGCTTCCCCAGCAAGAGCCAGCACAAGCCCCCACCCCACTAGCAGCGTCCTCCGTGCCCGCCCCACGTCCCCAGCGGTCAGTCCTAGCCCCTCCGACTGACACGTCACCGCCTGTGGACTAGAACACAAGAGCCTTTAAAATCATGGTCCAGCCACCCCCAGCCCACAGGCCTCTGCACACCGCTGTGGAGCTGTTGACCAACACCAGGGTCCCCGCGGGGCATCGGCCTGGGGAGCTGGGGCGCTACCCACCGCCGTCATCCTCAGCCTGGGCCTGGGGGCTCAGAGGCCTCTCTCCCAGTGCCAACAACCTCCACAGCGCGCCCGGCACACCCAGCCGCAGGCCCTCCCCCAGGAAGGCTGACAGGGCGGCCCTGTTCATGTGTGTGTTGGGAGGCCGCCTCCTGCCAGAGCGCGGCCCCGGGCGGGCAGACGGAGGACGCCGAGCACGAGTCTCGCTTGGCACAGGAGCGGAAGATTTACGTGTCGCCAGGAAGGAGGGAGACACAGACCGGGGCAGGACAGAGGCTCCTCACTGGGGACGTGGATGTCAACCAAGCAGAAGCCCGAGACAGTTCCCACTGCGGGGCTGGCCCAGCCCTGCACCCAGTTTTACAGCCAGGCTGGGGAGCTGAGCTGTTACTAAGGCCCTGCGGTAAGTCTGGAGGGAGGGCGCTCAGTTCCCTGGCTGCGGGCGTGGAGCCTGGGGCTGCGACTGGACAGGGCGGGAGGGCCCAAGCCTCCTGTTCTGGGCACCGGGGGCAGCTGCACCCCTCAGCAAACCAAGCGCGCATCTGTTTGATTTCCAGTGTCCTCTAACCCCAGGCGTGGGGCGGGGCTACGCAGGACAGGCACCCTAACTCCAGGGAGGTCGGCGTCCTGCTGGACTCGCAGAAACCGGCACGGGGTCCAGCCGCCACGGGCGGCCTCTGAAGGCACCTGGACAGCAGGCGAGGCTGGCTGGCAGGTGTTTCTGGAACGCTGGGGTTATCGGGTGCATTTCTTTCATTCAAGACTTTGCCCTTGTGGGAACGAAAATCCCCAAAGCCCAGCAGGGAGACTTAGCCCACAAAAGTCAACCTGCAAACTCAGTTGGGGACACGCTTCTGAGGACACAGAGGGGATTCATTGAGAAGGCAAAGCAGGAACAGCATCGTGAACAGCAAGCTGTTCAACAAGAAGGGCAGATGTGACTTCCAGTAGCAGATATTAAAAAAGGAACCAGAAATCCCAGACATGAGAAACAGTCGTCAAAATGAACACACCGGAACAGCACCCAGGACACCTCAGAGACAGCCAGGGACATCGGGGTGACAGCGGCTTCCCCACCACACCAGGAAGGAAGGCAAGATGCCACATTTAAAAGGCACACCAGGGCCTCCCCGGTGGCGCAGCGGTTGAGCACTGGGTTGCGAAGCTGCCCGCGGCCTCGGCGGCGCCGGTTCGATCCCCGGCTGCTCCCCGGCCACCAGCGAGGGTCCCACATGGCGCGCAGACCTCTCCTGCCGCCCGCTGCTCCCCTCAGCAGTGTACTTCGGTCCTTCTGCCTGCTCTGCTTCCCGCTCTGGCTCTGGTGAATTCTCTCACCCTCCCGCACTTCTGACTGTACCCAGTGCATGTATAAACAAAAACAAACAAATAAATAAATAAATAAACATGCCTCTATAAAAAAAAAAAAATAAATAAAAGGCACACCAGATGCAAAGAAGGATAAGTAAAAATAAACACCCCTGGCACATACTGTCCTGAGAGCCGACCACTCACCTGCCCGGGGAACTAGCGCTGGAACAACAGCAGCCTTCTTACAGGCCGCGAGGAGCACAGCTGCTTTTCCAAAGCAACAAGGAAAAATAAGAATCTTCCTACCACGGAGGCACCTGGCACCTCCTCTGGCACCTCCTCTGCCAGAGAACACAATAAAGACCTTTTCCTACCGAACCGGGAGAGCACCCCCTCCACACACCCTGTCTGCAAGAGCTACTGCAGGAGGTCCCTGACCAAGAAGAAAATTAAACCCATAAGGAATGAGCAAGAAGCAACCATGAACTACAGTCCCTTATACACCATTGTGGAGGAATCTGATTTCTTTTTCGTTCACGGTACTGTAAATATTGTGCCGTTTGAAAAAGGGGGGCAGTGAGGGGCTCCTAGGAAGAGTGATACCCTGACAAGCCAACTCACAAACTGGCCTTCATCGATGCCTATGACAGCCACGGCCTGGGATTCTTGGGCCACATCCCGGAGCAGGCAGGCTGGCAGCGCCTCCATGGTGTTCCTGGGGAGAAAGCCAGGGCATGAGCAAGGGCAGGGAGGCAGGCAGGGACCAGCTCTCATCACCACCCCTACCTGCAAAGCAGGCCGCGCTGTTTGCCTAGAGCTCTGGAGCTCTGAGAGGTTAGCAGGGGTGGGAAGGCTCTGAGGAAAACAAAGGCCCTTGTTCAGAAAACCAGTTATTCCACACCAGTCACTTCACTTGACGCTCTGGACTAGAAATTAGCCATGCCTGATCTGAAGCTCCGCCAGGCCTCAGAAGAGCCTCGACACCGTGGCGGGGACGAGGTGGCGTCACGGGGCACAGCACCCAGGGCTCACGATGTGTTTCCATTTCTTTTAAAAATCAGCAGAACGACTAAGTATACATAACTCAGACTGCATTGTATTTGCCTTTATATCCATGTAAACAGAAGATGCAATTTAAAATTTTTGCCCTTTTACGGAGGCAGGGGCTCGTGAGCCCTAACATGCCTGGGCTGAGCGCCAGCCCCGGATTCAAGACCCTGAGCCCCGAGGCCCCAGTCACTCAGCTTCTCCGGCAGATGAAAGGATTTCTCCAAGGTCACCCAGCAACTCACTGGCAAGGCTGGGATAGGCCACTGGGGCCTCCCGTATCCCGCGGGAGATTCCCGCCCAGCAGAGCTTGACCAGAAATTGTGTGCCTGAATGTTCCAGTGCTTTTAAATGATACCGTGGCCCACAGCCAGGGCCCTTTGAAAGAGGACTGTCCCAAAGTTCTGTCTTTCTACAATGTTTCCTTCCCCTGAACTGGCCCTCACAGGAGCCTAGGCTCTTGAAGTTTCAGCAGTTTGTAGGCACATTTATTTAAAAACAAACCTTTACCGCCACTGCTTAGTGATCACCTTGCTGCAGTCCCACCTCAGGACCCGGGAAGAGCATGAGACAGTATTCCATGGATCCTAAATTCCCTCCCTCAAGAGGGGGAAGTGGAGGCAGGCGGGCAGGCAGCCAGCCAGCAGCGCCAGCTTAGCCAGGGCAGCATTCTGGGCTCACGGCCAAGGGTGGTCACAGCCGCAGCAGCCCAGGCCACCTGGCCTCTCAGCCCACTAGGGCGCTGGTGACCCTCGGCAGAGCGTGGATTGAAGCCCCTCTGACCGACCCCGGCGGCGCTTCTAATCACTGCAGCGTCCCCTCTTCTGCCTGTCCTGTGCAGTGGACATGATGTTTTTAGGCTCGAGGACGCAAACTGGGAGACCGCAATGACCAGCAGCAGCCAGCACAGCCAAGCGTCACTCCCATCCCGGCACCTCTCACCTGGCCATCTCTGGAATCTGGGCCCCACCCTGAAGCCACCCCTGTGGCTGAGGTCACAAGCCCTGGCGTGGCACAGCGTGGCTTTGCTGCCGGAGGCCCAGGTGGTCAGTCTAGAGGACATGGTGTCAGGAGCTTAGAAACATCAGGCCCTGACCCCAGTTTAAACTCTGACCCACGGCAGACGAACTTCCACAGGGCGCAGGCAGATCCCACCGAAGAGAAGGCGTGGCGGCCACAGGCCAGGAAGAATCCACAAGGAGCAGCCATTTAAAATGAAATTAAATGAAAACCAATGCACAGGCCGAATAAAACCTCTGCGTCTGGGAAGTCGGGGCTCCCTCACCCCGGCACAGGCACTCTCGACATTTGAGGTCAGACTACTCTTTGTCAGAAGAGACCACCGACCATGCTGGGCAGCATCCCTGGCCTCTGCCCACTAGAGACCAGTGGCACCTCCCCCCCTCCAGTTGTGACAGCTAAAAACCTCTCCAGCCAATGGACTCTGGGGTGGAGGGATCGCACCCCGTTAAGAACCGCCCCGCTAGAGTCGCATGAAAGGCCAAGTCCTAGGCCATCTTGCTGAGCAGCCTGGGGAGCGCTGGGGCTTGGCAGCTTCCGTGCCAGGGATCGGCACTAGAAACCCCTCCCGGCCGCCAGGAAGGACGCCAGCTCTCCAAGGCCTTGGGGCGGGCCAGGGCAGGGCCAAGGCGGGGACTGACCGGTCATGGGTGGAGAAGTTGCTGCTGTAGCGCGTGTCTTTGGCGTACTTGATCACCAGGCACTTGTACTGGGCGATCTGGAAGCGGCGGACCCGCCTCATCAGCTCCGTGCTGGGGAGTGGGCAAGGAAGACCCCGTGAGGCCCCCTGGCCTTCTCCTGGGGCGCAGCGGGAGGCCCTGGTGGAGACCAGGGTCCCGCTGGGGCAAGCCCAGTGAGGGCCAGCGCCACAGAGAGGGGCCCAGAGACGGGGGTGGGGGGGGCAGGTTTGGGGTTCGTGTGGGGCCTCCCCGCTCCACCCCGGGTGGAACTGACCCCACTAACAGTGGGCAGAGAGTGCTGCTCCGGGCGGGGCGGGCGGGGCCACCCAGGAATGGGGGCCACGAGCCCCGCCTCAGCCCCGGGAAGTCTGCAGCACACAGGCGCCAGCTCCCGGCTGCTCGCGGGGAGGGGGAGCAGCCGAGCTGGGCGGCAGCTGAGGCGACCCATTGGGCTTGTGGGGGCGCCGAAGGCGGGGTGCACAGAGCCGCGGAGACGCGGCCTTGGGGGGCTCGGGTGCCCGGCGGGAGGGCTCCAAGGGGGCGGCTCCGGGAGGGGCGCGGGCCCTTCCGGGGGGCCGGGGGGGGGCGGCGGCCGGGGGCGCGGGGAGGGGGGCCCCGACGCTGGAGGGAGGGGCGCAGAGCAGGACGGGCCCAGCCCCCCACGAGCCCCTCACCTCTTCCCTGAGAACATGGGTCCGAGGATGACCTGCGGGAGAAGGGGAGGTCAGCCGGGCCGCCCCGCCGCCCCCCGGCCCCCCCGGCCCGGCCCGGACGCGCCCACCTGGATCTGCCCGCGCGTCTTGCTGGGGGAGCCGGGCAGCACGGTGGGCAGGTTGATGCAGCTCATGGCGCGGCAGGAAGCTCTCGCGCCGGAGACCCCGAAGCTCCCGCGGCGGCGCCAGCGCGGGCTCCGGGCCGGCCAATCAGCCGCCGGCGCCGCCCCGAGCAGGGCCGCGCCCGCCGGCGGGCGGGAGATTCGACCGCGCGGGCCCCTGGCGCGCGGGTCCCGGGCGGGGCGGGGCCTCGGACCCGGGGCGGGGCGGGGCCTGGGGCGGGGGGCCGCGGGGCGGGCCGCGGGGCGGGGCCTATCTTGGCCCCGCCCACCACCCACTCCCATAAAAGCGCTGGCGCCACGCGGGCGCGGCGGGGCAGGATGGAGGCCCCGGGCAGCGGCGGCGGCCGGGCCTTGGCTCCCTGGCAGCAGATGCCTAAGGAGGTAGGTGGGCCGCTGCGGGCGCCGGGGCTGCGGGCCGGCTCAGGGACCACAGCGACCTCTTGGAAGGAGATCGCGAAGCCGCCAGATCCCCGCCCGCGGCTCCCAGGGTGCCGGCTCCCCGCGGCTGCCTCTCCGGCCAGGCCTCTGCGGGCCAGGGGTTTAGGGGTCGCGAGAATGCACGGCCCGGCTCTGAATAGCCATAAACCCCCCGGAGCTGCGGCGAGTCCCCGACCCGAATCTCGGATTTCAGGCCTCTCTGCGCCGCTTTCCGAGGCTGAAGAATGTGGCCGGGCGGGGCTGGCGGCTGAGGAGCAGCCTGCCCCAGCCCTGGTGGCTGTCGCTCGGTTTTCCTTTCCCAGCTGGCTTTCCCGCGCCTTCGCCAGTGGTCCTGGCACATCTGAGAATCCGATCAAAGTTAGGAAATGACCCCCAAGAAATGCCACCCTGTGAGTGTCTGTGCCTGCCTGTCCCCCACACACTGGCCAGGCCATCGGAGGACACTCCGGTCCTGCTGCGCTGCGGTGCCGTGGTCACCAGTGCCGTGGCCGTGGTGGGCACCCCATGGCGCAAGGTCCCCACGGTGGACTGTGTGGATGCCCGGCCCCTGGGCGGCAGGAAGAGAGGTGACCGCATGTGCAGGGGCAGCTTTATTTCGTGAACTTGCCTGGCCCTTTATCCTTGTGAGGCCATCTGATTACTGACACCCCCCACAGAGGGAGCTGAGCCCCGGAGTCTGTGAGTGACCCCAGTTAAAGCTTCCAGGACTCTTAGTCCATCTGGCTCCAGCACCCAAACCCTCCAGGAGGCCCCGGCCAGCCTTCGCCCTTTCTCCTTTGCCTTTTTTTCCTCCCGAACCCGGGTCCGTGTTGCTTTTGCATTAAGCCTGAACACCGCAGCCTGATAGCCCCACGCTCCGGCCCCAGCTTCCCTGCTCTCCTCTGTGATTAGCAATCTGGACAGTCAGCATTTCCCAACTGACCTTGTCCCTCCCCCTCACCTCTGCACTTTGCCCTCTGTCCGGCAGCCAGTGACCTCTCCAGGAAGGCCAGCTGCGCATCACCTGCACATCCCTGCCATGGCTGCCCCAGCTCCCGGCCCCCAGGGAGGACACCTTATGCGACCCCATCTCCCCTCCCCCCTTCAGAGCTCTCTGTGGGTTAAAGGTGTGACAGTCGTTGATGTGCCCCCGGGGCTGGGCTGTGGATCACAGATCACGCAGCAGCGTATCCCAGGCACCTGATTCTTTAGCTGGCAACAGTCGGGTGGGGCTTGAAGGAAGCCGAGGGCCCCTGGGGAAGCTGACATGTCAGGGAAGGAGCTCTCAGGCAGAGAGTTGCCTCAGCCAGGACCCACTGGGGGTGCCCTGTGCTGAAACAAATGCCTCCCGGAGCCTGGTGCTTGTCCCCGCAGGAGCTGGAGAAGCAGTACAGCCCCAGCCGCTGGGCTGTCAGGCGCGGCGCAGAGGAGACCTTGAGGACCTACACACAGAAAGGAGTCCAAGGTACTGGGGGACAGCGGCCACGTGGGTGGACTTTAGCACGTGGCATGTCCAGCTGTCCAGAGATGTCCCCAACCCCAGGCTCTGTGCGCGCCTCCTCTGCCCAGGCCGGGTGCCAGGAGCCCTGGCTGCCAGATGGCAGAAGGCACGAGAGACTGAGGCCTCCTTGTTTCTCCTGCTCGGCCAACCATGCCCGGGCCCTCGGGGTGCAAAGTCACGGGTGGTGGAGTAGACAACAGAAGGCCTCCTCCCCCTTGGCTGCTGAGGGCGGGACTTTACTATTGATGAAAAAGCCATGACACTTTATTTAGTGATTTATTGTATTCCCACGGCGTGGCAACCGGTGAGCTAGAAGTCTTGGCGTTCATTGCCATTTCTGTCCTGTGTCTCCCGTGTGTGAGCTGAACGCCTGCCGGTGTTGCATGGCGCTGGGGGATCCAGCTCCGAGAGGGTGTGCGGGCCAGGGACAGAGCCGCCGGCCTCGCCGCTCGCTCGGGAAACTGCATGTTGGCAAATCTGCTTTGTTTCCGCAGAGTGAGCGGAACTCCCGGGGCAGGTATGTCTCTACAATGACGTGGCCCAGCGGGGGCTGTTTCGGCAGGTTTCGCTACCGTCCCTGGCCCGACAGATGTGGCTGGTGGCTTGGTGGGCATCCCTGCCGTGCCAGCGCCCGGCCACGTGTGCCTCTGTTTGCTCAGTAAACACTGCAGTATCCCAGCGGGCTGTTAGAATCAATGCTGTTGGGACAGCCAAGGCTGCACGAGCTTCTAGAAGACCTGCTTGTCAATTTCAATCTAGAGAGCGACGAGCTGATGCCAGGGGAAGGAGTGAGGCCTAAGACACTGGACTTTGGGGATCGGGCGCATGTCCTCAGATGCCCTCCGAGGCAGTTGCCTTCCATCTGCCCTGTGGCCAGCCCGAGCTTCACATTCGCCCCTCCCCTGCCCTCTCTCCCATTGGCCCAGAGGTGGTGCCGGCGCCACTAACCACCCTCATAGATAAAGAGCAGGGCCAGGTAGCGGGGTCGGGGCCCGGTCGGGACCAGGTGAGGAAAGGAGCTCTGCGCGCGGTTGGGACCCGCCTCCGCTGACAGTGTTTGTATTTTGTTCATCAGGGGCTTTTATGGCATTAATTTTGATTTTTTTTAAATATCACATTAAAATGGCATTTGTATTTGTATTAGTCTGCTCTGGGGGGCTTGACAAGATGCCGTAGATGGACAGCGTAGACATCAGGACTTTATTCTCACAGTTGCCAAGGCTGGAAAGTCCAAGGTCAGGCGCAGCCAACGGCTTCCCTCTTACATCCCTTTTTGTGGCTTGTGGATTTGCCACCACACAGCTGCCCCGGCTAAGAAGCAGTGGAGAGGATAGAGCGAGGCCTCTTACGCGACGGCTGATCCCGCCCCAGCCCACCTGTGAGGCTCTCCGTCTACATCTGCATCTAAACCCGACCACCCCAAGCCATCACGCTAGGCTTGGGACTCAACCTGGGACTTGGGGGAGGACAAGTCTGCAGCCACGACAGTCATTTCAGAGCCTGGGTCCTCCTCCCCGTGTTGTGCCCCCTCCTCCTCCCCCCAGCCTGGCTCCTGCTTCCTGAGGTGAGGTCACCCCCAAGCTCACTCAGCTGGGGACGGAGCTGAGCGCCCATCTGGGAGCTGAGCTTCTGGGTCAGAGCTGGGCAGCCTGACCAGTCCGTGGGTGTCACGTGAGACCCCTGGGGGCGTACCCGGGCCTCCTCGGTGCCGGCTCTGGCGGACCATGGACTCAGAGGCGCCCTTTGGAATCAAACTGGCAGAAGATGGCAAAGGACCATAAAGCAAAAATAATGACAAAGTCTCCTGCTGCCCCAGAAAACCTTTCCACAAAAGCAGGAGAGACAGCAGGCTTTATTCTTGATGTGATGTGCCTCACAGGCCACCCGCCCAAGCGGTCGCGGTGTTAGAGCAACAGCCCCTCCCGCAGACCAGGCAGGTGTGCGCCACGGCCTGCCTGTCCTCGAGACCGTCACCTGCCCTGACCCTCCGCATGGCCAGCAGGGTGCCGGCTGTGCGCCCAAGGGCTGCTTCGCCCTTTGCCGTGGCTGCAGGAATAAGGGGCCTCGGGCCTCGGGCTTACATAGCAGGAATTTATTCTCTGACAGTTCTGGAAGCTGCAAGTCCAACATCAAGGTGTCTGCAGGGCTGTGCTCCCCCATCACGTGCTGGGCAAGGGCCTGTCCAGGTTGTGCCCTGACCTCTGGTAGTTCACCGTCTGGTGCCAGCATAACTCTGTGTGCGTGTGTGTGTGTCCAGGGGTGTTCTTTTTGTAAGAGCACTAGTCATATTGGACCAGAGGCCCATGCTAATGACCTCGTCTTGCATCCCAAGGTGCCTGCTGGGGCCCCAGGCTGACGTAGGAGCCACAGGTCGTGGCCCCTGCAGCCCGGCAGGTCAGCAGGAGGACGGGCCGCCATCTCTCCTGGGCAGGACTGGCGGTGGACTTGGCTGGTCACCCAAGGGGCTTTCAGCAGAAAGATATCCCCCAGAAATGGAACAGACTGTGGGGGGCCGTCCTGACAGCGACCTGTCTGTTTCCGACACAGCCACCGAGAGGGCCCGGGCCACCAGGAGGAGCCTTCTGAGTGTCCCCTACGGAGCCAGGGAAGGGGAGGAGCTGGACATCTACCTTCCTGAGGAAGAGTCTGAGGGTGAGGGGGGATCGGGGGGTTCGGGGGGCTCGCCCACACTTGCCCGCTCCCCCGCACTCACCCCTGTTCTGCCTCACAGACTACCCGCTCCTGGTGTTTTTTCACGGAGGATACTGGCAGAGCGGCAGGTGAGGGGGAGTTGGGTGGGTGGAGGGAAGGGGGGAGCACTGTCTGCTCCTTTCCAGGGCTGCTATGCCCAGCGTCACGCCCAGGGGCACCGGGGGCTCCCATGTGAAGCTGATGGTCTCCCCATCCCAGGGAGCCGGGAGCTCCCCAGACTCCGGGGGATGCTGCTCTTCTGGGGCTTCAGGCTCCCTTGGCTTGTGGCCCCGACACCCCAATCTCAGCGACCTCCCCACTTGGTCTTTGTGTGTCTACATGTGACACGTGTACATGCCGAGAAGTGATGACACCCCTCGTCTAGTTTCCACCTTTCAACGGACCCCCTGGCCCCCACCCCCCACCGTGATCACCAGCCTGTTCTCTGCATGTGCGAGTTCATTTTTGTTTCATTTTGTGGGTTCATTTGCTTTGCTTCTCTGTCTTCCATACATGAGTGTCTCCCTTAGCCCAGGCCCTCAGGGCCACCCGTGTTCTCCAAATGACAGTTCTCACCTTTGTTTAGAGTTGAGTGGTGTTCCACAGGGAAAAAAATATATATATGTATTTATGTATGCACACACACACACACACACACACGCCATGTCTTTATCCACTCATTTGTCAAAGAGCACGTGGGCTGTGGACCGGTCTTGGCTGTTGTAAACATCGCCGTGGTGATTAGGGGAGCAGCTGCCTTTTCAAATTTGTGCTCTGTAGTCTTCAAATCAATGCTCCGGAGTGGGCAGCTGGAGCATGTGGTCGTTCTTTTTTTTTTTTTTTTTTTAAGATTTATTTATTTATGCATCCAAGAGTTGGGGTGCAGGCCAGAGGTGCAGGGGTGAGAGGATTCACCAGAGATAGAGTGGGGAGCAGAACAGGCAGATCTACTGACACACACTGCTGAGGGGAGCAGCGGGGAGGCAGGAGAGGTCTGCTGCGCCCTGTGGGTAGCTCCCTGGCCGGCCTGGTATGAACTGTGCTGCAGAGGCTGCCGATAGCTTGTTAGCGCTGTCTTTGGCCCCTGCGCCACCAGGGAGCTCTCTGGCCTCCTCAGGCCCAGTTCTGCTCCTGGTCTCTGGAGGAATCTTCTGCTTTCCAGAGGGACCAGTTTCCATTCCCACCAGCAGGTGCAGAGGCCCCTTCTCTCCCACATCCTCTCCAGCACCCCCTGGCTCTTGGCTCTGACAGAGCCAGTCTCTGGCCAGGCGCGGTGGGTGTGGCCCAGGCTGGCGTTTCCCTGGTGGCGAGTGGTCTGGGACCTTGCCCGGCGCCATCTGCGCCTCTTCTTCAGAGCCTCTGAACGAGGTGGTTGGTTATCGTCTGTTGTGGAGGAGCACGAACTCTTCAGACGTATGTTGGATGCTAATCCATCGTCAGGCGCACAGGCCTCCTCCCTGGGCAGCAGGCTTCCTGCCTATTCTCTGTCGTCCCACTTGCTGATTTTCGCTCCTGTTTGCCCCGTGGGAGAGCGGGCCGCACACGCTCGAGATGGCCTTGGAGCTGACCGCTGCGCCTGCCCCCAAGCTCTGTCCACTCTCAGTTCGCTTCTGTGTGCGGTGTCCTCTCCTGTCTCTCGTGACGTCGCCGCCCTTAGGCTTAGGGGTCATCCTAAATCCAGGCCATCTCATCTCAAGATTCTTCATTACATCTGCATGGACGTAATTCCAAGAAAGTCGCCTCCACTGGAACTGGGGGTTAGGGTTTGGGGGCATTGGGCGGGGGCATGGCTGAAGGTCATGTTTAGTTTGCTCTCTGTTCAGAAGCAAGGCCACAGGGACCAACCAGCTGGGGTGTTGCCCAGGAAACCTTTTTATGGCTTTCAGTAATGAAAGAGAGCCCTGGGCAAACGGGGCGGCTGGCCTGAGATAAGCAGAGGGCGGTTGGGACCTTCCAGGACATTCCCTAGATCTTACCAAAGTGTTGCTTGTGATAGGTTTGCGCACCTTCACGCATGTTCACCTCGGCAGGTACATTTACGCACCTTTACCTTCACCGTGCAAAGCTCTCTGGCCTCCTCAGCTCCCCAGAGCAGCATCCCAGAGAGAGACACAACATCTATTCTAGGCGAGAAACCCACTTAGAGGTGAAGGCAAGGCCCCAGAGCCCCACGGCAGCACATGACGTGGCAAGGGGCGAGCCGCCTTCCTCCCCACGCGCGGGGGCCAGCAACGTGGCCTCCGGTGGACGGGGCTCTGGGGCGGCCAGCGGCCAGGCTGCCTCTCTGGTCGTGTCCTCATCTCTCTCTGCAGTAAAGACCAGTCTGCCTTCATGGTCCAGCCGCTCACGGCTCGAGGCGTGGCCGTGGTGATAGTGGGCTATGACATTGCCCCCAGAGGTAAGGAGCGTGGTCTGGCGGGTCAAGGGCCAGGGGGCTCTAGGGGAAAGCACGCTGAGGGCCCTGACCCGGCCGTGTGTCCCACAGGCACCCTGGACCTGATGGTGGACCAGGCGGCCCGGAGCATCGTCTTCGTCCAGAAGCGGTTTCCATCCAACAAGTGGGCATTGCTGCGGCTTCCCTGTGTCGACGGTGCCGGGGGGAGGACAGTGCTGGGGGAGGACGGTGGACTGAGCCCCGTGGAGGAAGCTAGTCCGCCTCCACTGGCCTGTGACGAACCAGGCGACTTGGGACTCCCTGGTCCTGGCCTGACGCCTTTTGGGAGACTGAGCGCAAATCCAGCTCTCTGCTCTGATCCATCCAGGGGTGTTTACCTGTGTGGACACTCAGCTGGGGCCCATCTGGTCTCCATGATGCTCCTGGCTGACTGGACCAAGCACGGGGTCACCCCCAACATCAAAGGTTTCTGTGGGAACCACAGTCCCCCCACCCCCCGTCTTTGCGGGTTTGCACCAGCTGCTGGAAATCCCAGCAGCCATGAGCAGCCTGACCCGGGAGCTGGGAACCCTAGAGGCAAAGCTTCTTTGCTCCTTCTCTGGCCCTGGAGGCTGGGCCGGCTCCACCTTGCCCTGCCTGGTGCCTGCCCGAGGGGTGGGGGGCGCTGGCTACCTGCTCTTCCCCTTCCCAGGCCTCTTCCTGGTGAGCGGGCTCTACGACCTGGAGCCGGTCCTGCACACCTCTGAGAACGATGCTCTCGGGATGACCCTGTGAGTCCCCTCCCCGCCCCCCAGGCCAGGGGCCAAGGCTCCCTCCATCCTGACTCGCCCGCCCCACACCAGGGAGGATGCCCGGAGGAACAGCCCGCAGCGGCTCCTGGAGGCGTCCCGGGTGCCACCGGGAGACCCGGCCCTCCGCATCCTGGTGCTTGTCGGCCAGCACGACTCCCCCGAGTTCCACCTGCAGTCCAGGGAGTTCTATCAGGTAGCCCCAGCGCCCGCCTCGGGCTGGAGGTTGCGGGCCCCCAGGTCTCATGATCTGCCTCTTCATTCACCCAGTGGACGCCAGGCGCGGATACAGACACAGGCTGGCCTGCAGCCGCGCCTCCTCTTGCCTCCCCCGCCAGCTGCTGCACCGGAGGGGCTGGAAAGCCTTGTTTGTGGAGATCCACGACGTGGATCACTTTGAAATCATTTGGAACCTAACGCAGACGGACTACGTGCTCACGCAGGTTCGCCCTTCCCTTCCCTCACCTGCGCGGTTACAGTTGCAAGGGGGAGACGCCTTGAAAAGTCAGAGGGTAATTTGGGGAAAATATTTGCCACGACTTGGGAGATTGTCGTTTCTGGTTTTTTTCTGGGAAAAGTGTGCACTTGGTTAGTTTCGCTTTTTCATCAGCTGCCACTCAGGGGGCCTTTTCTAGCATTCAACCGTCACCTACCTGGTGATATCCTTACTACATAAAGAGCTCACTCAAATCAATGAGTTCTTCTCTTTAAGAACAGAAATAAATAGAAAAAAGTGGACAGAGAATAAGAGAGAAATTAAAAGAAATAGAAATAGCCAGTAAACATGGGGAAATCCAGCTGTAGTAGTAATCAGAGAAATGTGACCATCCACCTTCACCCCAGAAAAGCCCTCGTGCTGGCGTGGGGGAGGGGCAAGGAAGGGGAAGTACACGCTGGCCCCGTGTTTGGGGAGCACAGTCTGGTTGACATTTCAGATCCAAATCCACTGATCTAGCAATTCTGCTGCTTGGTGTTTTGTCTTTTTTTTTTTTTTTTTTTAAAGATTTATTTATTTATTTATACATGCACTGGGCACAGTCAGAAGCATGGGAGGGTGAGAGGATTCACCAGAGCCAGAGCGGGGAGCAGAGCAGGCAGAAGGACCGAAGGACACTGCTGAGGGGAGCAGCGGGCGGCAGGAGAGGTCTGCGCGCCATGCGGGACCCTCCTCCGGTGGCCGGGGAGCAGCCGGGGATCGAACCGGCGCTGCAGAGGCCGCGGGCAGTTTCGCAGCCCAGCGCTCAACCGCTGCGCCACCAGGGGAGGCCCTTGGTGTTTGTCTTAAGGGTAATCAAAGAAACACACCAAGATGGTCTTTGCAGCTTTATTAATGTTAGAAACTTGGGAGCACCTTGAATGCCCAAGGAGGTTAAATGATGATATGACCAAGTAACAAAATGAAGTTTATGAAAATGCATTATGCGGTATCAGATTCAGGTGTGAGAGCAGATGCAGGAGAAACCATTGACACGGAGGCCCTGGTTTCCTAAGGCAGCCAGCTGGGCTGAGCCTGTGACAGAGCAATTTTCCAGATATCAACAAGTGTGTTTGTTTTGTTTTGTTTTGTTTTTTTTCAAAGATTTATTCATTTATGCACACAAGAGCTGGGGTACAGGTCAGAGGTGTGGGGGTGAGAGGATTCACCAGAGACAGAGTGGGGAGCAGAACAGGCAGACTGACTGAAACACACTGCTGAGGGGAGCAGCGGGGAGACAGGAGAGGTCTGCCGCGCCATGTGGGACCCTCGCTGGCCAGCGATCGAACTCACGCTGCAGTGGCTGCGGACAGCTTCACAGTGCTGAGACTTAACCCCTTGCGCCATAAGGGAGGCCCAACAAGTGTGTTTTTAAAACCCATTTCCACCTTGTTTAACTATGGCCATTTGTTACTTTTTTAACCGGGGAGAAAAGCAATCACCCATATATGCCATCTCTTGAAAAACCTAAGAAGTCAATGTTTTAGGTTCTGGGGGGCCATATGACTGCACAGCCAGACACAGCTCCCCAACTCTGCCATCTGGAGCAAAACTCACCTTAGACAATTCACGAAGGAATGAACGTGGCTGTGTGACAATAAAGCTATACTTATGGATGCTGAAATTAGTATTTGAGATCATTTTTACATGTCACACAATAATACTTATGAGTTTTTTCTTTTTAAAAATATTTTTTATTATTTTTTATTGAGCTACCGTTGGCTTACAGCACTGTATATGGGTCTATGTACACGTTTAGGTACATACATTCACACCCCCAGATGCTGCTACCATGGCACATCCAACACCCCAGTCCCATAATCCTTCACCATAGTCCATGGGTTCACCATCCCTGCCCCCCACTTTCCAAGGGATCTCAACCTCCCCCCATCAGATTTCAAGGGTTTGCTTTAGTTTTGTCTGTTCCTTTGCTTTGTTTCTTTATTTTCCACGTATGAACGAGTGACATTTTCCAGCTCTTTAACCATGTGAAGCCAGCCAGGGCTCTGGGGCAGCGAGGCCCAGCAGGCAGCCAGAGCTAATCCCCGAGGCTCTAAGCCGTGTTGGGACATTTCCAACGAGAACTCCTGGGCACGTTAATTTCCATGGCACCATCACTATCGCAGCCTGTTCCTCCCCGCCAGTCCCTCCCGAGAGCCTCGCAGGGCCTCTCCAATGCTGGGCTTTTCTTATCTTTTCTTCCTGCTGCAGATGATTTTGGACACAATCTTCCAGGAGTTCTGATGGCACCTGAGCCCCAGCAGTGGCACCCTGACTGAGTGGCTCCCGGCAGCCTGACCGCACCCCATCCCAGCCCCCCAGCTGCCTGCTGTTCCTCGCACGGAGCCCACCACCCACCCCACGCTGCCGCCTCTTTCCCCAGTTAAGAATCCTTGATTATGGCCGAAATAGGAAAGAGCTGAACCATCTATTTCTTGGGAAAAAGTACGCAAGAGCCATCAGGAAGAGACCTGCCTTCACCACTGGGGAAACCTAGACATATGGTCACACTACAAAAGATAAGGTGCTGGAGGATACAATATACCGACGAGAGGTGCTCACGGAGATGGTCTATACTTGCGAGTCAGTGGGTGGGGGTACAGAGACCGCGTCTCCCTCTGGGGAGGGAAGTGGAGTTGGCTTTATCTGGTTCTTTCTATCTTTCGGGATCAGAATGTACTGAGTGTCTAAATGAACTGTGTATATGAGGTATTAAAATGGTCAAAGCCCTTTCAGGGTGCAGGCAAATAAGAATGCTCTCGTAGAATCCACTCTAGATTTTGCAGGTGGACTTGTGAGCACGTCACGTGCTTAACATTTGGACTCATTATTTGTGACGAATCCCTGTGAGGCAGACAGCTCACAGCTGCCGGCTGTCCCTCCATGTTCCCCCCCCTCCGCCCCTTTGAGGATTGCTCCCTCGGATTGTGAAAGGGACAGTTTAACAAGGAAGCACGGACACCTCCATGGGGTGACCTAGTAGCCCTGGAGACCTAAAGACAGGAAAAAAGGCTGGAGGGAACCTGGTCCCAGCGGTTAACCCGCAGGGTGAAATGGTGGCAACTTGAACTTCCCTTGTGCTGATGGGAAGCTGTATCACCATCAGCACTTTAATGGGATGCCAGCGAAACATCTGATCGCCTGTAACAGGCAACATCCGTGTAAGGTGCTGATTTTGACGGCTGTGCTGAGGCCGGGAGCGGGAAGGCCGCTGGGGGTGAGAGGCGGAGGGCCTTCCCGTTACTCTTGGGCGGTTCAGGTAAAACATACGCACAGAGAGGTCGTGTGTGTGTGTGTGTGTGTGTGTGAGTGTGTAATCTGCGTGTGGAGGAGGAGGAGTGGAATGTGGGAGCGACGGGGCAGGTGGGCCAAGGTGAAACCCGGGGAAAGGAGAGGGTCGCTGAGGATGGCGCATCCCGGCCTTGCGGTTTTTACTTACAAGGGGAAAATAAAAAATTACTTTAAGTCATAACGTGCAGGACTGAGGGTCAGCAGCCACCGGGCCTAGAGGACAAAGCAGCTGGGAGGCGCCCCTCCAGCTGCCCCTCCGTTCTGCGAGCCCCCGGGGGGGCGCAGACCCTGTAGCTGCAGGGCTGACCCCGTCAGGTGCTGCTGGCAGGGGAGCGGGATTCTGGCGCCGCCTGCCCCAGCTCCCTGCCCCGCCACCCCCTTCACCCCCAGCCTGGTCTCCGTGGCTCTCCTGGGGGTTCCTCCTGCGGTGGCCCTGCCCCAGCCCGCCGGCAGGCGGCCCCCTGGACACCGGGGCTGAGGGGTCAGGCCTGCCTCGGACCTTTAGTGCCCCTTCCCCTCCCTGGCCCTTGGCTCTTCCGCGCATTGGGAGTTTTCCATGAGGTCTGGGAGTCCTATAAAACTCTCTGATTTCGGGGAGCAGGGTGGGCAGCCGGGGTGCTCTTGAAGCTACTTGTCCATTTCTCCCTGGAGCCAGATTTCCCCTCCTGCCTCCCTGTTGTTCCCAGACTCTTGCTAGTGTTACGGAGCAGCCCCGATATAGAACGGGGTGCCTGGCTGTGGGTCCTCACCCGCGCGCTTCAGAGGGACTTATGAATACTCCACTGCAGGCGCACACAAGGTTCATAAAAGGTTTATTTACAAGGGAAGGGCAAATGAGGAAATGGACAACTCAGGGCGAAAAGAGGGACATAAAGTCTTTACTGCGTCCTACCCGATCCGCCGACCTGGGAACCCAATGGCACTCCGAGAGCTGGCCGAGCGCTGGCGGGGAGCCAAAAGGGAACCCCCCAAAGCCCACGTGTCTGGTTTTATACCAAACCTGGCTGCTTAACCCCACCCTTACGTTCCAGCAACCTTCCCTCTGGTGACGATGGGATTTGTCTTTCCCAATGTCCTGACGGCTGTGGTCAGGAGTGGGGGTGGGGTCCACAAAGCCTGAATGGAATTAGCTCAGGACATCCTCTCCCCCTAACACTAGCAGCCCTGGGTCTCCATGTTCACCCATAGGCTCTTCTGACCAGAGCAGGGACAGGCAGGCAGACCCCAACCCCCCTCACCCCCTCCACCCCCGGGCTGAAGCGAGGCAAGAGCAGGTCCCCCACACCAGGCCAGTCAGTGGGTGATAAAGGTGTATTTCAAAGCGCAGAGCTGACAGCTGAGGACCTGTGTGTTGGGGGGGTGGGGGGTGGGCAACGGCTGGACAAGCTTTAGCCCTGTGGGCGCCTGCTGCAGGCCTGCTTCTGAGGGGCCAAGACTGCGACTTAAACTCCAAACCAGAGCAATCTTCAAGGACCATTGTTTGTTAATCCCACTAGAACAAGCCTTCCGGGTATGGCAGAAACAAAGAACTGGGGCCTCCCTGGTGGCACAAGGGTAAGAGACAACCTACAACCTAGGAGGCAATCCGCAGCCACTGCAGCACGAGTTCGATCCCCTGGCTGGCCAGGGAGCTACCCACGGCGCAGCAGCCCTCTCCTGTCTCCCCGCTGCTCCCCTCTGCAGCGGATCTCAGTCAACCTGCCTGTTCTGCTCCCCACTCTTCTCTGGTGAATCCTCTCATCCCCCGCATCTCTGGCCTGCACCCCAGCTCTTATATGCATAAATAAATAAATCTTTAAAAAAACAAAGAACCACCTAAACTGGAAAACAAAAACCAGAAAGAAAAAGTGGTAGAAAGTGATACCGGAATTGTCAGGCCTAGTCTCTGAGCCAGGAACGGATCCCAGGCTGCAGGGGCAGCGCTGAGTCCCAGCCACGAGACCCCACGGGCTGGGGTCTCACGAAACCGCAGCAGGAACTTCGCAGACGCTCAGGCCAGCAAGCGAGAAGAGGCAGGTTTGTTTAGAGAAAGAAAAAGTTTATTGAGGAGAAAAGGAACAGAAATAAAGTGGGACACCCGGGCCGGTAGAACCGGCCTGGGAGGGGCGAGGGAGCCAAAGTGGAGTCAGTGTCCCGGGGAATGTAGACCTGCTTTCCCTCATTATCCTACAGCTCCACTCTGTGATGGGTTAGTTCTTGGCCGTTTCACTTAATTTGCTACTGAGCGGGGGATCTTCACATTCCTTATCTAACAGCTTTCTCTTTCCCCATTTGTTACTTCTTTATCTTTATGGCCCAGTCCTCAGAGGAGCATCTGCATTGAAGTTAAACAGCTGCCCTTCTAAGTTGTCCATAAATTAAACCACTCTCCATTTCTCCAATTTCTGCCTCCCTTTACCACCTGAAGGAAAGCAAGGCCCGCGTTAACAGTGTATTCCTTGGTCCTGGGATGTTTGTTTTTCCGGGTGGAATTAGTTACACTCCTCTTGCTGCCCTTATCTCTGAAGCCTTCCTCAATTCTCCGAGGTCCCCTCCTGCAGTGTCCCTAAAACTGCCTAATTACCCTAACTTGCCCTGGGTCTCAAAAGGATCCCTCAACAATCTAAAACTTCTGCCAGAAAAAAAAAAAAATCACATCACAAAGTCAAGAGACAAAAACAAACTCAGAAGAAAGGGCTGGAGGGAGACGACTAGCGAGGTTAAGTCTCTGGCGTATAACCTGCCCCCCAAGCAGTAGCAGGAATGCCAGCCACGCAGCAGAAAAGTGACAAGGACAAAAGGACAATCCCCTTTCCAATGAAGAGACACCACTGAAAACAGGGCTCGCTATTTCAGATTCTCAGATTGTTAGGGGGAAAAGGCTGTCCTAAAGCTCATTCCACACAGGCTTCGTGGACTCCACCCCCACCCCAGGCCAAAGCCACAGACACTGGGAACTCCAAATCCCATCCCCACCCAAGGGAAGGTGGCTGGGACCTGAGAGTGGGGTTCAGCAGCCAGGAGTGGTATAAAGCCAGACACGTGGGCTTTGGGGGGGTGTCCCCCATTTTGGTTCTCCACCAGCTCGCAGCATCCGGCCAGCTCTGAGAGTGCCTTTGGGTTTCCAGGTCGGCGGATCGGGTAGGACGCATTAAAGACTTTATTTCCCTATTTTCTCCCTGAGTTGTCCATTTTCCTTATTTCCTTTTCCCTTGTCAATAAACCTTTTATGAACCTTTTGTGTGTCCTGCAGTGGGGTATTCATAAGTCCCTTGTAAGTGCGCGGGTGAGGACCCACAGCCAGGAACCCGTCCAATATCGGGGCTGCCCTATAACAAGATGAAGACCAAAAAGCTGGGAGCTCGCAGTGTGGGAGGCCGACTCCCGGGGTGGCAGAGAGAGGGGGCTTTCTTTTTCCACCTTGACCCTGAGAACCCCGCCCCTCGCCTTCCCTCCCGGAGGTTCTCTGTTCAGCTGGCCTGTTTTTCCCTTGCTGTTTCACAGAATTGCTCAAGAGTTTCCTCTTTTTTTTTTTTTTTTAAGATTCATTTTTATCTGGGGCTCCCTGGTGGCTCAAGGGGTTAAGTCTCAGCACTATGACACTATCGGCAGCCACTGCAGCACGAGTGCTACCCCCGGCCAGGGAGCTACCCACATGGCGCAAAGACCTCTCCTGTCTCCCCGTCTGCTCCCCTCAGCAGTGTGTTTTTATTTCTTTATGCATACGAGAGCTGGGGTACAGCTAGAGGTACAGGGGAGGGGGGAGAAGATTCACCAGAGACAGAGCGGGGAGCAGAACAGGCAGACTGACTGAAACACACTGCTGAGGGGAGCAGTGGGCGAGGCAGGAGAGGTCTGCTGCGCCATGTGGGTAGCTCCCTGGCTGGGGATCAAACTCATGCTGCAGAGGCTGTGGTTAGATTGATGACAATGTCATCAACCTTCTTCCACCCCCACGCCTCCAGCGTCCCCCAATGTTAGACGCCAACCCAATGTTAGTCCTTCCGCCTGGCACCAGGGAGGCCCCTGAGATGTGCTCTTGTTACAGAGCAGAATGAGGGGCACCCCAGGACCCCCAAACCTGCCTGCTCTAAATAGGTTCTGCCATCTACCACATCAAGATACAACAAACTCTAGTGTGTAAACCTTCAGTAGAAGAGAACTTTAATACAATCAGTGTGCGATTAGTGTGCAAATTCAAGACAAAGGCAGCCATTGTCAGCCTCCCCCAGTCCTCACCCACGTCTGTTTCAAGTGTCTCGGCATGTCGCAGGCCGAGCAGCCAGCGCGGCTTCCTCACGTCTCTGCACCCCACGCCCCCTCCAGCCGTCTTCTCCCCAGCTGTCTGCTTCTCCTTCAGCTGCTTCTCTGGGTCCTCGTCCTGCCTCCTTTCTAGCGCCCCTCCATCCTTCCTTACAGCAGGCGGGGGGACTACACTGCGCACGCTTACATGCCAGGATGTCATCATTTAACAGTTAAAACCTAGTCTCTGCATGTTGCTCAGCTAACAATGCTGGAGACACAAAGTAGATAAGAAAAGGAGAGAGATAGTGTTGCCATGGGAACTTGGCCGCCACATGACCGCTGCGGGCCTATCAAGAGTCCAGGAATGTGGAAA